CAAACTGTAGGACACCATTTAAATGAAATTCTAGGAAATACAAATTAAGCAGGGTAGTAGAAAATGAGTGAGGGAAGAAGGAATGAATTTACGAAAGCTCATGAGGAAACTTCTGCATGTGAGATATCTTTTCTTCACCATAGTAATGGTTTCACAAATGTATAAGTATGTTTAAATTCATCAAATTATGTATTTTATATACAATTTGTCATAATGTTAATTATACTTCAATACATTTGAAAAACATACAGACAAAAAAACATCCTCTTGGGAAGGGGGAAGAGAGAGAGAGAGGAGAAAAAATTCAAAAACCACCTTTTATAAACAAAAATCCATCTTTACCACCAAAACAAAGAAAATGTGATTTTGAGTCAATTACTATTGTAAAAGTCTTGGGGTTTTGCTCTAAGCCAAAAAAAAAAAAAGAATATCACTAGCTCTGCCTATCTCTTTGAGTTCTTCTAAAACTAGATAATAGGGATGAAGACGTTCTATTAAACTGGGCGCCAGTGGCTCACACCTGTAATCCTAGCTATTTGCAAGTTGAGATCGAAGAATCGCAGTTTGAGGCCAGCCTGGGCAAAAAGTCAGAGAGACTCTATCTCAACAGAAAAAAGCTGGCCAAGTGATGGCGCATGCCTGTCATCCCAATGACGTTGGGAAGGATAAAATAGAACTGAGGTCCAGGACAGCCTGGAGACCCTGCCTCTGAAAAAAAAAAAAAGTGAAACCCTGGCTCCAAAAAACCAAAACCGAAACAAACAAACAAAAAAAACACAAAGCAAAAAGGGCTGGAGGTATGGCTCAAGTGGCAGAGCACCTGCCTTACAAACAAGAAGTCCTGAGTCCAAACTCCAGACTGCAAAAAAAAAAAAAAAAAGGAAATGCTCTGTAAACTACAACATATGCTACAAATTATTATCTACCCTTATTATAACATTATAATACATAATTCATCTTTTTTAGATCTAGACATCATTTCAGTCTAATGACATCTTTTTTTAGGTGCTGTCTTCTGAACTCCATATTACTAGTTTCCTCCCTGGTCTCAAATCCTTTTTCAATTTAATTATCAGATCACCACGTTTTTATTTGAATTATGAATAATCATTCCACCAAGTCAGAGTCGAGGATACACATATCTTATTGCAGCACAGTATGTGAAGGATTATGGGTATTGACTGTTTAGCTAACATCTATCCATTTTACTATTATCTGACCACATTACCTTATCTTACCCAATAAGATGTAATACTTCATTTATACTCTTGTTCTTCTATCCCACTAGAATCTACTAAAAAGGATATTAAGTTGTTGTAGCAATTTTCCTTTAATGAATCCATACTGGCTCCTACTGTTCATTACTTTTGAATTAATAACCAATTCTAAAATGTTGTGCCCCATCAACATCAAATTCACCACATTCTGTAAGGTAGAACCTACTTTCTCCCTGTCCCCCAGAAAAGTAAATTTGTCTGTGTTGAGTTTTACAACTCTGACTTTCTTACAGTTACTCAAACATTACTGATCCACGCTATCTTTCTGCATCTCTAAAAGATCCTCATGAGCAAAGCTCCTTTCACCTAAGGTAGCTCAGTATTCCTATACAGTCATCTGTCTGATCTTAGGTTTTACATCTTTCTCAGAGAATTTTCCCTCTTGTCTTGTGTGAAGCTTATTTGATTAAAAAGTAAAAAGAAGAATAGAATGGAACCACTGTTCTTTTAGCCTGTTATACTACTGATCCCATGTAATGAGCTTTTGCTATGAAAATATCTTTATAACATCCTTTTGCTTGCCTTAGCATTTGTTAACAGTTCAGCTTAGGTAATGGAGTTTTCTAACACTATTTTCACAAATCTTTACTACTGGGTACATACTACACACTAGGGTATTCTATACTCTTCCAACCACCTTGAAGAGATACACCTTGCAGGTGTGTGTGTGTGTGTGTGTGTGTGTATGTGTGGATACTGAGGTTTGAAGTCAGGGCCTTACTACGCTTGCTAGGCATGCACTCTATCACTTGAACTTTTTGCCTTACTTTTTCAGATAGGGTCTCGTGCTTTTGCCAGGGCCAGTCTTGGAACACAATCCTCTTACCCCATATCTCCTGCATACCTTGGATTACAGGCATGCACAACATACCCAGCTTGTTTGTTGAATGGAGACTCACTAACTTTTTTGCCCAGGCTAGCGTCCTAAGTAGCTGGACTTACAGACATGAATCAGCATGCCTGGCCCTGCTTTGTAGTCTTCATCACAAAATATTAGCTATCTAGTACTCCTGGTCCCTACTTTTCCTTGCTGTTTTAATTTCTGATTACATACCATGAATTTCATTTTTGAGAGACTCCAATTTAAGTCATTCTTCCAGTTATGAGTCAAGACTTGGGTCATGACAGAGCATATCCCTACATATTTGTGAAATCTGATTTCTAAAGCCTGTGGCAAATTTCTGATTATGTCCAAGATTATTGGGAGGAACTTTTGGAGGTAAGGCCTTGTTGGAGGAAGTCACTTGGAGTGTGTCCTTGTGGGCTGTATCTTGATCCTGGGCCCCTCTTTGTCTCTGTCTCAGACTCTCTCTCTCCCCACTTCTCTTTGTCTCCTGATCTTCATGAGGTGAGCAAATCTATTCCACACATCCTTCCACGAGGATCTCCCTCATCACAGGCCCCAAAACAATGGAGTGGAGTCAGTCGACCAGGACTGAAATTTCTGAAACTGAGCCAAAATAAATCCTCTTCCCTCTAAGTTGTTTTCTCAGGTATTTTGTCACAACCATGAAAGGCTGACTAATACACCAAGTAACTCTGATAGGACCAAAACCTCTGGATATAACACTTCGCTCACTATTAGATATACTCACGAAAGGAAAAAGGTTTTGCCTTCCTTAAATCAATCTAATTTCATGTATTCTCTCTCATCTTTTGTAATACCTCTCTGCCAGACACTCCAACTTGAGAAACAAATTTATGCATCTTTTGCCAGTCCAACTCCAAATTTCATTGAAATGCTCTCTTAAATCTTGTAATATTCTTTTGGCTCTCTATACCATGTCTTGAAGCTGGGACACTAGACATTAGTTCAGGGTATCACCACTAACCTCTATCAATTGTTATCTTTATTAAGCTTCTAAATTGACCACTGCTTAACAAATTTAATCTGATGTAGATTTAATTTTTTGTGTGTAACTAGGTACACATAAGCAGAGAACTTAGGCTCCAAAGACAAACAATCCACTTTCAATCCCACTTAAGCTTAGTCCTGGTAACAACAGCAGTTAGACAAAATCCTTATTTTTCTGGTGCTTCTAGAGGATAATGCAGAATCCTGAAGTCCCTAAGGTTAGAGTAAGTTGTCAGATGTGGAAACTTTGGCAAAACAGAAAAGTAATGAAGGAATGAAATTGATGTTAAAGATATTAAAGGACTGGGAGACAAACAGCTGAGGCTTGGGGAAAAGAATACAGTAGGATCTGCAGACTCTGACTTTCAAACTAGACAGCAGGGCTTCTCAGATACATGGTACCTATGGTGTGGGGGCCCTTCACTCACAGACCCACCCCCAGATGGGTCTAGCATTAGGTAGACACTAGAGATTGGGTTTAAAGCAGGACAGATTTTTTTTTTTCATTTTTCTTTTATTATTCATATGTGCATACAAGGCTTGGTTTATTTCTCCCCCCTGCCCCCGCCCCCTCCCTTACCACCCACTCCACCCCCTCCCACTCCCCCCCTCAATACCCAGCAGAAACTATTTTGCCCTTATCTCTAATTTTGTTGTAGAGAGAGTATAAGCAATAATAGGAAGGAACAAGGGGTTTTGCTGGTTGAGATAAGGATAGCTATACAGGGCATTGACTCACATTGATTTCCTGTGCATGGGTGTTACCTTCTAGGTTAATTCTTTTTAATCTAACCTTTTCTCTAGTTCCTGGAAAGCAGGACAGATTAAATGGCTTCAAATGAAATCCTGGACACTGATACTTTTAAAATCTCCAAGTGATTCCAAACTGGAGTTCATGAGATTATATAACCCTTTCCTTCACAATATCAACAAGCCAATCAAATAGGAATACAAATTCAAGCAATTAAAATGCTTAATAAGAGCCAGGCAGAATGGCATAAATCTGTAGTCCAAACTATTTGGGAGACTGAGGCAGGAATGTGGGCAACAGAGCAAGACACCATCTCAAAAACGACAAACACCAGCAAAAAAATCAAGTTCTAAGATTTATGCCCTAAATAAATCTTGGTACTATCTAAAGGCAAATTACATGGCATATTAACATTTAAAACCTTATTTACAAAGTAAATTTGTAATTTTGAGACAACTCTGAAATACAATTTTTACCAATATCAAATTTGTAACTTCTGAGAAAATTATAATAGTATCAGAATCTTACTTTTTAAAGCACTATTAAAATAATTTATTCACCAGATCATCTTTAAGTATATCCTTATAGCACTTTCTGATGGCTGGTAACTATTATGAAGCAAATTCTCTTCCAGTCTGAATGTACTGGAATATACTAGTTACTCTACCCTTTCTTAACGTATTTTAACTTGAAAAAAGAAAATTCAATTTTGAAGTGAGATTCAAAATATTCCTACCTCCTAACTAAAAAGTTTTGAAGATTTAGTGAAAACGTATATTGAACGTATCTTTGAAAAACCTGAACTGCAAAACAACAAAGCCTTCTGGAATTTCTACAAAACCACTTGTTAACTCCTATACAACAGAAAGAAACCCTACACAAGACTAAAACTCAGAAAGAGATGTGTGTTCTAGCTGCAGTTTTACCATTCACTGCCTGATGACCATGATCAAGTTATTTGGCCTGTTTTATGCAACTTGTATATGTGCACGTGTACACAAGTGTACATTATAACTCAAGTCTAGGGAACGCTAGTTTCAGAACACACAAAAAGCAGGTACTCTGAAGGAGCAGCAGGCCTCATATGAGAATATTTACACTTACTCAAGTAACTTACCATTGTTCCAAAAGGAATGGCTCTTGAGGCATGGTAATAAATGGCTATGAAGTTGATGAAGAAGGCAGTGCCACACACCATAGCTGGAATAAGGAATGCCCCAATAAACATCTGCTTTATCCATCTCCTTCCTGAAAGAAAAGAGAAATTATAAAAATCACAGCTAGGCAGACAAACATGCATTAATGTTTAAAGTGTACTTAGTATCAAATTATTTAAAATTTTAATGCAAAGATCATAAAATTTGATATTCTAGTAATTGCTTCAAATCAATAGCTAATAAAGATCATTCTAGCTTTTCAAGTGTGTGAAATAGAAGCATGGCTTGCAAAGTAGGTATACTTGAAAAGACCAATGACCTATAGTAAAATATTCTGATGTTTTGTCCTGATTCTGCCACTGAATTTCTGTGAACTTTAGTAAACAACTTGTTATGGTTAGAATATGAAGTGTCTCCGCCAAAAGCTCATGTATTAAAAAGCTTGGTCCCTAGCTGGTGGTGCTGAGAGGTGACTGAATTGTGAGGGCACTGGGTTAATCCTTTCATGAGTTCATAGCTGAATGGGCTATTAGAAGGCAGGGCCTAATTGGACAAAGCAGGAGTATGTCTCTGAAAGGTATACTTTATCCACAGACCCTCCCTATCATTCTCTGCTTCCTGGCTGTCATGAGGTGAGCAGCTTTTCTCCACCATGCCTTTCTGCCATGATGTTTCTATTCTGCCCTAAGCCTAAAGCAATGGAGCCAGATGACCATGGACTGAAACATCTAAAGCCATGAGCCCAAATAAATTTTTCCTTTTTTAAGTTGTTTGTATCAGCTATTTTGTCACAGTGGCAAAAAGGTAACTAATCTACCACTCTATCTTTCTGACTACAACTTGGTCTAGATAGGGCTTTTCCAAACTATTAGTTGGAGTTCTGGAGCTTCTTAGTATGCCCATGAAGCAAAGGAAAAGTCCAGGCTCTGTAGCAAAGGAAAAGTCCAGGCTCTGTAGCCCTGCTTCCACCAGAGCAATTCCATTTTCAACAGTTTTATAAATTGGAACTACATGTACGCTTTCATCTGAAAAAAAAAAAGAGTTACATTGCTTTGTAAAATAGAGTTTAGGGATGGAGGGTATAGCTCAAGTGGTAGAGGGTTTGCCTAACGTGTGAGACCCTGGGTTCAATTCCTAATACAGCACAAAACTAAATAAGTAAAATAAAGTTTAAAAACACGAGGTTACATAAGGTCTAAATTAATCATAGCTTATAATTTTATGTATTTAAAAGCATTTCCATGTTTGAAAAGGAAAAAATAGAATGTATTCATGAGCTTGTTCTCAGCAGTTAGAAACAAAGATTTGTAAGTTTTACTATTTCATGTATCTCTGTGTATTGCCATACACAGGTATCTGTTATTTAAATAACCAAGGGAAGAAATATGCTCACATTCACCAAGAGAGCAATAGAGAGGTATCCTTCTAACTTAGCAGCTTACAAAGGCAAGTACATTGCTAGCAAAAAAACTATCTTTACAGCTTAGAAACAGAATATAAAGATTTAACACTGGATCACTATTAAAATTCAACCCCCAAATCATAAGCAATGGGAACCCAAAAAGAAAATGCTAGTGGAAAACAAGTAAAGCCCTACTTCTGTTTCCCTCTATACAAAGTTCTTTTTAAACATGTGTCTCACAGAATTACTACCCCAAACCTTAACATTCCTCCAGAAAGACTGCTGATTCTGAACTTTCTATTTCATTTCTTTTTGGCCGGTTGTGGTGGCACACGCCAATAATCAGTAAGGAGAAGGGAATGCAGCAGGAGGATCATGAGTTTCTTTTTCTGGTAAGTTTCAAGAATCTCTCTTTGCAACACCCAGCATTTGAACAACACTACAAAAGGGATGACAACTAATTAAAGTATTTTTTTCTATTTAATTCCAACTCTTCTCTACCATTTTTCTTTTCCTTCGCTTTCCATTTAGCTTCTGAGATTCAGATGTGTGTTAACAAAACTCCTTATCCAATTCTCTTTATTTCTCCCTTTCCTTCTAATAGTCAAAAAGAATCCCACACACATTCTATTGTGTTTTCTGTTTCTTGCTCCCTTGGAGGCTCTGTCAAGTTCCAGGCTATCCCTAGCTTCGAGCTGTGTCTATAGCACTACTCAGTTCACAGAGGACAGTGACACGCCCATGAGCCCCACTGTAGTTCAAATTCTGAGGGATAACTGAGAAATGCTTGATTCTCTGGATTGACCTCTACATCAGTCTGGTTTTTAGGGATTGTTTAGACAAACTTATCAGGACACAATCAGATCTCCTAAGGGGACTAGCAGTCAGAACAGGATCTTCACCATAATGTGAAGATTTTATACTCTAGACGTAACTTGGAACTCTGTCAACTTTTAAGAATAAGTGTAGTACAGAAAAACGTAGCTGACTGCTCTTAACTTGCAATCAAACAAAAAATAAATTTAATGTCCAAATATGAATAAATTTTGTTTTAAGTAGATTTGTTTCTGCTGTGGAGACCTTTTGGAGAGTCATAAATTAAAATTTTTAGCCTAACAAGTTTCCAGGTCGAATTCAAAGTAGAAGTTACCTTAGGAATCCTTGTTTCCTTTGGATGTAGTCCTGTATGATAAAACTTACTTCCCAGACCTGGAGGTAAAATTTAGAGACTGAACACCTAACTAAAATAGTCAGGAAGTCATAATGATATGCTACAGGTATTCCAAAGAATTATCTAAACCAAAGGTTCTGACCACAGTATGTCTAGCAGGACCAATGAAAAAAGCAATGGTAAGCCAGGATATCCTGAGGAAATTTTAAATGATCCTATGCTCTGATTTCTTATAACCTATAAATCTCTCCAGTCTACTAAAAGAAACCAGGATCCCCTAATGCCCACAGTGCTTAGGCAGCTGTGAAAAATCACATTACAAAGTCTCTATCGTGGGAATGTAATTTTAAGGCCTTTCAACAATCCTTCATTCATTAACTAAAATATGCAAATCCACCACTCTGCACCTTTCTGACCACTATTAAAGGGGATACAAAGAAACTTAAAAACCCCTGAATACAATCACAGAAAGAAACATCAAGAAGTACCCTCTTATCATCCATCTATTAGCCCATCATTTTTGCATTATAGGAGTAGAGGAGCAAAGGAGATATTTAAAATGAAATGCAAAAGACTGTGACACAGAGTAACAGAAATCTTTGTGAAAAGTCTTTTGATAAGTACTTAAGAGACTAAAGAAATAAACAACTCTTTCCTATTCTCTTTCCACTGTTCAGAATGTTTACCCGTAGGTCATTAAAAAAAAAACTTTATATTCACCTATCAAGCTATACTCTCTGTGGAGGACTCTCACAGAGCACATCTAGGGAGCTAGGCACCTCAAAGCAGCATAATACCAACAACTTAAATGTACTCTCCTAGATGTTCTTTTAGGGCTAATTTCACAACGGAGATAATCTGTTACTTATTCATAATTTTAGGAAATAAAATGCAAAGCTTCCATAAAAACCCAACAGAACACAATTAAGTTTGATGGAGGTTATGTGAAGTGGCATAACAAAGGATTTTACAATGGCTTCCCTGTGCATTTAAATTCCAAATACTTCACAGTAAAATAACAACATCTAGAATTAAAAATATTAAGTGATGCTCGCAAGTTACCTCCTTGTCTAGCATACAGACTTCCTCCAAAATAACCATTCACTGGCGATGTAGCAGCATAGACAAATATGGCTGTGCTGAGCATTGATCCCCTCCTAAAAAGGCAAAAAAAAAAAAAAAAAAGGATAAATTAAAGCCAACAATTTGAAGAAACTGCTTAGCACTAATTTAATTTCAAAGATAAATTTTAATAGAAACAAAAATATCACAACCTGGACTGCAAAAAAAAAAAAAAAAAAAAAAAACCTCAGGAATACCAGGTTGATCCTAATCTGCAGCTAAATTTCATAATATATTGTAAACAAATATTTCACATGTTTTTGGAAACAATATTAGAACTTATAGTAAACTATTCTGTAACCTTTAAACCATCCCCATTATATCAAACAAGATATTTACCTATTGTAAAAAATGCTTAGAATACTCCTTTTTATAACTTGACTAAATATTCCTTTTTATAACTAAAGTTTCTTGCCTGCTAACAGAAAGAAAATGGAAGTAGGATAATCTATATTACACACTACTATTTAAATGGTATGACATTGAGAGTTTCCTTGTCTAGTTTCCTTTACACTGTTAAATGATTTTTTAAAAATCTATAGGTCCACAGGCAACATTAATTCATTTAATAATCCCTAATCACTTGCTCCAATAAGGATATCTAGAAAATTCAGACCAATTCTCCTGCTCAGTAATAACTAGAAAAATATTTTTAAATACCTAATTGCAAAGAGAAATATTAAAATGATAAATGACAGTTTCATTTGCTATGGTATAGAAATGTACTTATTCACTTATTCCCGTACACACACTAGTCTTGCAATATGTAGCTCTCTTCCATTCAAACACTTATCTTAAAAGTGAATGTACAATACTGAAAACACTGCAATATTTTATTCCCATCAATTTATAGCTAACTATACACAAATGTAATATAAGGATTTGTCATTTTCAAATTTAAAAGATGAGTATCAAAAGTTAATCAGTTTCAAAAACTAAATGTGTTGTTATAAGAATTCAATTAATAAACACTGCAAGTGCTAATTTATTCCTTCCACACTACCATTAACAAGTAAAACTCATTCTCTTTAAAAATATGTGTGTGCACTAAGGCTGACATAGGTCTAACTGATGAAAGCAGAAAGACTGCTTGGAGGGGGAGGGGAGAGATGGCTCAAGTGGTAGAGCATCTGCCTAGTTAAGTGTGAGGTACTGAGTTCAAGTCCCATAATGCCCCTAAAAAAGAGCAATACTGCAGGTATCACAGTATCTGACTTCATATTATACTACAGAGCCATACTTAACAAAAACAGCATGGAACTGACCCCAAAACAGACACATAAATCAAGGGAGTAGAAGATCCAGAAATAAACCCACACAGCTATAGACTGATTTTGACAAGGAGCCAAAAAACACACATTGGAGAAAAGACAGCCTCTTCAACAAATGGTGCTGGGAAAACTGGATATTAACACATAGAGGACTAAAACTAGATCCCTAGATCTTATCCACCCCATACAAAAATCAATTCAAAATGGATCAAAGATCTTAATGCAAGACCTGAAACTTTGATAATACTACAGGAAAACACTTGAAGATACAGACAAGCTATTTTCTGAATAGGACTCCAATTGTCCAGGAAATAAGAGCAAATCTTTGGAAGCTATTCATTGGATAAAAAAGAATTAATATTCAGAATATACAAAGAGCCCCAAAATTAAAACAGCAAAAAAACCCAAACAACTCAATTACTAAATGGGCAAATGAAGTAGACAGGTCTTAAAAGAAACACAAACAGCCAATAAACACATGAAGAAATGTTTAATATCCTCAGCCATAAAGGAAATGCAAATCCAAACCACACTGAGATTCCATCTCACCAGTCAGGACGGCAATCATCAAGAGCACAACAAATGATGAGAGGATGTGGAGGGGAACCACTATACACTGTTGCTGGGGATCTAAATTTAGTGCAACCACTATAGAAATCAGTATGGAGGCTCCTCAAAAAACTAAAAACGACCTAAATTATGATCCTGCTATATCACTCTTTGGCATATAACCAAAGGAATGTAAATCAACATACAGTAGAGATACCTGAATATCTAATGTATCACAATACCATTCACAATAGCTAAACTATGGAATAAGCCTGAATGCCCAGCAACACATAAATGGATAAAGAAAGTGTGACATGTATACACTATGGATTATTATTCAGTCATAAAAAAAGAATGAAATTATGTTGTCTGCAGGAAAATAAATGAAACTGGAGCTCATCATGCTGAGCAAATTTATGCCAACCTCAAAAAGCCAAATATGCAGAATCTAGACCTAAAATAATGATGATGATGATGGTGACAGCCAGGCGCCAGTGGCTCATGCCTGTAATCCTAGTTACTAAAGAGGCAGAGAGCAGGAAGATCATGGTTTGAAACCAGCCCAGGCAAATACTTCATGAGACGCTATCTTGGAAAAAACCCATCATAAAAAAGGGCTGGTGGAGTAGCTCAAGGTGTAGGCCCTGAGTTCAAATCCCAGTACTACAAAATAACAATAATAATAGTAATAAAGGAGGGACGATGGTGGGAGGAACCAGCAGAAAAGGCAGGGGGAAGAGAGGGTTGCTAAGGGGGTAAACATGGTCAAAACAATATGTATGTCTGAAGTTTTATATAAATAAATGTATATATTTATTTATATAAAGATACTGCTTTTAAAAGGGGGAGGAAGGAGCAGGGGTTAAGAGAGTGTAACAGGGGGTGAATCTGATCAAACCACATTGTATGCGTCTATGGCAGTATCACAATGAAACCCCTTTGTACTAATTTATGTTAATTTTTTTTTTTAAAAGAATTAACCTAGAAGGTTAACACACACGCACAGGAAATCAATGTGAGTCAATGCCCTGTATAGCTATCCTTATCTCAACCAGCAAAAACCCTTGTTCCTTCCTATTATAGCTTATACTCTCTCTTCAACAAAATTAGAAATAAGGGCAAAATAGTTTCTGCTGGGTATGGAGGTGGTTGGGGGGGAGAGGGAGGGGGCGGAGTGGGTGGTAAGGGAGGGGGTGGGGGCAGGGGGGAGAAATGACCCAAGCCTTGTATGCACATATGAATAATAAAAGAAAAAAAAAAAAAGAAAGCATGTGAAGTTACGTTAAAAAAAAAAAAAAAAAAAGGCTTTCAGTGTAGGAACACTAACACTAGGCAGAAGTTCCTGATATCAGCACAAAGGGTTCAAAAAGGCTGCCCATGTGTCTGAGAATCCAAAATGACTACCAGGTAGTCCAAAGATGTTTCTACTAAATGAAGGTATAAGCAGCCATCACAGTTCTATAAATCAGATATATCCTTCATCTTTGTTTATAAATATCCTATGAGCATTTTACTCCTAGCCCTCAAATAAGTCATTTTCATCTACACTGAAATCCACTGAGGCAGCCTCCAATCCCAAGACAGGAAAAGGAAACTGCTAGGAGTTGCTTTGCCACTACTTGCTATGACCTTACCACTCTTCACCAAAAGTTTCAGCATAACAGGAACAGCAGCTGTGTGGCAGCATCACCAGGCTCACCCTCATCTTTCAAATGGTACGCCTTCTCAAGAATTAATATCACTCTCACAGACATGTACAGTGATACTGATCCTCTACCAATGTTCTCCAAGTATTTTTCCTCCAATTGTGATGGTGACCACAGAGGCAAAGCAACTTTCACGAGTTATAATAGTTGCTCTTTATCCCTAACAATCACTACATCTCAAGTGATCTGTCCCAATTTCACATGCAAACTTTTCATTTTCTTACCACTTCACATTATTATCACTATTTTCATTTCCGTAACACAGCAAAGTGTTCTGAAATGAGACTGCCTAATCCGAATCTCAGCCTATCAACACCCTAACAACTAGCTGAGATAGTGCTCTGATCCCAGATAAATTACTTAAGCTCTCTGAGCTTTACTTTGCCTGTCTATAGAATGGAGTAATAATGGTTCCCTTACAGAGGTAATACACAGAGTAAAGGAGCTAATGTGCACAAAGCACAAAACATGAAACCTCAATAATGCTAGCAATTTCTATATTGTAATAAGACACTGCATTAATTTTTATTTTTTTCTTTTATTATTCGTATGCGCACACAAGGCTTAGGTCATTTCTCCCCCCTGCTCCCACTCCCTCCCTTACCACCCACTCCGCCCCCTCCCTCTCCCCCCCACCCCCTCAATACCCAGCAGAAACTATTTTGCCCTTATTTCTAACTTTGTTGTAGAGAGAGTATAAGCAATAATAGGAAGGAACAAGGGTTTTTGCTGGTTGAGATAAGGATAGCTATACAGGGCATTGACTCACATTGATTTCCTGTGCGTGGGTGTTACCTTCTAGGTTAATTCTTTTTGATCTAACCTTTTCTCTAGTTCCTGGTCCCCTTCTCCTATTGGCCTCAGTTGCTTTTAAGGTATCTGCTTTAGTTTCTCTGCGTTAAGGGCAACAAATGCTAGCTAGTTTTTTAGGTGTCTTACCTATCCTCACCCCTCCCTTGTGTGCTCTCACTTTTATCATGTGCTCAAAGTCCAATCCCATTGTTGTGTTTGCCCTTGATCTAATGTCCACATATGAGGGAGAACATACGATTTTTGGTCTTTTGGGCCAGGCTAACCTCACTCAGAATGATGTTCTCTAATTCCATTCATTTACCAGCGAATGATAACATTTCATTCTTCTTCATGGCTGCATAATATTCCATTGTGTATAGATACCACATTTTCTTAATCCATTCGTCAGTGGTGGGGCATCTTGGCTGTTTCCATAACTTGGCTATTGTGAATAGTGACGCAATAAACTAGGGTGTGCAGGTGCCTCTGGAGTAACCTGCAGACACTGCATTAATTTTTATTTTTATTTTGTGGAACTGAACTCAGGGCCTCACCCTTACTAGACAAACACTACCATTTATTTTTAGATAGGATCTGGCTTTTTTTGACTGGGACAAAGATCCTCCTACCTCTGCCTCCTTCTTAGCTGGGATTACAGATGGGTACACCCAGTTTGTTTTTGAAATAAAGTCTTGCTAACTTTTCCTTGGGCTGGCCTCCAACAGTGAACCTCCCATCTCTGCCTCCATTAGTAGGGAAGTACTTCTAAGTAACTGATTATGTTTATTTCAAAACAACACAACATAGAACACCCATTTACAGTAATGACAGTAAAAAAACAAACAAACAAAAAAACTTATTTGCCTGCTAATGCTATCTATTAAAGAGCACTTTTTTTTTTTTTTTTGTGGTACTGGGCTTTGAACTCAGGGCCTACACCTTGAGCCACTCCACCAGCCCTATATTTGTGAAGGAGTTTTTCATGACAGGGTCTCACAAACTATTTGCCTGGGTCTGGCTTTGAACAGCAATTCTCCTGATCGCTGCCTCCTGAGTAGGTAGGATTACAGGTATGAGCCACCAGAGCCCAGCAAAAAGTAGTTTCTTATTTCTAAAAATGGAAGGTCTTTAAAGTAGAAGAGCTTCTGTATTAAGAAAATGAGATGTCAAATTCTAACACATAATATTTTGAAAAGCAAAGCAAAAACAAGAATTCTAAGAAAGGTTACTCTCTAGTAACTAGTAAGATTATGAATAATATGGTCAGCCTCAACTCAATATTGACGAATTTAAACCAGTATTTAACATAAAGCATGACTTTTTGCAGATTTGAAATGCTTTTCTTATATTCAGGGTTCAGTTTACCTGAAAACATATTGTACCCTAGAATATGAACTACTTCCCAAAACTCTGAAGTTTAGTCTTTCCTCAATTATTTTAAAGCTTATATAGTAAATTAATTGCAAAGGTTCTATTAGAGAAACAGCTTTGTTGGTTAATATATTCAAAAAGCATTGTTCAGGCACTTTTATGTAGGTACTTGGTAATTCAAAAAGGTAAGACAAAGTACTTGTTCTCAAGGAACTGGCTAACAAAAGAAACAGCAATTTAATATACAATTAAATATTTAACATACAACTAAAGAGCTATTCTTTCAGCATAAATGTATTGCTTGTCCATGAAATGCTGGACACATATAAGAAAGAATGCATTAAGAATTAAAATGTAAATATGAAATACACCTGGAAGAAGGGTCGTTCTAGTGGAGAACCTCATGGGGTTGAACAGCTCAATTACACCACTAAAACACCTGAATTATGTCACTACACCCAGGCATGAGAATACGTTTGCTTTACAGATGTTATGGCTCTTTTAGAACAAGTGACTTCAGTTTTTCCTTCAGGTACAACTTTTTCTTACAATTCAAAGACCTCAAATCAGGTCCTTATAAATCCTTATAAATGGTTTTGTTTATAAAACTATAAAAACCATACAAAGACAGGATATTGGTCTAGGACTTTGTTTTTTTAAGAGAGCATCCAATTATTTTTCTAATCTCATGTGACTTGTCCATCATTCTACTATTATTTATAATAGTTCTTTTTTTCCCTATTCTGTATATAGTGTCCTGTTTTGATACAAATGTGAAGTACTAATTTCATCATAACTGTGAAATTCTGGTACTTCATATGGAGTCCCAATTGAATCTTCAACTTTTAACGAAAAAAATGCCTGCTCACTTTGTTAAACACTCTAGATTGAAAGTAACCTCTGCTTAATTCTCTATTGGAACATAACCTCTATAACTAATCCAAATGTTCAGTAATGCCAATAAATTTTAGCATGTATGGAGAAATTCAATTAGAGCTAAAGGGTACTGCTCATTATTTGGTTTGTCTGTAATAATGACATTTATAGTATTTAACTTGTGAATAACTAAAATAAGCAAACATTCAATTATAATTGACTTAAAAAGTTCCAATGATAAAAAGTATTTAAGAGCAAAAAGGTAATGAAATTAAATGCAAGCACTTACTCTGTATATAAGTCTTCTATCATTGCAACAATAATAACAATGAGAGATACAGCAAATATCTGGCATCCAGAACCAATGAGAGAGGAAAATATCAGCGGGTGACTGGATGGTCTAAATACATCTCCATGTACCTGCTTCCATCCATATTCATCTCCTAGGTCTCTATCCTGTATTCAAGTACACACAAATATGTAGAGAGAAAAGAAAACCATTCAGAAGCAAATTAAAACACAGTTAACAAGTAAGAAAGGACAGACCTAAGGTCCTGTCTTCCAAATTTATAGCCTTTTAAGAATTTGAAATGCCGAGAAAAGACATTTCAAAGTTAAAATATTCCCTGCCTTAATAACTCAAAATGAATCTCAAAAATGGAAGGTCTGGGAATAAAGCGAGAAGGCCGAATTGGAAGAGCAGTGCATGGAGGGACACTCAGCCACCCCACCATGTGGCTCATGAGCGACTGGGGGTCAGGTACGAGCAAAAGAGAAGGATAAGGTATCAACAATGCCAATACTTGCCCTAAAAATGCACACATGTCCTTTGTAGCCTAAAATCTAAGAAAACTTACAGGAAAAGTACTGGATACAGATGTTCTTTTTTTAAAAAGAACTCAATTTTTACTTTTCAAAAGTAATCCAAGTGTTTCATAAATATTTCTAAAACATTGTTTCTTAAGGAAGTTGTTTGTGAAGTATCAAAGATTTTATCTAACCTCCTTTTTTGTGTTGTTGTGGTGGTGGTGTTTATTTTTTGAGACAGGGTCTTATTATGTAGCTCAGGCTGAACTCAAACTTGTGGTTCTATCTCAGTCTCTTAAGTACTGATTAAAGGGCTCTTATCTACCCTCTGATACTTCACAATATACTTAGCATATTAAAATTGAAAAGTTAAAACTGTTTCCCAAACTTATTTAATGATGAAGCATACGTATATGCAATAGCCACTAATATTCTATGTGAACACACTTTTAGTTCTATAAATTAATAAAAAAAATGTAGGAAATTTTATACCACTAAACTAAATACAAATTAATACCTCCATGCACTCCCTGAATTTGATGCAATATTGAAAGTACTAGAACAGTATCATATAGGTCTATAACCTCCTAATCACAATTCTGAAATCAAAAGCTATGAAAATTAAAGTTTGGTGTGTCCTTAATTTGGTGGCAAAACTTGGCTTGAACTAAGAAGAGGTTGTTTATGCTGTTTATCTCACATGGGTGTATATTTTCATGGTTTACTGAAAAAAAAAAAACCATGAATAACCCGGTCCCAGATTCCACCAAGAGTTTTATACCTTTCTTTCTTTTTAACTTTGAGATGCTAGGAATTGAATTCAGGACCTTGTCCATACTAGGCAAGCACTCTTCCACTGAGCCACACCCCCCAGCAAAGTATTATCATTTTTATTTTTATATATTCTTAAGAGCTGGGTCTCACTATGATGCCTAGGCTCAAGTGTTCCTCCTCCCTCCTGAGTAGCTGCAACTACTGGCCTATGTCACTGTCCCTGGCTTTACATGATTTTTAAACCTAAAAATCCTGAATTCTGAAAAGCCATCTGGGCTCATAGATAAAAAATTGTGACCTAAATTCCAATATTCAAAATATCACTGAGATATAAACTGTTATTAAATGTTTTATAAAATGTTTGCTTACCATGTCATCCATTTCTTCCTCTTTACTATACCGGGCATAATCTTTTCTTAAAAGTTCTCATTAAAATCATTGAAACTAAGCCCACCAAGAAGATCACCATCATGAAGGAGTTAAAAATTGAAAACCAATGAATCTAAAATAACAGAAAATGAAGAAATACCAGTTACAAAATTCATAGGTTTCATGACAACTGGATACTAATGGAAAAAGTCTCTTAAAAATCTTTTATATAAAAATCCAAACTCCAGACACACTGGAAATGAATTTCTCTGTGCCAAGGAATTGTCTTTCTTCATAGTAAAATTTGGTATATTGAAAACATACCTCATCTATACAGATTTTCACAACCAAATTTACTATACCAATAAAGTATAATTTGGCCATATGGCATATGCTATTCAGCTTCACATGGAAAAAGCACAGGAGTGGAGTCAAATAAGCCAGGGTTTTAACCCAAGCTGTGCCAATTTCTACATGGCTTCAGTTTTCTTATTGGAAATGTTATTTGTAAAGTTTAGGAATGAGGGTGTGTGTGTGAGCGCATGCATAACTGAGCCTTAAAACACTAAAACCAAACCATCACAGTTGACTGCCATGGACTTAGATCATCTTCCTGAAGATTTGCTTCACTTACTTTTAGTTTGTTAACCCCACCTCACCCTGTCACACCCTCATTATTTAGTCCTTCCCAAATTATCCACAGAAGGTAAAGAGAACATTAACATACTCCTTAGTTTCTCAGTGTTCTCACAGTTCTTGGTTTTAATTTCATCCACACAAAATTATGTCTAGATTTCAGTCCTACAATATTTGAGTGCATCTCAGAACCAAGTACATCTGACTTCAACTAGGTGAGTGACACTGCTCAGTTATTCCTTTAATTATCTTTTAATCCCAAAAGGTCCTTATGGGTGTTTCCAAAACTTCTTAAGGCCCCATAGCCATCCTTTCTCCTGTCTTCTGCCATCCAGCATGACACAACTTTTCTGCATTCATCCTCCTATCCTTTCATTCCTCCTGTCAATCTCTGAGGAGCTGTTTCTCCTCTGAAGTCAATCTTTGCACTAGGCTCCACATCTTATTCACTTGAGGTGTTTTCCTTCTCTCAGTTTACCCCATTAAGTGTCCCCTCACTTCTCCAGCACCAGCAAGTCCCTTTTACAATGAGGGCAGTTTTTAACTTGGATGAATGTGCTGAGGATGTGTGCCAAGATGAAGAGCAGTCCTAGCTCTGCTATCCACCCTGAGGCTCTTCCTGAAAAGCAGGAAACAGTCAACTGTCTCTGCCTCTGCACAAGATCATCCCTTCCTTCAACAATTTATTTACTGAGTACCTACTAGACCTGTAAACAAAACAATGAATGCATTATGCTTTGAAATGTTTGCCCAAAAAAAGCTATATAAATTTATCATAAAATATCATTAAAAATTTATGAAAGCAGTTTGTAATGACAGCCTTTTCAAAAAATGTGATTTTGTTTCCTCTTGGGAAATTAATAACCCAGAAAAAGTCAAGAGAAGGAAATATATACGTGACTCAAATCTTTTAGTCACTTGGCCCAATTTTGAAAGAGAAATGAAATTTTATATACATTTAGTAATAAGAAAGATACGCCTAAAATGCTAAAATTTACAACATGAATGGAACTGGAGATAATTATGTTAAATGAAATAAGCCACGCACAGAAAGACAAGTACCATATGATTCACTCATATCTGGAATGTAAACAGGTTGATCTCATAGAAGCTAAAGAATAGTGGTTACAAGAAGCCAGGAAAGTAGTGGGCAAAGAAGGTTGGGAAAAGGTAACTGATGGGTACTACTAAGCTACAGTTAGTAGTACAACAACAGTAGGATGACTGAAATAACAAAGTATACTATACAGTTCAAAAACTGCAAGAATGGATCTAGAGTATTTTTACCGTAAACAAATAATAAAGATTTGAGGAGACATGTTTACTCTGATTTAAGCCTTACACATGTATTACATATTCTGAAGCATCAGATAGTACCTCATAAATATGTAGTTTTTATTTCTCAGCTAAAAAACAAATTTGAATTTAAATGCCAAAACTTCTAACAAGCTCTCTGCTATTTTCTAATGTACGATATATACAATCTAAGATACAAACTTTAAACCAATGCCTATTATAATGCACTACTAATAATTTGAAATTTGTAACATTCATTTATTCTAAAATTATAAAATGTGGTATTATTTTGAAGTTTTATGCCAAGAAAAATATTTCTTAAAAAGCTGGTATCACAAAAGACTTCATGACCCTACTAACTGCTGCACTATAGCACCCCCTAGTGCTAATTCTAAAGCTGCACCCTCAATTTTTCCTGAATTTTAGAATTGGAGATAAACAAGGAATGGCCAACCTCATGTGAAATTGCTCAACCATCCCAAAGGGTATCATGATCCTTACTCCACTACTAAGGAAACAAAAACTGATGTGATGACCAGGTGATGGTGAGTAACAGAGTCAGAGCTGGATTCAGTTCCAATTCTGATGTGTGTGCTTTAGGCATGAAGTTAGACACCACCCTTATACACTTATACAACAGATTCCATCCCATCCCATCTGCTCCCCTCCCACCTACTTCAGGAAAACACTATAGGAATTCCCCTTTCTCCGGAACTTTCCATTTTGTACTCTTCACTGAACCCATCAGTATATAAACATAATGTTTTTGCTGTATCTTAAAAGGAAAAAGTTGGGCACCAGTGGCTCATGCCTGTAATTCTAGCTACTTGAGAGGCTGAGACACAGAAGATCAAGGTTCGAAACCAGCCTGGGCAGAAGTTTGAAAAACCACATGTGCAGTGGCACACACCCATCATCCCACTTACGCAGGCCAGTCCAGGCAAAAGAGTTCATGAGACCCCCATCTCAGCAGAAAAAGTTAGGCATGCTTTTTCTGTAGGGCATGCCTCCTACAGTCATCCCGGTGACTGTAGGAGGCATAAACGGGAGGATCATGGTCCAAGCCAGCCAGGGCAAAAAACAAGACCCTATTCTCAAAGATAGCCAGAGCAAAAAAAGCAGGAGGCGTGTTCAAGCTGTAAGTACAAAGTGCTGAGTTCAAACTCTAGCACCACCAAAAAAAAAAAAAAAAATCCTCCTAATGCCACCTTGTCTATTGAACTGCACCATTTCTTTGTTCTCTTTAACAGCCAAACTCCTCACAAGAATATGCTTGCTGTCTCCAATTCCTATGCCTCCATTAATCTCTCTGGAGCTCTATTCAAATTTTGCCCCATGTCACACCAAAACTGCTCTTTGCCAAGTTCACTAGGAACTCCTAAGGAACTCAATAGCTGCTTTTCAGTACTCATCTTATGCTGTATTTTGGATCTGGAATGTCCTCCAAGGCCCATGTTGTTAACAGATTCCCCACTTGGCATTATCTGGAGGTGGTGTGAACATCAAGAGCTGGGGCCTAATGGGACAGCATGCTCTCAGAAGGAGACAGTAGGACTCCAGCTCCTTCCTATTTCTCTTTCAATTCCCAGCCACAAGGTGAGCAGCTTTGCGTCACCATGTTTCCCCGCATGATGTGCTGCCTTGCCACAGACCTAAAGTAGTAGGACCAAGCAATCGTGAACTGAAACCTCTGAAATCATGAGCCAAAATAAACTTTTCCTCTTCACAAATTGATCATCTCAAGTATTTTGTTACAGATAAGGAAAACTTACTAACACTTTTTACTTGGCCCATTAGCAACAATTCAGAACTAATCTTTCTATCCAGGATACACTCTATCTGGCTTTCAAAACACCATATATTCTGAATTTTTACCCTTAATGCCCTTAGCTAGATACTCCTGTTCTCCCTAGACTCTTATTACTGTCCCCAGAGCTCAGTCCTTTGTCACTCTCCTGCTGAAACCACTGCAATGCTTCTCCAGAGCCTTTGCATTGAAGAATAAAATCCAAAGTCCTTATAGTAGCCATATGATTTATCTGGCTTCTCTTACCTCTGCCTTCATCTTCATGCTGTTCCTCAAATCACTTTATCAGGCTTTTCAATGGTGTTGCTCTGTGTGAACACTCTTTCCTTAAGATGCCCACATTCCTTATTTCCCTTCTAGTTTTTCTCACAAGTCCCTCTCAAGAGACTTATCCTGATTGCAATATGTAAAGCAGCAACTTACCCTGATTGTGGCACCCTTGCTCCACTGTTCTCTTTTCTAATGAATGCTGTATGACCACAGTGTACACTGTACTTACTACTTACTAAAATGTAAGCTCTCAGAAGTGTGGATCTTTGCCTTTCACTTTCTAATGTGTTCTACTTATCTAAGACAGTGCTTCACACACAACATATGCTCAATAATGTGTATTAGAAGAATAAATAGCACATTGCTCTGTGTAAAATGCAAAAAGGCAGTCTTTATCTCAAATCATAAATACCAAAGACTAAAAACAAGGCAGACCTAAGTGTTCCAGTGGGGACTGCCAGTTGAAAGCCCTCATATTCTCAAATGTTATCTAAACTGAGGAACGGTGGCCATACCTGTAACTGGACTACCACATTCATAACTGCCTGAGAATTATACCTGAGGAGGAAGCATGAGGGTAGCAGGTAGAAGAAGTAAAGAAAGTAGAGGTGGGGAGAAAAATGTAGCTTCAGAACTAGTGTGCTAAATTTTTCAGAAAGGATTATCCCAGAAATCCCAGAAAAGCTTTTTTCTTTTCTCTTTTTAAATCCTAGAACCCTGAGGAAGATTAGATGTAGTGATAGGTTCTGGTGGAATCTAAGCATGGAACCTAACAGCAACAATATAAATCCAAAAACCTTCGATCCATCTCAAAAACAGATGATAAATAAACTTCAAAATTCTAGTCCAAAAAATGAGATCTAAATTGAAAAAGAGGCAATTCGGGGAAAATGGATATATTCTCTTATGCCTTGTGGTCTTTTAATCTTCACCCTTTAAAAAAGGAGCCACCAAAATAAACCATATTTTTGCTACCAAGAACCAAAACTACCTGTACAAAACTGCTACTGATGCTACCCACTGATCTTATGAGCTGAGATCCAGCTTATATCTGCAGGCAGGGGATAAGAAATGTGGAAAGAGTTTCTTCCCATTCTTGAATGTTTCTATGTGCAAAGATTTCTACTAGCAAAAACTCTGACCTCATCTACTTGCACATTCATTTCTTTCCCAGAAAATGTGTACACTCTGCTGTCACTTCACACAGTAAGTTTCTCAAGGGCAGGTACCCATATAAGAAAGCCTGCAATAGTGTGTTAAGCCTGCACTGAGTGTGTTAAGTCTAATTCTGAGTTTTAATAGTAAAAAGCCTATTTGACCATAAACATAAGCAGAATTCTCCAATATTTTATTATTAGTAATTAAAGTGATATGTTAGCTTCCCAGATATCTGTGTACCTCTTAATTGGTTTAAGCCACAGCATGAAGGAGATTTTGATTATTCTTCTAAAATACCCTATTGCACTTATGACCCTAAGTTCACATCTGCAATCACAATTAAATCTTGAAATTGACCTACAAATGGTAAATACTGAATGTTGATGAAACTGATTTGCACACATATAAAATATTTTAAAATATACAAACTATTTACCTACCCTATGTTGAAAAAAGGATGGATCAAGATATTTGTCAAATCGATCTTCAAATTTTACATCTGACTTTTTCCATTTTACCTGAAAAAAATTTTCATTTGAGAATCAAGGCCAGTAAACAAATCAATAATCTGATGACAAAACTCCAAGCAAAATTTAGAAATATTTACACACTTAAAATTAACAAGGGAAATGGTGAAAAGTTACCATAATATGAAAAGTTTAAACAAAAACTAATCAACTTTCTTCTCTGTGTATCAGCAAAACTTACAACTTTCCTTTGAGGGATCATTTCAGTTTTCAAGGACTATTCACTATTATTGCCTCACACACTCTAACCTGATGTCACAAGTGTTGAACCAATTAAAATAAGAATCTGGACATCTTTAAGTTTAGATTGCTTTTACTATAACTATCAATTATCTTTATAAATATTATTTATACTAAGTACATAGCACAAAGCTTGAAAAACTTTCAAAATTGTGTATGAGCAATGGACTCTTTCCAGTGACCAAGAAAAATAACTGGCAACAAGAGAGGCTACCTGCATTGAATTTTTCTCTCTTCTTTCCACCATTTTTAAACCTAACAGAAAAGGATTAACCTGATAGTTCCTAAAGGGTTCTGAAAAGCTCTTACTTGGCAGAAGTAATTATCCCAACAGATAAAGTAAACCATGGTAAACTGTATCTATCCAGAAACTTTCTGTACAGTATCACTTCTATCTATAATGATAAAAAGGAAAGAGAAATAATACGAACTGCTGTAACCTAAACACGTAACTATGAAAACACATGGCTGGGTTAGTACACCTGCCTAGTTGTAACAGTAACTTTGCTAGAGCAAATACTAGGTCCTGCAAATAAGTAACTGGTATCTCATACTATATTTGTGAGGTACAACTTTCTCCTGCTTTTAGGAGGCTTACATATATTTAAATGTGTTGAGGAAATACAGTTTTAATAATATTCTGTTGCATTCCATTTCAAGCTACATTTTCACTTACTAAAGTTCAAAACACAATCACAAATACTTCTTCCTACATAAAATTATTTTAATACTTACTGAATATGACATCTGTATTTTAGTATTTGGAACCAATTTCACCTTCCCTTCACTAGTAAGATTAACATCAACAATTCGATTTCCATTAAAACCTATTTCAAGTTTTTTGTAGGTCCAAAGATAGTAATCTTCTCCATTTTCATCTGCTTCACCAACAATACCTATAAAGGAAAACGCACTTTATGCAAGGTAATACCACTCAGTATTTAAAAAACTGGTGAAAAAATGACCAGTTCAACATAACTGACCACTAATTTGGCCCTCAAAGGTCACACTTTTGTCATTACTATCACTTTCATTGCAATATATGGGGGTGCAGGCTCCCTAGCATCTCTAATTTTCAGTCCAGTGATATGTCACCATCTGTCAAGGTTACCCAGCTCCTAGTGATCAACCAAAATTAAAAACAAACTATTTCCAGAGACCACATCCCATATTTTCTCTAATAAGTTATGATCTAACCAATCCTGGAAAGATGCGTGTGTGTGTATGTACAAAACCAAAAATGTACCAAAACTTAAAATGCCTCCTCTTTCAAGTATTGAACCTGTCCCTGGAAAGTCATCAAGGTCAAAGGAATGCTGAACATAAATGGCAATGAGGCAAGAGTTTAAATGATTATTCTGATGATTTGGGATATTAGAGATCTGAACAATGTGAGACAATAGGTGATAGCTGAGGATTCATTTCTTGTGCCCTTGAACTGTCAGCTTTTTGTCCAATGTTCCCTGCCCAAGCCTATGTACTTACCAAAGTCGTATGCTCAGAAAGTTACTCTTTAGGCCTTTCCTCTATGGTCAATGCAGCCCATTAAAATATTAGGAAAAAATATGATCATTTCTTATGAAGATTATTTGCTTAATAACCAACATGATTCTCACTAATTGGTGCAACTGAAAGAATACAGTTTTGTTTTATTTGGGGTTGAGTATCTCTCTATAATGAAATCCTTCTAATACGCTTTTCTCTAACAGGCTTTTTTAAAAGACTGAAAGCTTTCCCCCAGAATTTTTTTTTTGACAAAGATTCCCCATGGTTCAGATATTCTAGGATATGCAAAAGTATCTTCTAAACATGGCAGACCCTGAAATCACAGGGTTAAAAAAGATTTAAGACAAGAAAACAGAAAAGTCACAGCCCGCAGAAATGAGTAGGGGAAAAAACCCAAAACTAAACCAAACAAACAACAACAAAAATACAACTGAGGATGATCTAGTTAAGAAATCCACAAGCAATGGAAAAGATCAAAAATGAAGAATGCTTGGCCTAATGCGTCCTCCTAAATTACAGGATCAGAAATCTTCAGTGAATATGCAGCACATCTTCCTGCTTCCCTATCTGATCACAGAAATGCCCATGTAACTATACACAAATTACAATGATTGGTGTGGAACGCTTACTATATATACCTGACGCATAAAAGTAATAATGATGCATACAATTATCTCTTCAGATTTTCTTATAAATTTCACCTTGGTATAATAATAAACTCTGGCCTGGTATGTTCAATTGTTTAGTTTGGTGGTCATGAGCTAACAATTTTAACAATTAGAAAAGATATTTGTTGTATACAGAACATATGTCCAGAGACAGAAAATGTGCTCAAATATTATGACTATTATCGCTGCCTATGCTTTGTATTTAAAATAATTTAATCAAGTCCAACATAAATGATTTTTGGATTATACTTAAGTTTGTGTAACAGTGCCATAGTACTTCTCCACTAAGATGAATATAAGCAAGAGCTAGACACAAAATTTTTTTAAACGTTGAAAATTTTGGAAAACAACACAGGGAACTAGTTAAACAAGTCATTCAAAAAACTATCATACCCAGCTGGGGGCAAGGCTCAAGTGGTAGAGCACTTGCCTAGCAAGTGTGAAGCCCTGAGTTCAAACCTCAGTACTGCCAAGAAAAAAAAAAGATAAAAGCTTCAAGTAACAGGGATACATAAAATGGCATTAAAGTTACTCTGTGGGAAATGAAAACACATTTATATCATGATCCAATATAGAATTAATAACCATAACAAAGTCATTACATAAATCTTGCTTATTATGCAAATATTCCCAAACCTTAAATGCAATACTTACTTACCCCATATTGGTAAGTCATCTATGTACATCTGGTACCAGTAGTGATTTTTGATAGCATACACAAATGCATCTCTTTTTTCTTTATCTAAGTCAATTTCACAGTAAGTGGCTGGCATCACATCATCTGCATAAAATAAAAATTGCAAATTAGTCTACTGATTTGCAAAACATAATACAAGAAAAAAGCCAGTGTTTCCTGAAGTTTAATATTCTATTCATAAGAGTTGATTCTGGATGATAAATATCTGAGGATTCACTATGCTATCATTTCTTTTGCTATATCTTTGTAATTTTTAATAAGAAGAATTTTAATCACCTTTATTTTCAAATATTATCTTACTCAGTGATGAAATCCCTTATATAAAGAAATTATGTAGGAACAATTTTACAAAGTAACTTTAAAATGAATAAACTGTTTTAAAAAATAAAAAAGCTTAGCCAGATGCCAGTGGCTCACACCTGTAATCCTAATTACTCAGGATGCAGAAATAAGGATTACAATTTGAAGCCAGCCCACATTAAAAATGGTTGCTGGAGTGGCTCAAGTGGTAGAGCACCTGCCTAGCAAGGTTAAATCCTGAGTTCAAACTCTAGTACTGCTAAAAACAGATCTTAAAAAAATAAAAAGTTAGGACACATTAGAAAGTTTTCGTTTAATTTATGAGAAAGCTTAAGAATATGACCCTAAACAAAGGTAACACTATCTAACTGTAAGATTTCTGAGATAAACATTTAACATTCTTAGAAATACAAGTCACTACAGACTAGATTCTATGAGGAATTCCAGTGACTCTTCATAATAAGATTAAAAGGGAAACTTCTATCCAGCAGGCATCACTGTTTAAAAATTACCCAAAAATCCCCTGAAGATGAGTCACTTCCACTCTTGACTACTTTCAAAAACAGTACTGGCATAATTCTATTCAGATGGTCTCTACCTTATAAACCTAATGTTTCAAAACTGTGATATGTTCTAAATAAAACAAAACAAAAATTTCAAAAACCCTAAAAATTCTCTAGATGTCAATAAAGAGGAGTAAACTATTTTGCTATGTTACTTAAGCAATTAGGAAAAAAATCTTAAAAAAAGGAAAACACAAGTTTATGTCCTCTTGTGTTAAAATATTGTTTTTTTAGTATATGAAATGCAATTTTCACAAAGAAACATTAACCCTTTTAAACATGGGTTAAATTTTTTAAACATAAACTATAGTTGAATCATGAATGTAATGGCTACCTATAACATTATTTCTGTAAGAAATAGCAAGGTGAGTTATAAATTGACACTCCACAACATTTACCCCAACTCTCAAGAGAAAGAACAGTTTCCCTTATTATATCGATCAGTCCACAGTGGGTATCCCCAAATGGACAACAATAAACAACAAAGTCCTATGGGAAAAGGACAGGGAAATACTCTCTTCCCCTCAAGTAGAAGAAAATAGCTTTATCTCCAATACCCTCTCCTATGCAGATTTTCTTTCAGTAAGGAATTTAGGATTTTCATAATGGTAAAAACTGAAGCTAAGCAGTGAAGCAGGGGAGAGTTAAGAGATGAGGTTGGTATAAAGGGTTCTTAAAGCAAGAGCCAGAACTGTCAGCAAAAAGTCCCTAAAAAGGACACAGTAGCCTTGGGGTGAGGGGGTGCGGACTAAAGGAAGATCCAGGCCAGGAGGGCAAATACCTGCAATCGCTGCGGAATTCAGCTACGCAAATTCCTTGCTGTTATAAAAAAACATTCATTGATAATGATCACTAACAATGTGGTAGTTTTGAAAATATGACATTTATATGCATAAACTTTTAAAAACTTACTTAGTCTGAACTGTTCAACTGTTACCCAATTGATCCATCATCTTCTCCTCTTTTATTCTAACCTAACTCAACTACCTGCAGTTCCCATACACCTTGCTCCCTTGGTCTCTGAACATTTTTGCTCATGCTGTTAACTGCACTTGAAAATCCATTCTAAAATCTTTCCCATTCCTGCACCCTGTCCTCCAAAGAGCAGTCCCTGATTCCCCACCCCCACAAGCCTGCCCCTTTCTCTGAAGTCCCATGGCTTTCTCTTCACACCTCCCTTATGGCATGTAGGCCTGAATCACTCTACCTCAGACCAGCTCCTCAAAATACCATGTGGCCTTGAGAGCAATGGCTAGGGCTGATTATAAAAGCCCTTTCAGGGCTGGAGATGTGGCTCAAGTAGTAGAATGCTTGCCTAGAAAGCATAAGATCTTCAGTTCAAACCCCAGTATAAATTAAGTAATCAGTAATTAAATTCTTTTTACCCCACAGCTAAGCCAGCTTCCCTACCCAACAGTATAGCATGCACATATGCATGCATCTGTGTATGAATGGGGTGTGTGTGTGTGTCAACATAAAAAATGAAGTTTTTGGGCAGAGTCTCTCAGAAAAATTAGAAAGAGGTCTTTAAGAGTATCTTTCCCTAATGTAAAATCTAGAAATAAAATGTGGTAGAAAACCTATCATGATTGTCTGTAAAAAGGGCACTGGTTGGTCATATTTTAGTGAAATTCCTCTTTCAGGCACATAGGCAAATACAGACATCACAAAAAACTGAAGACTTGGTTACCAGATCAAAATAGCACTTCAGTCTGGAGGGAGCTGCTGTAAAGATAGCTAATGCTGAATATGCAAAATCATTACCAGCATTCTATGTACTGGGAAAACAATCTGAAAAATCTATCACTAGAATCATTTTCTCAGCTAAAACACAGACCTATGAATTCTAAGGATGATGCAATTGAGATTTTACCAGTGCAAACTTTTTTTTTTTTTTTGTGGTACTAGGGTTTAAACTAAAGTCCACATGAACCATGTCTCCAGCCCTTTATGCTTTAGTTATTTTTCAAATAAGAGTTTCACACATTATGCCCAAGCTGGCCTGAACTGCAATCCTATTTACTTCCAACATAGCTGGGACAACAGGCATGTGTCACCATGACCCGCTTTTCATTGACTAAAATGGGGTTCTGTTAACTTTTTGCTCTGGCTGGCTTTAAATCCCAATCTTCCTGATCTCTGCCTCTCATACTTGGGATTACAAACACAAACCACAGTGCCCAGCTCATCTTATCTTTTGGTAACATTACTGAACCGGACAATCAGAAATTATCTGCCTCAAATTCAACAGCATTTGGCAAAGTCTCTCATGAAATCACTAGACACACTTATGGAGAAATGGGAGTTTTATAGTTTAGACTTCACTACTTACTAGCTATGCAAGTAAAAGAAGTTACTTAACCTTTGTGAATCTCAGTTCTGTCAAGTGTGAAACAGAGAAAACATCTGTGTTAGTTCCTTTCCAGAGTTGCTTTAAGGACTAACAGTATCAAATGTATTCATAAGTGGTGTTCTTAAGTGTTCTTAGCCTCACATCCCTTTGAGAATCTGATAAAAGTTTTATTTCTTTGTCCCCCAAAATGCACATTCACACAAAATTAAGAGCACAATTTCAGAGCTCCTGGGTAAATTCTGTATACTCAGAAAGCTCTGGGTATCCATTCCATAGTGCTGGAATGCAATTAGGTACTCAGTAACTGCCAAATGAATTCAAGGAAAACAGGAACTGGAAAAACTGATATATTCATAGTTAATTTAAAAACTACACAGAGTATTGATTCACTGACCAATCTGGTGTTATAAACTCCAATTTTTTTTTTTTTTTTAAGATTGGCTACTTGGTAATACTTGTCAAGAACAATCTTTCAAAATGTTCATTGCCAAGTCCTGGTGGCTCACACCTATAATCCTAGCTACTCAGGAGGCAGAGATCAGGAGGATCATGGTTCAAAGCCAGCCCCAAGCAAATAGTCTGGGAGACTCTATCTTGAAAAAACTCATTACAAAAAAAAGGCTGGCAGAGTGACTCAAGCAGCATGAGGCCCTGAGTTCAAACCCCAGAGCTGCCAAAAAGTTTACTGCCTTTGTTTTTGTTTTCTCCTTCTAAGAATTTACCCTATGAAAGATTCAGAGATTCAGTAAAATACTTAGGTACAAGGACAGTTAAATGTTTTGTTATTTCTAAGAGAAAAAAAAAAAAAAGAAAGAAAAAGAAAAAGAAAAGAAAGAAAAGGATGAAAGAAGGGTTGAGCAAAATATCTTATAACTAGTAGATGGGGAAAATTACAGTATTATAGTTAAAAATACTATGTAGTCACATTTAGAAGAGTTAACAATATACGGATAAACTCATAAAATGTTAAGAGTAAAAAAAAAAAAAACCAGGATAAAAACTAATCATTAGTAACTGGGTAAGAAATGCTTACCCAAGTGCATAATAAGCACTTACATAAGGGGTTTGTTAAACTTTTTTAAGAAAACATGCATATGTAACATGAACTCCACTTTTAAATATTTTAAAGCAATGTGGATGAATGGAAAGAAAAGCACAAGGAAAAATTGAAGAAAATATACCAAAATGGTAATAGTAATTTTATCTAGGTGATTTTTATTTTCTTCTTTATATTTATTATAAGTCCTAAATTATATACAATAAACTATATCACAGTTAAAACCAGGGGGGAAAATACACATATATTGCTTTGAAAACAAAAAAGATAGTTGTCAATCTGGAGGAAAACAATGTTACCAATGGTATAAACAAGGACTTAACAAAAAGATAATATTTATCAAATCTGCAATTGGCCCAAGGTGTTAAAGAATTAAAGGGGCTGTCACAGTGGCTTTAAGTGGTAGAGCACCTGCTTAGGCCCTGAGTTCAAACCCCAGAACTGCCAAAAAAAACCCAAAAAACTAAAGAATGTAAGACTATAAAGAATTGACAAATTCCAGATTAAATCATCTGGTCTGGCTAAAACACTGATTAAAACCAACAGGACAAAATATTGCGCTAAGTTCCAACTAAACAAGACAGTATGTTTCTTCTTCTTCCTGAAATTCATCAAAATGTCAGTAAAGAAAAAAAGATGTCAGTTCTACAACACAAAAAATAGAGAAATCAGTGAAGATAAGATTTCAACAAATTTTTTAAAAAGGAAAAATAGTGTGACAAGTGACACATAAAGCAGGAGGAAACAAAACACAGGAGGGACACCTAGAAGAAGGGGTGACAGGGACAGGTGTCACAACTCAAAAGACACAAGACTTGGAGGCACCACACATATTAAAAGGGACAGATGTAGGGCTAAACACACAAAACAAAGCAATCTCATACAAATATGTATGTGGAGTCAGATATGGTGGTATATGCCTGTAATTCTAGTACTCAGCTGGTGGAGGCAAGAGAATGAGGCCAGCCCAAGGTATATGGTAAGACCCTGTTTCAAAAAAACCAAAGGCTGGGGATGTAGCTCAGTGGCAGAACACTTGCCTAGCATGTGCAAGGCCCTGGGTTCAATCCCCAACACTGCAAAAGCAAACACAAACAAACAACCAGCAACAACAAAAAACCCATGTATATGGAGGGCTTGGCTATCAAGAGTCCCCTTCCCTACCCACAGTACAGCTAGATATATATCCTCAACTGATCCCCTGAAGTAGACCAAAGGCACATCATCCTCTAGAGAACCTAGAGGATCTAGCAAAAGGAACCGCAGAATAGTAAAAGCTAGGGACTAAAAACAGGATGAGGAATTATCTTAAGTAAAAATCTTCTACACCCTTTTCCTTACTTGATGAGGCCTGTTTCACCCAGGTAGATAATTGTGTGAAATATTGCACAGTGAAGATGATTAATAGCCAAGATGGAGAACCACTGAATTTTAAGTATTTAAGGCTGTAAGCAGACTTGGCATTTTTCCATATCTGCAATACTCAAAACGTAACAATTCACGCTAATAAGAAATATACTTGTAAAATTTCACCCCTTTGTTAGGTTGAGATATTCAAGGAAGACCAATTTTAAAAGTGGAAGGAAGGAATCATCTAGAAGTTACTGATTTTCAACAATTATCATCTTTTCTTATACTGTAGGATTCACAAATGGAGGGAAAGGGGGCTAAGGCAGTGATGTTTCCAGGTTAAGAATTAAAATTCCAGACCACCTACTGATCAAAATGAACAAGTATAAGAACACCAGGCCCTAGATATGTCTGAATAGCTATGGATGTAATGGTGGATAAGAAAGCACTGTCTTTACCCTGACAAAACCAACAGGCTAGTGCAGAAGCTTGGGATAAGTCCAATTCTACAATCAATAAAACAAATTTAACATTTCACAATTGCTAATCCAAAACCAAGTTGGAAATATAGACCCATACTATGTACTATCAGTATTGTAAGTTACCATTCGTTGAATGTAAACTATGTACTAGAACTTTGATAAATGCATTATCTCTTTTAAATCTGACAACAATTCTATCAAGTAGATATTGTTTCACAGTGAGGACTAAGAGATCAAAAAGGATGAATAATTTGCTTGCAACCATCCAGGTAAGCAGAGGCAAAGCTGGGATGCACAAGTGTCTCTGACCCTAAATAAAATGTTCTTTCCTCTCTATAATGCCAAGGTACTAAGAAGTACCCTCTAAAATTAGAGAATAATAAAATCAGGCCTGGTTTAAATATGCCTCATTTAGGCCAGCCTTGTATTCTCAAAGTATTTTCTCTAAATGATCTCAGCATTTGTCTAGTGCTAGAATGTAAGAAGAAATTAAAAAAGAAAATTACATATAAAATTCTAACTGAGAAGCAGTCTCTATGACCTAGACCTAATCTGCCTATAGACCTAGACTGTAGACTATCATTAGTTCCTTCTATGTGTGTACCCATGTAGGTATAGGAGTGTGTGGGTACATGTACACACATATGTGCATATATACTTTATTCTATTTTGATAATTGTAATTTTTATTATATTTGAACATGTCTTCAGATGAATCTTCAAAAGTCCAATATTTAAGGAATGAAAGATTAACAATATAAGTATTTCTACAGTCCAGAGGATGTTCTCACTTTTATTACATTAATAGTATGTATGATATACCATGGGCAAATCACTCCATCTCTGGGCCTCTGTGAGAGGAAATGGGATAACACAATCTTCAGAGTGCATCCTACTTTAAAATTTTATGATACTATAAGTAACAATTGGGAACACTCTCAAAGCATAATCAACTTTATCCTTGAACAGAGCAACCAAAAGCCTATAGTAGAGGGGAAATAGAAGTCTAATCAGCATTTACTATTTTACATGGACCAGTTAATTTAGTAGCTTTGCTTTTTTGTTTTGTTTTTTTTTTTTTTTGGTGGCTCAATCAGTAGAGTGCCTGTCTAGCAAGCACACTAAGTTTATCTAAATTTTTTTATCTAATTTTTTTTGTTGTTAATTATTTACATATTTATTCATATGTGTATACATCGTTTGGGCCATCTCTCCTCTCTGCCCCCTGTCCCCCAATTTAATAGCTTTTCTAGCAGCATATCCAAGCTGAAGGTACAGAGCTGGTAAGACCCAAGGAACTACTAACTCTCAAGCCAGGAATACCTGGCTAGCTCTTCTTTCAACCCAAAAGTGCTTAGCTTAAGTCTGAAAAGAAACTAAATCCCATTTTTCAAGTTCATGTTTAAAACCATCTCCCTCTATTTAAATAATCTCTCCATCTCAGCCTCAAGGAACTAATAAAAGAGGAAAGGTTAAGAATGCTGAATGAGCAATTGTCTTTAGGAAATAGGAGTGAGGATTTCAAAAACCACAAAACCAAAGTAGGACTCAATGGTTTTGCCTATTCTCTCTTGTTGGTCCCCAACTCAGAAATGTCTACCAATTATGCAAAAGGAGCAAATAGGTGAATAAATATATTATTGAGGCTCTCAAAGATCACATACTCCAGTTTTAAGTTTCCTCTTAATTGTGATTAAATATTTCAACTAACTTATTAAATTAAAATACAAGTCTCAGGGCATGTTTACAGTGATTTTTAAAATTATAGGCCATACCACTCACTATGGTTTCAATTTATAACTTAATTTTATAATTAAATCTCAAAGAACACTGTGTATAGCTGTGGGGGTGAGAATATAAATATGAACAGCCATTTTTAGTAATAGTAACAAAAAATTCTAAAAGTATACAATTTTAAAAATCAAAGTTAAAGTAGCATTATCTTTACAGTATCATTTCCTGTCCTCTTTCATACAGTACTAAAAATATCAAAAGACAGTTACTATTCACATTACACATGGAAATAATGAAGTAAAAACTGATGTAAAAAATTTACCAAAATCAATACAGAAAAAGAAATGGCATTAAAATTTAAAGTTCCTCATTACAAAACCCATCATCTATTCAAAAACCAATATATCTAATCAAAGATCCTGCAAAAATTCAATTCCTCAAACTTTAACTCATGGTACTAAAAATGCCTATGCAGGAAATATACTCTGATAAACTTCCCAGAGGAAAATTAGTTATAAAGACAATCAAAAGACCTTGTGAATACCTAAGGCAATAATAAATAGATTAGAAGGACTTTTTTCTCAAATTTAAATCTCCTAAATGTGTTGGGAGGGTAAATTAATATAACCCTGATAAATATCTGCTGAGTCAATAGCACAGATCTGAATTTTAAGACTTATAATATTTTTTTAATGTAAATTAAAAACACACATCCCATTACAGTCTCACATGTCCAGAAATTATTTAATCATGAAGCTATGAAGGTCCTCCCTGGATATCTAGTCACTAGAGGGTTTACAAGAAAACACTTTTCAGAGGCTGGGGATATAGCTCAGTGGTTTAGTGTTTGCCTCACATGCATGAGGCCAAGTTCAAATCCCCAGTACCGCAAAAAAAAAAAAAAAAAAAAAACTATACACTTTTCAGGAAGAAATGTATTAGGGAAACATAATTTTATTAATAATTGACTTTGTTAAACACTCTTCAATGTTAACAGCCCCATACAACAAAAAATTACATGGCCTCAATGTTGATATTGCCAAAGTTATAAAACCTGGCCTACAGTCTACCTCATATTGGAGAGACTATTAATGTTGACTTACCTTTAAATTTGATATCCAGACCACTAAATTCCAACTCAACTCCTTGAAGTGCTTCTCCCAGAGTTTCATGGTAATGGCTGATACTTTTTTTTGACCCCACACAGAATGGAAGTGAAAAGTACTTATAGGTTTCTTGGCGATTATGGTAGGGCCCAACAGTATTCATCCATAAGACAACTTCCTCTTTATCTTGATACTAAAACGAGAAAAGCAAGTAATAATATACACTGTTAAAAATCTAATTCAAATTAAGGGAATATGATCCATTCTAAACAACAGCGTATTATCTGTGTTCAAGAAGTATAAAATAAAATACCGGAGGCTTAATTTAATCTGATGATCAATGACTATACCTTAAATATCAAACTTTGTGACTTTTAAAATTATATCCTGATTGCGGCCTCAGGGTCCACATTTTCCAAACTATGTTTTATACAAGACAGTATTTAAGCATAATCCAACAGCTCTTTAGCGTATGTTTAAAATTAACATTCATATTATTAAATAATGATAAACCTAGAACCAACATAATTCAACAGGCTAACATGGACAAGAAAGGAGGAAAATAATCAACAGATTATCTAAAACCTGATGTTAATCATTAGACACCAACCCCCCACACCAAAAAAAATTAATGTACCCAGTACATATAAAACCCCCTCTCCTTTCTAGTTTTCACACGACCCTGGTCAAAGTACTAGAAAGGAAAAATATGACTAAAAGGAAGAATAGCCATAATGTAAAACTACCACAAGTCCATTTAAGCCAACATTCTGTTACCAGCCTGAAAGATACACACTATATGCATGTGTAACTATGGCTCTACCCATCAGTGAATACTGCATATAGCTGAATATGGACTTGAGGTAGGTGACTTCACCTTTCCAGGGTCTAGTTATGGGATCTGCCAAAGATTTCTAAGATCTTTACAAGTTTAAAATCCTAAATGAAAACTTACTACCTGGGTAATTTTAAAAGTAGGCATTCTAATTAAAAATATTAACTGAAGACATCACAGAAGTTGACCCACTCAGTAATTATTTACTGAGTGTATAAGCATGTGCCAAAAATGATGTTTATAACAGAGATTCTGCTTTTGAACAAAACCTGTTCCCTACCCTACTGGTCTCTTAAGGGAACAATGGACATTGAACAAGCAATTATAGTAAGGCAGGCTGTTACAAACCATGTAACAGAGGAAGCTATCCAACTAAGCCATTATAAAATCCTTTTCTCCAGTTCTCATCTAAAACTGATCAATAAACTTTTCCAACCAAAATCTATCATCTTTGTAATTAGACTCACCCTACCCAAATCCGCCCTCCCCAACTTTGTTTTCCTAATGGTGCTACCTACCATTCTCTCAGACAAGGAGACTCAAATTCAAGACCCTCTGCATTCCACAGAAACAGAAAACATTAACTTACCTACTTTTACAGTTATCTGCCTCTTCTTTTTGATTTGCATCAGTACCACCAGCCTAAGACTCAGATCTAGTCACCTCATCTGCAAATGTAATTTCTCACTATGCATATAAGGCATTATCAGGATCATCAAGGAAATAAACTATCTCACTCTTCAAACACGAGACACGTACCAAGAATTGTGTTAGATATTGAGGATATAAAGATAAATAAAATACTCTCCTTTCCTTTAGGAAGTTCACAATCCACAGTTGGGAACCAGACAAGTAAATGATTAATAATGGAGGAAAAAAAAGAGTTATAATTGAGGCAACAAAGTGCTATTGTAGCAACAATAAAAGAATGATTAATAATGCTCTGGTAAAGAAGGATCAGGTAAATAATCTAGAAAATTGTAAACTGCTTCTAGCAAGTTCGGAAAAACAACTATAATTACCATGTATGAAGTAATAAATCAAAGGTCTGAATGTTAATTTATCCATCTATATATTCCCATTCATAAGTATTCTTTTTTAGGAGAGGGGAATGAATAGCTAAGTCACAATTCTCTCGTCCAATACTCATGATTACAGAACACTAATCAATCAAAGTACTCCTTTCTGCTATATGTAACCTCAGCAGTCTCCTCAAAACAGTGGTCTAGGCAAAGCAATGGTGGTACAGGCCTATAATTCCAGCACTCAGGAGGTTGAGGCAAGAGACTGCCAGTTTAAGTCCAGTCTTGGTTATACAGTGAGCTTAAGGATGACCTGGACTACATTTCAAGACCTGTCCAAAAGCGAACAAAGGAACAAATAAAACCAAAAAAACAGTACACTAAACCAACCACTACTCACTGACCAGGGCTGGTATTAGAAGTGAAATCTGTTCACTAAGGCAAAATCTCTCTGCATACTACAATATACATAAGTATTTCATAAGATAGGAGATCTCTGAAGAAATGTGAAGTTCATTGGCAACTTAGTAAGAGAAGTTTGAAGCATCTTCACTGACTGGTATGTGCACTGGCTGTAATAGTACTTACTATATAAAGAGATATAAAAGAGGTAACAACTTAACATAAGAACACTGCATAGAGCACCCATTAATGAGAACCTTGCCATGAATCCTGCTTAGGCTGCACAAATGTTATGTAACTCTAGAAAATAGTTTTTCTATAAATTTTAATATACACATTCCTTTAAAAAACAAAAATCTGAAGATAAGACATTTCTTTAAAAGAGGGCATTCATTTATTTTATACAAACTGAAACACAGAACTAAAGCAATGTAAGAATGGCAATGTGTGGTAGGCCACATTCTGAAGTTACTAGAAATACACACACAGGAGGAATGGAAATAAAATAGAGGGGTGAACTTGTTCAAGGTACATTGTATTTATGGAATAATCACAATGAAATTCCCTCATATTATGAGAGTATGTTAATTCAAAAATAATTTAAGAAATAAATATACACACAGTTTAAGGTGAATTTTAAGTCAAAAATAATCCTTCTTAGCCAGGTGCTAGTGGCTCACACCTATAATCCTAGCTATTTGGGAGGCTGAGATGGAGTAGGGAGGGGGGGAGATGGAGGTTCGAGGCCAGCTTGGGCAAATAGTTCCCAAGACCCCATCTCCAAAAAATAAGCAGAGCAAAATGAACTAGAAATGTGGCTCAAGCAGTAAAAACCCCAGTCCCATCCAAAAAAAAAAAAAAAACCGTCTTTTATAACTATTCCTTTTTATACAGACTGTGATCAAACACAATAAACTTAAAATGTTTACATTTCATCTCAGACCTTGACTGTCCTTGAGAATAAGTGCTCCCACAACAAGGTCAACAACTCTTTCTTGCAGGGTGTGGTGGTGGTGCCTGACTAATGCCACCACTTGGGAGGCTGAGGCCGGAGGATGGACAATTCAAAGACAACCTAGGGTAAGACTCTGTTTCAAAAAAAAAAAAACAAGTAACAAAAAAAGAGTTCTGTCTCAAGAGAAAACGTGTTTTAAAATAATTTGATATTAGAAAATATCAAAAGGCAGACTGGGCAGAGGGCACAGAAAGTTCCCAAACTCCCCACTCTATGAAGAGAGCGCAGGTAGGGCTCTTCATTCCACTAATCTGCTTCTTATAAACCTGTGGTTAAGTCAATTCCAAACACTCCAGGAAATCCTACCAAGTTTTTAAATACTTTCCTTAGAAAAACTCTGAGCTGGCCAAGAGAAAGATGGCATTTTATAACCTACCTGCAAAATGTAACTTCTGGGGGAGGAGGGAAGAAGGGGAAGAAGAGCATTTGACATATGGGGCCCCTGAGCATGTCAATAATTTCTTCCATCTGAAGTGTCCAGAAGTGGACACTTTGTCAAACGACAAATTCAGGCTATCTGTTTTCTTCACCTACTCATTTTGCAGTATTCAAGAGAACTTCAGTGTTAACACTCAACCCATGAACTCTCTACTCTAAGCCAAAATGGTTACATCTTCCTTTCCTTTTATGCATTATCTTGTTTCTTTTGTCATTCCCAAAAATTCATCCCATCTTCCTTTTCCCCACTTAATCAAATTCTACTTACCCTTCTGAACTGTTCAAGTCCCTCTTTCTCAAGCCCTCTGATAAAGCCTTAACTGACCAATCCCTAAAATGATATGACTTTGGCAGCTTTTCTAATACCTCACTAGCTACCGTACTAACTACATACCAGAAGCTAGGCATATTTCTAAGGTCTTTACATGAACATTTAATCTCAAAACTCTGTAAGTAAGTCCTATTTTTCCCCCGTTTTACATAACAAAAACAAAAGCAAAAGAACAGAGAAGTTAAATAATTTGACCAAGCCAAGAATAGAAAGCATGACTATAATCCCAGCACTCTGAGGCCAGCTTGGGCCACCTACTAAGACCCTGTCTCAAGAAAACAGGCGCTGGTGGCTCACACCAGTAATCCTAGATACTCAGGAGGCAGAGATAGGGAGGATCACAGTTCAAAGCCAGCCTGGGCAAATAGTTCCCAAGACCCTATCTCAAAAATACCCAACCCAAAAAAGGGCAAGCAGAATGGCTCAAGTGGTAGAGTGCCCACCTAGCAAGAATGAGTTCAAACCTCAATTCACACCCCAGTATCGCCAAAATAAAGGGGAGCCAAATAATAATAGTAATTATTTGTCCAATATTGTATAATTAATCAACATCAAGCGTGTAAGTACAGGAGTATATTTTCACTGGCTCCCAGTCAGCTTCATTACCCAGCAAGACTAAATCGAGAAAATATGGAAAAGCACAACTGTACAAAAGCACCTAAAGACAGCACTTAACACTGAACAACTTTTCCACTGAGCCTTGAATCTGCCCCAAAAGAAAAAAACCTTCCTAAAAAGCTGCCTGCACTCTCATCTCCAAAGACAAAGCCTTTTCCTAATGAAGTCACAATGTTGGAGCCCTCTTATTAAATATTCTATGTGCTTTTTTTGGGGGGGGGGACACCAAAGTTTTCCTCCTTGACAAAGGCCATGAATTATTTTTTCTCAGGAGGAACACTTTAGGAAATAGTATTGCTGACATACTCTATAAAGACTGAATTAAGGAAATCAGAAAATATACTGACTAGCAAAGACAGCTCAGAATAAACACGCAGATGCTATTTTCATTTGGAAAGAACAGTGTTAAAATACATTATCAGAGAAAGCAAAATCCATTTCTGAAAATATTTCAGATATCACAGGTCCAAAAGTCTTTTAATTAAAACACAAGTCAGAATCCTAATACAAATGAATTAGAAGTGTATTTTTGAATGCCTTCTGAGATAACTATTCTCTCTTAAAATATCTTAGTACCTAAATAAACTTTTAGTCTATCATTGAGTGCAGCTGAAAATAGGACAACGAATCATGGCATTTCCTAAAACTGGATCTGTATTAACACACTCACAAACTCACTTGTAAATGGTCTTTCTCCTTAAAAATCAAAAAGTTTCAATAGTTGCTATACTTGCAACAGAGGGCTACCATTTGCCAAAGTAAAGCAAACAAAACATTTTTAAATCATTCATTGGTGCAATACAAAGTGTTTCCAGCAAAGGTGGAATAATCTATCCTAGGCACAGATGTCGCCCTTGCAAAATTAGAAGTTCAAGTTTACCAGAGGCACAATGGGCCATGAAGAAATAGGACATTAGCCACAAAGAAATAGGGTTCGAGCTAGGGACCCAAAATCACTATGCTTTAAGCAACAGAGTTTCACTCTTTCAGCACTTTGCATATCCTTGTTTCTAGTAGCTATGTAATTACTCAGCTCACTCAACAAGCTCTGGTTCAGTACTACCGGTGCCAAGCACAGAGCTTTGGTATGAAGGGTGCGGAGGGTGTTATGTGATCATGTTAAGGAAACAGAATGCATAAAACTCCAAGGCTACAGTACAAACCACAAGATGCTCTAAAATTCCTCTGCTCTTGACAGTCAGTTTTTTGGTGCTGACATATTTACTTATGATTACTAAGAAATTAACTGTACAAGACAGAAAAAAGAAGGGCTAGTGATGAGATAAAGCCACTGTTTCTGCAGCCTTGGGCCAGTCACCTGGGTCTCCACATGCCACTAGGAAAGTAAGTTTTGAGGTAAATGACCTCGTCTTCCCAGTTCTAAAACGATTCTACGATTTTTAATCAGTAGTTTTTAATGGAGTCCTCTGGAATCTTAGGAGACATGGTAATTTAACCCTAGAAGTTTCCTTGAGCTTCCACCCAACAGGTGTAAATCATACCCTACACACCTACCTTTCACTACTCTAAAGAAACCTTCAACCACTTAGTAAGAACTTTCATGTATAAAAGTGTTCTTTAATTTTAATTTCAAACAGTATGTCATATAATCCACACAACTTAATTTTTAAAAATTAAAAGCATATTTTTATATATTCTAGATGTGTATGTTCTCCAGAAGAGAACACACCTTCTCCTTCCCATCATTCTTCTGAGAGTATTATGAGAACTTTGAATAAATAAGCACATAAAGAATTCTATATGGGTCAGATGATCAGCTGACCCCTAATTCAGTAGGTACAGTAAAAAGGGGCTTTGTGAAATGGCAGAAAGTAGTGCCTTCTTAGAACAAAATACTTAATTGGTGAAGCCCAGTACAAAATAAAAATGCAGAACTAGGCATGGTGGTCCATGCCTGTAGTCCCAGCTATTCCAAAGGCTGAAGCAGGAGGATCATTTGTGCCCAATCAAGAATTTGAGGCCAGCCTGGGCAAAAGAGAGACTCTGTCTTGAAGACCCTACAACAAAAAAAGGAGGACCCTTTGTTCAAAAATTAAGAATTTCAGGTGACAGCAAAGCACTAAAACAAGCGGTCCTGTGTTAACTATTCCCGTTATGCACCTACTGTGGCCCTTGTCCTCTTTAATGCTAACCCAAACATCTCAGCAACAACCCAATATGGAGCTAGACTCATCCGACCATTTGAGAGCTCATTTGGAGGGTCTAACAGGGAAGTGCAGCTATTCTCAAACTCTTGTCCCAAAAGCAATCCTCCTCTATGGGGAAGGTTTTCCTCCTGTGCGTCTTTGGGAGGGACACACATGGAGTGCTGAGGAAGGAGACACCCGCCCCAGCCCGATAAATCAGCCAAATCAACCCTGGCAATCAATGGGATGGCTCACATCCCTAACATTTCTCTAACCACTCCAATATTCTATCAATGAAAATAACCACTCCGTTTAATACCAAATGTCTTATACCCTATTTCCGAGAGGGCTGTAGCACATATCAGATGAAAGAGTAAAGACGATTAACTCAGAATTCCTAGGATCAAATTCCACCTCTACCCCTGCTGGGTGTGGCCTCACACAAACAACCACCTCTCTGCCCTGTTTCTCCTACTACAAAAAAGGTATATCATCTGCCCCATAGGGTTATTTATGCATGTTTGTGTATGTGAGTGTTTGTGGTGCTGGGGATAGAACTCAGGGCCTTACACAGGCTTCACAAGTTCTCTTCCACTGAGCTACATCCCCAGCCCTCACACAGTCATTAACATATGGTTAGGATTTTTTTCAGTACAGGAGTTTGAACTTGGTTGGCCTTCACGCTTTCTAGGCCTGCTTTATCACTTGAGTCACTCCCTTAGCCCTTTTTTGCTTTTATTTTTCAGGTCACATTTTTGCCTGGGTTCAGCTTCAGCCCAAAACTCTCCCATCTACACCTCCAGAGTAGCTGGGATTACACATGTACCCCACCACAGCAGGCTTATGGGTTGAGATGGGGATCTCACTTTCTGCCCAAACTGGCCTCAAACCACAATCCTCCCAATCTATAACTCAGGAGCTACTGGGATTACAGGCAGGAGCCACCACACCCGGACCTAATATAAATGTGATTTGTAAGCACTTACAATTGCCTGATATAAGCCATATTAGTTATTATTTCTATCTGGAAACAGTCTTCCCAGAAAGTAAATCTAAAGGACAAGCTTAGCTTCCACAAGTGTTTGCTGAGCACCCACTGAGCAATGCTCTCTTGGTGATTTGCCTCCTTCAGCATCATTCCCTCTTCACTAGCTACTTCTGTCTTGTTGGTAGAGAGGTGAAAGCCAGTTCTCAAAAAATATTTTCAAGAAACTTAGACAAAGTAAAAGATTTTGACTAATAGCAAAAAAAAAAAAAAAAGACTTATTTGAACTTTGTATTTATAAATGAATCATCTTCTATTACTTTTTTTTAAAATTAATCTGTTTTTTATTGGAAGTCCAGATGGTGACTGGAAGAGAGCATAAGGGGACTCGGGGTCATGTTCTGATTAGTGGAGTGCTTATAACATCACAGGAGTAGCCAGTTGGTGAAAAGCCATGAGCACTTTTCTTTTCCTTCTTTTTTCGTAGCGCTGGGGCTGAACCCATGGCCTCATGCATGCTAGGCAAGCGCTCTATCACTGAGCCACATCCCAGGCCCCCTGTAACTGTTGATTAGGTATTAAATAATAAAGGGAAATCACATGAGAGCAGATCAATGTGGACATGCAAGGAAATGTGATGGATCCTAAAATTTTTGTCCAGCAATCATCTCATATATGTCACATTCTTCTTTATGACATTCAACAATATCCTTTTGGGAAAGGGTATAGCTCAGGAGTAGAGTGCTTGCCTGGTATGTGTGAGATCCTGAGTTCAATCCCCAAGACTCATTAAAAAAAAAAAATCAGAACACTCCTTGCAATAAAATTTCACTGAAGTTAGCATTTAAATTTAAATTTCTAAGTTATACTAAGGACTTTACACACCTACAATTTATTAAATTATAAGTTAATGGACTTCCTTATTTATAGCAGTATAAAACACAAGACTAAAAAAAGTAGACTATCGCTCTCAAGTTTGTATGTCACCTAACTAAGAGAAAAATTAACATTTTACCTAACTTTTCTTAAGTGTTAAAAACACTGGAGAAATATTAGTAAAAATACCATTGGCCAAAAAGTATTTTGGAAATAGCTTTTGGGAACTAAAAAGTAACCAATGACCCCAATATGTACATATGTCCCTGTATACTGTAGGAAACAATAACCGTTCTTACACTTCGAACAGGTGTAAATAACAAAAAAACAGATTTAATTTAGCGGTTTAACTTCTGAACAAAATGATCTTAAGGTGAAAACTCACAAGTGTAGCACAAGGGCACGTTACCTATTTGGGATTTGTGTCGTCGCTAAAAAAATTTACAGCTGTACATTTACAGCTAAGATTCTTAAAGTGACGACGTAAAACTGCCAAAAGTTTGGAGTTCTTAGTCAGCTGAAGTTAGCAGGGAACAGAAGCAAACTTTGCCGACTACGAATAAAATCTAAAATCCGTTAAATAAGGACTTCCTTACGTAGACTCTCCAAGGCTTTGAGATTTAGGGCATACACTAAATCTTCGCTTTCGCAAAATCACACCAATCACTCGGCCAAGCACCCAGGTCAGTTTCCCTGACTTTCCCGACTTCCTCGAGTGCAGCTTTCTGAACACCACCGAGTTACAGCCCTAAGTGAAAGCCGCTCCAGAAGTCGTTACCATCCACGCTTTGATGTGAAAATGCAATTAAATAAACCGCCCATCAACTTCAGACCAAATGCAAAGGGCCGGGCGGGGCGTGAAGACCGGGAGCCGCGGGCTGGGGGGCCGGGTGCAGCCCGCACACGTGTACGGCGCCCTCGCCCATTCACCCTGACCCTCGCTGGATTTCAATCCGGTTGGGGCAGAAGGGAGAGGGGAAAGGCTGGGAGGACCATAAAGTGGCGGGCATTTCCTGGTTGGAATGACGGACGATCGTCATGCATCCATCTTCGGCGGTGTCGTTGCCCCCAGGAGCCCGACGGCGTCCCCGACACCGGGGGCGGCCCCCGACCCAGGAGCGCAGTGCCTGAGGCCGGGCCGGGAAGCGAGGCCCAGGCGGCGGGGCTCACGGAAATGCCTCCGGCCAGCTCCCGCGGTTCCTGCTCCGCCAGGCCCGACCGGAAGGAGCCCTCGGACGGCCGCGGGACTGCACCGGGCCGCCCGGCTCTTCAGGCCGCGCCGGGCCTGCCGGGAGGGCAGGCAGGGGAGCCGGCCCGGGAGGCCGCGCCAGTCGGGGCGCCTCACCGTGTGTTCGTGCTCGTCCGCTCGGGCTCGGGATAGCAGCAGCAGCAACAGCGCGGCGGCCGCCGCCACGCCAGGGGCGCCCGGCAGCGGCCTCATCCTCCGCGCTCCCACAGGCCAGGCGCGGGCCCACCGACTCCTCCTCCTCCGCCGCCGCCGCCGCCGCCGCCTCCGCCGCGGCCGATTCGCATCCACGGGGGGCGGACAGACGCACGGGGCCCGGGCCCAGCCGCTGCCTCCTCCTTCGCCGCCGCCGCCGTCACCGCCCGCTCTAAGCCTCCCCCGCCCCCCAGCTTCCCAGCCTCTTCCTCTGACTCGGCCACGTCATCCGGCCACCCCGGCACACGCCGGAAGTGTTCGCGACGCGGGGCCGCAACTGCCGTCGGCGGAGGGAGAGACGCACGCACGCGCGCACGCACGCCGTCCGCCCTTTGCTCCCGGTTTGCTCCGCGGGTGCTCTGCCACTGCCCCTCGCGGTCGCCCCTCCGGGCCCTGTCTCGCACTTGGGCTTGGGTGACCGGGGGATCTGCGGGCTCTGGAGCCTGGGGAATGGCATCAAGTAATCCTTTCCAGGCACTTGTCTCCCACGGTGCATGAATCACGGGCCCCGTGACCCCGTGGGCGAATCGTTGAGCGAGATTGTTAAACTTGTAAAGTTGGATTCGTGTTTTTAAATCACTGAGTATTATTTTTGGACTCCTATTCAATCAGCAAATGTGGCCTAGGTTGAAATTCTTGGTCATCTGCCTACGTTTTATTTGTTGGCGTCGCATCCTCAGTCGTAAGGGCCTCGTGGAATACCAACTTCTCGGAGGAGATATCATGTTGACATGTTTTTCTGTACCTAGATATGTAGTAAGGACTTAAAATCTGTCAAATGAGCATAGACGGGCACCCCCTTCTGTACAGTCCTCTAAACCAAAAGTGTGGAACTAGTAGGACTGTTCTTCTCAGCCATCAACAGTCGACACATTCTAGCATTTGATCTCTTAAAAATGTCTCGAGAATTTATTTTTTGCTCTCCTTCCTCTGCCAGTAACAGCCAATCTTCCACATCACCGCTCATGGCAGCAGCCTCCTCCAACAGGATCCCAGCCACCAATCTTCCTCCCCTGCTTATCATTCCCAAAGGGTGACTGTACCCTTTTTCTAAAAAGAAACCAGATTGTATCACTCTCTTGCTTAAAACACTACTTGAATATTGAGTTTTTAAAAGTCATGGAATCACCACTAAGGTTTTCATCTGCCAGGTACTATTCTGAACTCTTTAGCATGTATTAACTGACTTGATCCTCATAAAAATCCTATGCTACAGGTACCTTTAGTGGGTTCATGTTACAGAGGAGGTAACCAAAGCACTGGTTAAGTGGCTTGCTGAAAGACCAGACAGAAGCACTCTGGTTCCATAATCAGTCTTTTTACTGCTAATGGACTTACAACTGTACAGCCATTCTAAAAAGTGAAATAGATCCACAAACACTGGCATGAAAAGATATCCAAGAGATACTTAAAAGTGAAAAAAATAGTGTATGCCTCCATTTTGAATGATAATGTTAGTTTACCTCTAGAAAACAGTCTGCAAGATTATGACTCAAATCTTTACCAGTGTGATAAACTTTCTACTTTTTACATACCTTCAATATTTGCATGTTTGTTTGTTTGTTTTTTACAGTGAGCATGTGCCACATATGTAGTAAGAGGGGAAAGTTTATTGCTAAAGAATAAAAGCCAACTTCCTTAGTCTGTCAATATGCACCTTGCGCAATCAGACCCTGGTAATCTCCCCAATTTTACTTCCTACCCACCTTTATGCTCTACCTTCATTCATATAGTTCCTGAATACTATACGCCATGTTCTCTATATCTTCATATCTTTGCTCTTGATAGTCCCTTTATTTAGAAATTCACCCCATCTACTTGATACTTAGCCTTTCAGGCCTAGCTGAATTAACACCTTTTCAGTGGGATTTTGTATGATGCCCTTGGGAAGTTGGGCATCCCTTCTTTGCGATTCCAATAGCATTTGGCATGTTATGTCATAATTGCTGATCTATTCCCATTTCCTATTCTGTACTACAGTCTGACCTTTTTTGATGGAAGAAGCTATCATTTGCTTATCTTTAGATCTGTCTCAACTGCTGGGATAGTGCTTGTCACATCATAGACATTCAACAACTATTTGCTGAATGAATGAAGACATTAACAAGTGAAGGATCAAATAGCATAGCAGGATCTAACACATGCTTTCTAGGTAGTATAAGAGACAACACAAGGCAGTGCATGATTAATTGCTGTATGAATCGTACATTACTGCCATAGAAATCAGAGGAGGCATCTTATTCATCTTCGTATATCTTCCAGAGCACCTAGCATGGTGACTTGCTCATAGTCGAAGCTCAGTAAATGCTCTATGAATGAATAACCATAGTCTTTGAATGAAGTGATGATGGGTAATTGAAGAACAAGCAGTGTTAAGTGCTGCCTAAAGATGGATGAGTAGTTTCTTCACAGCCTCCACAGATTTGAGGCATAAGCTTTTGCTGGATTTTGTGGGGAGCACCAGGCTGACAAATACTTGGAGGTAGAGAGGACACAAGAATATGTCTAAAATATCCATTTGGGGAAGATAGACTTAAAATTAGGAAGCCTTACACACAACAGAGAATAGGCAAAACAGTGTAAAAAAAAAAGCAATGTACAAAATGTGACCAACTGTGCAAATGTTCCAAGGCAGTAAAAGCAATGGACAATGAAAAAAAGGAGACTCTGTCTTAGTGGAGTATTTGGTGAAGTTTAACAAAGGGTCAAGCATGTAAGGTCATAAGTCAACAACTATTTATTCAGCATCTTCAGTGGGCCAGAAACTCTGGTAGGTACTACAGGAATGATGATGATAAGTAGAGTTAGGTGATACAAGTCTGGTGATGCAAGAAAGAACAGGAGACAAAGGAACTGGTTACAGAAAGTGTAGCTTCAAAGATCCTTGGAAACTGATGACCTCAAGGCTATGAAACAGGGCTCCAAAGGACCATCAAAATTAGGGTTCTTCTGCAAAACTGGGGAGTGAAATCCATTGCTATATCTTATTTCACCAATTTCTTCTATATTAATGGCCTCATTCCTTGATACAAAAAAAGGAAAAATTCCAGTACAAAAAAAATCCACTTTTCCCAATGGCTGTATAGTTTCTTTTTTTATGATAGTTTTAATAAGACTCAATTTTGGTTAAAGAGCTTATGAGCAGTGAAACAATCCAGAAAAAAAACCACAATTTTAATCTTTTATTCTTATTCTGAATAATCATGATCACAAGAATCTTGGGGTATGAATGACAATATATCCTGCGGTTTCTAGCTTCAGCTACCTTTTCTTAGAAATTCTGTTTATTCTTTCCTCTTTGCATTTGTCTTGCCAGCCATTTACTTCAGGGAGATGTTGGGAGGCTATTGTTATTTGCCACTTTCTACCACTGTCTTTTCTGTTCTTATTACCCTTGCTCTGAGTTCTTTCTTTAAAAAATAATTAAGCCAGGCATGGTGGTACATGCTTATAATCCCATGCACTCAGGAGTCTGAGGCAGGAGGATTGCAAGTTCAGAGTCAGTGTGGACTATTTAATGATACCCTGTCCCCCAAAAAAGGTTACTTAAACATTTCGTTTTTTGACTAAAGAACAATTTAAGGCCATTAATTTCTTTGTGTGGTTCACATTTCACTATCTCTCACTCAGTTTTTAATTGATCTATTACAATAATATAAACAGCAAAGAACAGCACTTGTAACATAATTAAAAGATCCTTGGTCTGGAGGTAACTCAGTGATAGAGCACTTCCCTAGCATGCACTAGGCCCTGGGTTCAATTCCCAGCACTAACAACAACAAACAAAGATATCTTACCTCCTTGCCAATTAGGGGTAACTTAACTCCAGTCAGGCAGTTTCCCTGCTTCTGCAGAATGAGGGATTCCCCACCCTTTGCCTTAGATTGGACTTCAGAGTTGAAACCAGTAAGATTACCAAACACAGAACTCTCTGCTTCTTAGGTGATGAAACACAAACCTGTGTACTCAAATTATGTGAACTCATCCAGTTAGTAGCAGACTAAAACAAAAACCAGGCCTCCTGACTTCCAAACGAATGTTCTCTTCCTTCTACCATACTAATTCTTATTGTGCAGAGAGATAAAACACTTTCTCAAATATACCATGCAGGCTAGCCTAGGAACCTATATTTTACTGTTTCTATGAGCAAATGAATTCCAAGTTGTGCCTCAGAATTCAGAAAACATCTTTCAGCCTCCTACTCATCCTCTTACCACCCTGGTGAGAATAGTATCTGGCCAGAAGGAATGAATGAAGACCATTTTTTATATTCTTAATAACTTGCTTGGTATTGAACAGAACACAATTTATTTATCAAACTAAAGCAAATATTTATACAGGTAGATTCCTCAAAATTGAGGATTGATGTTTAGAATGAATCCGTTAGAATTATCCAAATTAACCAGTTGTCTTTCTCAGAAATAAATCTGTTACTAATACTTCCTCTACCAGGCAGCTGTAAAATAACACACTATTCTTTGACGGAAAAGAGAGAAAAACCAACTTACTTCCTGGAACATATGGAAGAAGAATCTTAAAACCCCCACTATTGAGGTGATTTGGACTAACTAGGACTATTGTTTTGTGGTACTGGGGTTTGAACTCAGAGCCTGCACCTTGAGCCACTTCACCAGCCCCATTTTTGTGATGGGTTTTTCGAGATTGAGGCTTGTGAATTATTTGCCCAGGCTGGTCTAGAACCTCAATCCTTCTGATCTCTGCCTCCTGAGTAGCTAGGATTACAGGCAAGAGCCACCAGCGCCCAGCAGGACTGTTTTTAATAATAAAAGAAAGAAATGACAAAAATAGTCATTGCCTATAGGAATAGTCATACTATCACTTTGTATAATTATAACAAAGCATGAGTGATTATTTACATCATTAAATATGTCAAGTTAAATTATTCAATTGTAACACTAAACTCTTATTCATAGTCTGGTAGATTTTGTTGCTTATATAATTGTGTTATCTGATCCCAGCTTTTAATATAAGATGAAGGAATAGTGCTGGCTTAGGAATTGGAGGCCAATTAACCAATTAACCTTCTATGGTTGGGACAAATGTAACCAGCAGTGAATATGGTCAATTGTTTCACTTTCTGTTAAGCTAACTTGTAAAATCCTGGGGAAGGAAGATGGTAAAGAAGCTGTCTCCCAGAGCACCATAGAGAAGACTTTGTATCTGTCTCTTTAGATACCTGCTTAGCTTCTGATTCTCATTCTATTGAAAGTCCATGGAGTTTCTTTTTGGCAGTACTGAGGTTTGAACTCAGGGCATTATGCTTGCAAGGCAGGCACTCTACCATTTGAGCCACTCCACCAGGCCCATTTTGTGAAAGGTTTCTTGGAGATAGGATCTCACAAACTACTTGCCTGGGCTGTCTGCAAATGATGATCCTCCTGATCTCTACCACCTAAGTAGTAAGGATTACAGGCATGAGCCACCAGCGCCTGGTGAAAATCCATGGTTTTGTTACATAATGTATTCCTAAGAATGTGTACAAATGTGTTAGTTTGTGGAAGTTGAATAAATATGTTATAGTAGATAGCTCTCTTTCTAGAGGAAAAAAAAAAAAACCTCCTCACATTGTCCCAGTGTTTCAACCAAAACTTTTTCCTTTTCTTCTTTTATACACAACCAACCAGCTTTGCTGTTCAATGAACACCCGAGTACCCAAGACTTGTCACTTTTGATTTTCCATGACTGATCACACATTTATTATAAGCCTTTTCAATTTTATGTGTCCTACTTATTTTAATAGAAGAATAAAATGCAATAAACTGTTTAAATATTGCACTGTGATGTGCATACAAAGATACTAACACTACTGGCTAGTATAGATTTTCCTTGTTATTAATCATGCTTAGTTTTCAAGAAATATACAAAAAACTAAATTTGGCACCCACAAAGGGGCTTAGAGTTACTGAACATAAAAAGTATCACTTTTATGAAAAATCAAATCTTCTTAAGATGGAGACTGCCTATAAATAACAGGAAAAGCAACCATACTAATGTTGTAATTTCTTGTTCTTTTTTTATCTTACATTCTTCTATTTCTCCCAAAAAAGTGACAAGGAGAATAAAGGAACCACACTGAAGGCACATTTATACATGGCTATCATGTGTCAGTCCTGTCTGAGATAATTTGTGCAAATATTGCCATAGAATGGACATAGCCAATAGTGTAGTTTATATTCAACAACAACCCAAGACTCCTCTGGAAGCTGTTCACTTCAATAAGAATCTTTGCTAGACTGAAAAATGAGATTGAGAAAGAACCTTTAATTATTAGAAAAGGACCCAATAAAATTGTGCTGAAATGAATCATTAGTAAAATGGTTTCTATATATCTGTATGGGATGGAAGAATGATATCAGGGGAAACAACCATATTTCTGATATTTTTAAAGAAATAGTTCTGACATTAACTTTACAGTATTTTGAAGCATCCTTAAGTATCTGTGGTTTGAAGGTAGATTTATATGACAGAAACTCAAAATTCATGACATCTTGAAGGCTCTACATTTTCTGCACAAACAGACTTACCAAACCTTCTGGTAATAAGTCTGTAAGAAAACAGATAACTATTTCTATTTTTGGTTCTTTCTTCCACTTCAGATTCCTCACAGAGAAAAAGTCAAGGATCTTCCTCTCTCCTCATGGCCAGAAGTAAGATCTATAAAGGCAACAGAGCAGTAAGCGAGGTTCCTGGCATCCCAAACTTCTGGTTCTAATCATGTCCAGTGGTTTCCTGGCAACATAACTTGTTTGAAAGCATACTGAACTATAAATGCCCAAACTGGAAATGGTACTTGGTAGCACCATGCCTGGGAGCTATGGAAGAGAGAAACTTGTGGAAAGTCAATAGTCAGTTATTGATGAATTTCTAACATTGGGACATTTCTTGAGGGAAAGAGGGATTGGTTTCTTGGAGATGGAATTTGTGGTGACATAGAATCAGCAGACCCCAGATTCTAGACACAAGTCTTTCTCTGACCAACTGAGGATTCTTGGTTCCATACTTCTATGAACCCCAGATTTGCCTTCTATATAAGAACAATGACTAATCCCTGTCTAAAGTCTTCTTCAGTTTGTTATATGTGACTGGCCCTAGCACTTAAACAGAATGTTCAGATATGTGGAAAAATTATTTAAAAATTAGGTCACTTATCTTCTTACTTGAATATTATACATCTTATAATCACTTCTAGAAATTAGGCTGAACTAGCAAATACATAAGAACTTAACATAAGTGCATTGCAGTATAATCACTTATAAAGTATGTTTGTAATCAATCTTGTTAGGTTTCTGATATGGGAAATTAGAGGTAAGTGTCCTGATTAAGTCTTTATCCTTTTGGCAAATAAGCATGTGGACCAATATACTTGGCAATGGTGAATGCAGTGCTTGGTTTTTCACATCTTCCTGCCTTAATAATATCTTCTTCAAAGATCACCCAAACCAGCAGGTCTGCAACAATATCAGCAATGAGAGTGGATCTCAAAGTCAGTAGTCATGTAGGAAATTCAACATGAAGAGATAACTAACAGTCTAAAAATTGCAGTCTTAAAGTCCTGAAGTAGGAAGGGTTTAGGAGGTGGACTCAGCGACCTCTGGGTGGAACAGGTGGAGGAGGATGGAAGATCTCCCTGGTTGGAGGCCTGAAAAGAAAGATAAAACAACTGTATTAAACAGTTCTTGAGTATTCATGACTTGTGGCAAACTTGGTATAGTATGCAAAGGACACATTCCTCAATTAATGAGATGGGATATACTATGAGTATCTGAGTGACATACCTGCTAGCTGTAGCTCAATCCTTGTTGCATGTTAGAATCACCAATGGACCTTTGAAAAATACCAATTCCCTGGCTCTACCACAAACCCATTCTATCATAATTTCTAGAGGATAGAGCTCAAGCATCAAAACTTTTAAATATTGGCCTTCCCCAACTATTCCTTTTATTTTCTGATGCTTTGCCATCCTGGGGCCTTGCTGACTCTGGAGAGACTGCCCCTCCTGGGATCTACTAATAACCTAACCACTTCCTTGGGATCTTTATCCAATCTGCCCTTACCATGTCATAGTCAGGTATAGCCCCAGTACCCCAGAGATCACTGAAATTACCCAAACTAGACAATCTTAAACCTGCTTACCCTGCATCGCTCATTTATCCCCCCCAACCCCTGTGGAAATCACAATAAAAACTCCTGCCCATGCTTTTCCTTTGCTCCCTCTGCCTCTTTGTGCTTCCTGGTGTGAACCCTTCATGGTGTGGTGTGCTCCCTATTCTTGGGCACCATGACTATAACAAACTATCTGTTCAATAGAAGTTGTCTCCTGATCTCTGATTTTACCATCCTTAAATATTAATGAAACCGAAATGCTACACCACCAACAATTCTAATGGGCAGTCAGGAAGGAGCCCCACTGTGGTAGGGAGGCATATTGAGAATCTCCAAAACTTGCTTCGCATCACTACTTCCTCATAGGATCATAAGTGTTATCCCAACTCTGTTTCTTTCTTAGAAGCCCCTCTCCAGGTTTTTCTAAATGATTTTTCTAAGTTCTAAATGAAACTCCAGGTAGACTGGGTGAGTCTGTTTACAGATAGGCTCAATGATTACAGGTGGCATTTCCACATGTATGCTGTAAAACCAATATTTAATTCTCTTGGAAGCAAGTCAACAAAGCCAGAAAGAAAGCTTTGTCAGGTGCTGTAATTGAACTGTGCTATCCTGGAGTTGCATACTCAAGGACTGAATGAATCAGAGAGTAAATATTTACCGAATGGCTCCTGAACACTAGTTTTGCATAGATCAAGGAAGTAACAACAGAGTTGGGAAAAGAGGGGCCATCTCAGGAGCAATAGAGGGAGGCAGAAGTAGCAAAGAATAACCACAGACATCCTCAGGAGGTCCTACTCTGGTCCCTGAGAGTAGATGGTTTTGTGTGTTTGCCACTGAATGACTGAGCTTTACCCAGTGAAAACAAGGGGATGCTCTCCTTCTATCTCCCCTGCCTGCGCTATAGACTGTGGGCTAATAGGAGAGAACAATCAGGCGATTATCCTGAGTTTAGGAATATGCACTCTCCCCTTCCTTCTTCTCTACAGACACTGTCTGCTATGCATCAGCTCCTGCGTGTGGTATGTAACAGCAAGTAAATGGGCAGGAAACTGGCCTACAAGATGCTATAAATGTGCACATGAGACAGACAACAGGCAAAATCAGGAGACTGGACTGTGTTCTGATAGAAGTTTAGGACCTAGGGGAACACCTAGCAGAAACATTTTTCTGGTACTGGGGATTGAACCCAACACCTTCTGCTTGCTACCACTTGAGCTGTACTCCCCTACCTTGAGATAAGGTCTCTACTAACTTTGCCCAGCTAGCCTCAAACTTTCAGTCCTTCCTAGCAGAGACATTTATACATACAGCTCTGTGTATACAAGTCCAACTTCTCTGAAACTGTTTTCTCACCTGCTAAACAGAGGTGATAGCACCCACATGGAATATCTGTGAGCTCAGAGATGGTAACTGGAAATGGCAGAACAGTTTCTGGCTTAGAGTAGGCACTCAAGAAGTAAGGCTAATAATTTCATTATGAGGACTGAGGGTTTAGTCTGAGATCCTTCTCCCATAAGCCTCACATTTTACCTTCCTCCATAAAACAGTCATTTCATCCTACTGCCCCACTCTGATGTTGAGGTGCAATTCCAAGTGCTGTAGCTCTGTTTCATTCTGATGAAAGAGCAAGGGACTAGCAGCCCTGAGGCAGGCTAGAAGAAGGAAAAGTTTGGAGCTCATGTAGGTTGCCTGGGGATGGGCCAGACCACCCTCACCTAGCTGGGAACAGCCCACGCCCCTCCCCACTCAGTTCATTATTGGTTGGGAACCTCCTGGGCCTGCCCTTCTATGGGGTAGTATAGGTTTTAAAGGCAACTGAAAAAGAAAAGCACTCCCTGCCAGCAGACTCCACCTGCACCTACCTGCACCCACCGTGCCCTCTGTTTCTTCTTCCCTTTCCTCACATGGCAGAACAGGTGATTCCCCTTTTCTCAATTAAGCTATCCTACTTCACCCCATCTATGTGCTCTGCTTGGATTTTTCCACTTGGAGCACAAAAACCAGGATCTTATCACAGACTGCACCAGTGCTGTTAACAGCCCCATTCAGGAAGATGGATTTTTGATTATAGACATGTCAGAACCAGAGAGATATAAAAAGATTTCTAAATCAAATTGAGAGGTGGTCTGTGGAGAGCTTGCCCCTCTCCCCAGGACAGTGGAAAGCTGAAGCCAGAAATGATTACGCAGAGACACACGGGCACTGTTCAGGGTGTTTTCCCACCTGTTCAGGGTAAGGTCTCACTGATGGTGGGTTTGGCTCAAGAATCCAGCAATCCTGATGTTAGTTAATGTTCTCTTAAGTAGGGCTTTAGCTGGTACTCCTTCATGTGGTCATACACACTATTTATAACATAATTTCTAACTTTCCTATTTGTTAATAAATTGCTCTGTCCCAAGTCCATTCCCTCCCTGAGCACTCCAGCCACTCCTATGGACTCCATAGATCCCTCTAAACCAGCAGCTGAAGGATTAGCTTTCAGTACTGCCAGAGGCCTCTAGAATAGATATGGTTACCCAGTATATGGGCTTTGCCTGCATAGGAGTACACAGATTGCTAGTAACAATGAATCACGAGTGAATGGCAAAATAAATTCAAAACAAAGAGGCAGAAGAGCACTAGTGGTTCACAACTATAATCCTACCTACTGGGGAGACAGAAATCAGTAGGATCATGTTTCAAGACCAGCCTGAGGAAAAAAAAATTAAAAAGGGAGAGTTGATCTTAAAAATATCCAACACAAAAAAGGGCCAACAGAGTAGCTCAAGTGGTAGAACACCTGCCTAGCAAGTATGAGGGTCTTAGTTCAAACCCCAGTATGGCCAAAAAACAAACAAAGGGACAAGAACTCTACAAAAATTTGGCTTTTTGCTCTGAAGACATTACCTATGCAGAGCATATCCCTATAGGGACTTGGGAACACGGGAAATGTCATCTGCTCTTACTCTCATCACTATCTTCCTCCCCTTCATTTCTTCAGTTCAACGTATTGAGAACTCAGAGCAGGTGGGAGTGCAAAGGCTTTCCACTACAACACACGTGCACTGTGTTAGGTGACTCCAGGGCTAATTGTTTAAGAGATTAGGAAGTCCAATCCAAACAGCACCAATCCATCTATCCATCCATCCACCCATCCATTTACACAATAAATACTTAAGTTCATAATATGTGTCAGTTACTGTGCCAGGTACTGGGGATAGTAGGGAAAAATTTTTTTAAATAAAAAGTAGTTTCTATTCTCTTGAGGTTCACTCTCTACTTGAGGATAGTGACAGATATGAAAACAAGGTTTGCAACATGGAATGAATTACAATACAGATGTTTGGGAACTCAAAAGTAGAAGATTCACTCTGTATAGAATCATCAGGGAGAGCTTCCCAGAGGAAGTGATATTTGGATTGAGTTCTAAAGAATGTCGAAAATTTTCTATGCATACACTGGAAGGGAGTTAAAAGATAGCATTCCAGGCAAAAGAAGCAGATTGCAGAAAGAAACAGAAGAAAGGAACTAAGCTCACTTAAGGGATGGAGCATAGATGAACACAGGAGAGGAATGGGACTTGAGAATGGGCAAGGCCAGCGCATGCTAAAATACACAGATTTGAATTTGCTGGCTCTTATGCCGGAAAAATGACATTACCAGCTATTTCTGTTATAGCAAGTGTGCTCTGGTTGCACTGTGGAGGAGGGACCACTGGAGGTAGGAAGGTAAGTGTGGGCCTCCAATGATGAACTTAGGTACTGGCAGATGGGAAGGAGGGGGTGGATTTGAGAACTGAAAGGGTAGCAGAATGGATGGAGCCTGAGACAACACTGAGCTGGGAGCTGCGAGGGAGGCAGGAATCCAGGCTAAAGAATGGTGCCATGAGAATAAGGGAGCTGGAGCAGAGAAGGGTAGGTGGGTTGGTGAATTCAGTCTTTATCTTTTAATCCAGTTTTTAATCCTTGAATTTCTAGAACCCATTTTCCTAATCATTCTTTTTCTCTTCCATAAACAAAATCCTATAGAACCTTGATGACAACTCTTATCTTGGTACGATTAGACAACTGGCTCCAAAGAGTCCTCAACCTTCAGAAACAAGCTGTCTTGGGTCCTGGACCTCCTTTTCCCAGACACCTAGACTTTCTTGGACAGACTAAAAGGCTTCTTTCTTGACTAAAAGACTGTCCTGGAGTCAGGCCACACAGAGAAAGCCTGAGTTTCTACATCTGCAAAATGTGATCATACTAAACATTTGCCTTTTAGGTTTGTGGAGAGAACTAAATGAGATAATGCATTTAGTGTGTTTAACATAATACCTGCCACACAGTAGGCTCTCAATTAACAACAGCATTTGTTACCATGACCACTCTTAAAAAGGCCCTTCCCTGATAATCAATTGTATAATAATTTTCAAGCACTAGAACATAATGCAAATTCAAGGAATTAGACTAAATTATCAGTAAGACTCCTTCTGAGAGTAGTAAAATTCTAGCATGTGCCCTCCAGACTGCACCAGGGAAACCCCACACACCTGCTGCGTATGACTGTGCAGGAGGTGTCAGTACAGGAATGTGCTGAGAGCAAATGTAAAACATGGTAAAAAGCAAAGGAGAGATGGAGAGCAAGGAAAAGCACAAAAACCAGAGGAAAGGCCTCCTTGCTGCACTTTCTCAACAAATTCCACTGAGGAACTCTAGCTTAAAAGTTTCAGAATGCAAAAACTGTCCTGGTTGAAAAAAAAAAAGCTTCTTCCTTTCTTATCCCCTGCCCCTCCACACTGTATTTTAAACATCAAAAGAATTAAACCCCTAAGGCAAGCCTAGGCTTTTACTCATAAGGGCTCCTTTCTGGATCTGTAGACACACCAGGTGCCTTTGACACTTTTTCATTTACTCCACAAGTTCATAAAAAGGTTCCTACCAGGGACAGGGGTGAGACTTAGTGGCGGAGCACTTGCCTATTATGTGCAAGGCTGGGTCCCATCCCCAGCATCACAAAATGAAACAAATAAACAACAAAAACGTTCTACTAGAAGCCCCAGTACCAAATGAACAAAGATGTACATAAGAGTCCAGTAAATTAGTCAAATTCTTCAGTGCTCATCTCCAAATCCCCACGTTCACTCCTCTCCTGAATAAAAGCATCACTCCTATTCTTGAGTGCTTACCATAGGCCAAGAACTTCATCCTGAAGATTCAGAAGGAAACTCTACTTATAACCTTATTTTACAGACAAGAATGTTGAGGCACATAGAAGTTACATGATTCATCCAAGTTCTCACGGGACTATAAGGCACTTGCCCCGGGAGGGTGGCTCCGGAGCCATGTTCACCCCTACATGAGCAGGCCACTTCCCTCCTACATTTTTGCTTCCAATTCCTTCTCTCCTTGAGTTCTTGAAAAACACTGTCCCCGCAATACAGCCAAGGAAATTCAATATTTAGCCAGCCAGAAAAACAATTATTTAAAAGTTGACATTTGTCCATGTATTTTATTATGACACAGTGCATTTGCCATTTAAAGGATTTGCAACTGAATAATGCATCCCTTAAGTTAATGAGGAGCTCAAGCTGAAGTATGTCAAAATGAGCAAGTCAGTTAGCTCTGACCTCATTCCTTGGTCACCTGTGATGTCTCCAAATCCTACTCTGCCCTGGAATTGAGAGAGTGAGGGAAAACAGTTTCCATGTTACCTCTGTGAGGCAGCTCGAGGAGGCACCCTGGGGGGTCTCTCCAGAGGCACGATGGGTGTCCCGTCCACTTGTGAGGGCCCTGGACTACGACTTCTGGTGGCTTCAGGGACTTCATTATCCTACAGCAAGCAAGATGAGAAAGAAAGATAGAAATTACACTAAGCATATGATATAAACCAGCAAGGCTGGACACCCTTTTCCCCAAACCCTCTTTCCTCCTTAGGCTTTGGTTGCAGTGTGCTCACAAATTGCTAATCAACCCAGCAGCATCCAGCAACCTTCCCATGTCTTCGTGGGGCCACTGAGAAAGACAAGCTGGCCCAAGTGATCATGAATTGTTCGAACTCTAAATCCTTGCTGTTTAAAGTGTGGTCTGTGGTCCTTCAATGCTCCTACAATCTTGTTAGAGCTCGCTCCCTACGATCCTTCCTCAGGAGTCTACAGTTCATGGTGACCCATGTGACCCTCCTGCTCATTCCAGCACTGGTATCCAGATTAGGGTAGATATTGACCCAAGTTGGGCTAACTGGGAATGGGGCCTCAGCCTAAAGCAACAATTTCCTCTCTGCTCAGAGGCCTCATGACTCCCTGGGGATTGTACCCTCACTCTCTCCCTCTCTCCTTCCCTCCCTTTCTACCCTCATTTCTTTTCTCCCTCCCTCCTTCCTTTATTCCTCCTTTCTCTTCCTCCCTCTCTCCCTCCCTACTGTCCTTTCTTTTTATTGAGCCCAAATCAACCATTTTAAAGTGAACTCAATACCAATTCTGTGGCTTTGATTTCAGCCACAATGCTGTTTAACCACTACCTATATCTAGTCTCAAAACATTTTCATCACTCCAAAGGAGACCTATGCCTATTAAGCAGCTTCTTCCCATCCCCTCCTCCCACCCACCAATCTGCATTCTGTCTCTGGATTTGCCCATTCTAGATGCTTAAATAAATAGAAGCCTATCATATGTGACCTTTGGGGCCTGGCTTCTTTCCCTGGGATTCTTAGCTCTGCAATGAAGCAAGCCCTGGGACCAAACAGATGGGATGAGGGTCTAATTCTCACCTCATTGTCGCCCTCCATCCCACTGCTCACACTGAGAAGGCTCCGGGTGCTCGATCGGTTACTTGTGCTGCCTGAAGAGGGAAACAATATCATCTGGACTGTACATTCTCCCAGGAGAAAACGAAATACAGAACTCTAGCACATACTTATTTTTACTGATAGAAACAATACACAGGCTGTGGATATGGGGTTCTTCAAAAATGTTGTCATCTTAACCACTTTATTGGAGTTCAGTTTTCCTTTCAGCATTACATGAAATGGTTCACTTTTTGATGAGCAGTTTGGGCTTAACAGCTACCGTTTACTGAGGCTTACTACACGTTAAGTGCTTCAAAAACATGATTGCCATTTAATCCCTTTGAAAATCCTATTTGATGTTAGTACTTTGATTTAACAGACAGGGAAGCAGAGATGCTCTGAATCTCACTTGTTCAGAAGTATCTCTAAAACCTGCAAACTAATTTTGTTGCTGCAATTTTTTGCTTGGTTAGGAATAACAGGAAACGTGCATGTATAGCACATGCAGATACCCTGGTTTGTTTAGGTTTTGTTTTCCTTTTCTTTGAGACAGGCTGACCTGAACCAGTGATCCTCCTTCTTTAGCCTCCTAAGTGCTCAGATTACAGGTCTGTGCCACCACACCTGGCTCTAGACATACCTTCTAATAAAGGGTGACACACTGATATAAAACCAAACGCAGGGCTGCAGGCATATGTATCTCAGTTGTACAGCACTTGCTCAGAACACCCAAGGCCCTGGGTATTGCAAAAGCAAAGTGCAAAGCACAAATTCCAAAGTATAATTTATGCTCATGGTAGGAACTGTGACTGTGTGAATTTAGGTGCTAAAGACTTCAGAGTTGGGGATTTATCACCTGTATCATTAGAATAGCTCTATCCTATAGAACTTTCTGGAAATGTCTGTTGTGTGCTATCCAATATGGTAGCTAGTGTGAAATGTGGCTCCAACCACGGATATTCATTTTATTTAGGGTCTTTTGTTTGTTTGTTGCTATACTCAGGGCCTTGCACATGCTAAGCAAATGCTCTACCACTGAGCTACAGGCCCAACCCTAAGAAGATTTTGAACCTTGATATATTAATACTGGTATTAACAGTATTACCAGATCTTCAGTATACTGAATTTCTACTTAAAATAGCTCCTAATCAGATTGGTTTGGAGGTAATAGTCTTAGTTTCAGACTTCATTATGGTATCAACTTTGACCTAACTAACTTAGTTGTTAGCTTGAATAGAACAGTTAGGATTATAATTTAGAGTTGGTTCTTGGAGGCAGATTTTTTTAAATTTAAAATAATAGGTCAAACTATTTCTATAATCCAGGGGAATCAGTTTGTGCATTAAGAAGCATGTGACCCTGCCCTTTCTATTCAAATTTCCCACCAGAATGTCCTTTCCTATCCATTCCCTCACCCCACTGCTGCCCTATGGCTAAAACGTCCTCAATCTCCAATGCTCAGGACAAAGGCCATCAAAACCTCTCCAGATTCCCCCAACTAAAAGCAACCCTGGACCCATAGGCTCCATCCCTCTGTGGGTGGCTGAACCCCCATCACTGTTGTTCATCACTTTGCCGCACAATGAACCAGACACATTCTAAATGTCATCCACAAGCAGGAAGTAAAATATGGTCACAGACACTGGCTCTATGATTCTAGAAATTTGTACTCATCAGTTCCCATTGTCTTATCCCCTGGCATTTTTAAATCTTTAACCCCAATGTTTGGCCCCAAACCTTTGCTCTCCTAGTTCAACAGCATTGGCCCTGGTTCCTCCCCAGGCCCACCTCTCCCTGGGCTACACAGCTGGTAGGATTCTCTAGCCCAACCCCTCACCTGCACTCTTGCCAGGGGGAATGTCTCAGCCATCGGGGAGCAAGTGCCATACAAGCATCTAACTCATGCTATTTCTGTAATTTCTCTTCTCCATTACAAGGCCCTAAAGACAGGGTCTGGTTCTTTTTCATCTTTGTGTCTCCAGTATGCAGTCTAGTTCAGTGTGCAAAAAGGGATGTCCTCAATATTTGATGGATGAATGAATGAGGGGAGAAAATGGCTACATCTAATACCCTTGGATCAGACAACCTGGAAGGTCAACAGTCTTTCTACAATGAAATTTTTGTTCTCATAAACGTAACACTAATATCTGGGGCTTAATTTTTTAGTTATAACCAGACTTACCCTAAGGCTGATTTTTTGCACTTCCCAAGAAATGACAGATGCACCATAATAAAAACAGTACTGTTGGCAGGGTATAACTCTGCCATAGAGGGGCAGTTGGCTGGTCAAAGTCCCACCACCCTCTCCCTAACCGCCCTGGGAGTTAGGGAGACAGCAGTTCCCCAGAGGTAACAGCACAGAAGGATCAGATATGAATACCAGACCCCCTACTTCTCAGGACTCCAGGGGCAAGTTGCCTAGCCTCCAACTCCGCACTTTCTTACCCAGAAACTCAGAGCATTGTTGGAGAGAATGAACATGACCATATGGTGACGTGCTTGGCCTAGGGCCTGCAAACAGCAAACACTGGACTAACAAAGGCAGTTATCCTCATTGTCTTCAATTTCAAGATAGCATACTAACCTTTAGTGACCTCCAGTGAACGTCACCTCCCAGTCTCCATGCCCACCATACACACTTCTGATTCTGGACTTAGCTGTGGGACCTGCATTGGCCAGTACCACATTCAAATGTGACATGAGTCAAAGCTTGATAAACACTTGCACACTGGGGTTTGTCCTTCTGTAATATCCCCTTTTCAGATTTTGTTGCCATATAATGCTTTAATAGCATGAACTTTAGGCTATACGGATTGAGGTCCTAGAGGATGAGGGGCCATCTTGGATGCTCCAGCCAACTGCAGTGACACAAGTGGCCCCAGCCCATGCCCCACAAAGGAGAAATGAGCCACCCCTTCTAAGTTGTGCCCAAATTGTAGAATCTGAAATAAATAAATGGCTGTTTCAAGCCACTGTGTTAGGCATGGTTTGTTACCTAGCAATAAATAACAGGAACTGTAAAGCAAGAACTGGGTATGATCGATAGCCACAGAATAGAATGCAATCCATTGGTCTGACATTTACTTGCATTTTCTAACCTGATGAGTTAGCCACCCCTGAGCAATAAACCACGACAGGTTATTCTTCCCGTCCTGTCCTAACGTCAAGCTACTCCAAAGAAAAACACACACAGAACATCTTAATTACAGCATACTATACCTAAAACGAGTACTTTGTATTTATCTTGTTAAATTTCCAGCTATGGCTCCCCTTGAAATGCATTACCCTCACCAGAGAAGGTTCTAGCACTTCTCTCTCTCTTCTCCTACATGTCTGAGAGAAGCACCATCTGCCCCTGGCTTCCTCTGCCATCTGTGATCCCTGGGAAATTCTTTCCCAGTTCTGAATGTGTGTGCATGCACAGTTGTACATTTTTCTGGGAAAAAGATCCATGACATCAAATTCTCAAGTTAAGTGTGATATAGAAAAGATTAAGAGCGCCAAGTAAGATGACCTTCCTCCTCCAACATTCTTTTGGAGACTCTGCCTGACTTTTAAGGAAACATGGCTCTCAAAATTCAGCTGCTCTCTGCCTCTTTCATTGCTTTTCCAGCTGTTTTGATAACACTGAAATGGATGAAAGAAAAGAAACTCAATTTGTTGGGCTTGGAAAGCCAGTGTGTCTGGAGTCAGCTAACAGGTTCCTGTGCACAGAAACAAGGTCTGCTGCACCAGCCTGCCCATCAGCGGGCATTGTCTACTGCAATCAGACTCCCATTCAAGCTTTCAAGCCAAAAGGAAGACATTTCCTAATTAGATCCCGAACGGTCTGCAAAGTTGGAATTCTCGAATTTGAGTCCATTGTTGTCCAATGTTTCTTCCTTTGAGCCCTTGCCTTCCCCTTACCACAGCTGAGGAAGCAGTGAGAATAGGGATGGAGAGTCCTGGCTCTGGATCCAGGCTGAGTTCACAGCCCAGCTCTACCACATTAGCTACTTAACCCAGGACAAGACACTAAGCCTCAAGCGTCCTCCTCAGCAAACAGAGGTCAAAGAATCTCCCTCATAGAGGTCTTGTGAGAATTAAGTAATCTAGGAAAACGCTTCACATATAAATGCCTCAATAAATTCCCTACCATTATTAGATTTTGCTATTTATAAAAGAATACAGTAATAATTATCACGCAACCAGGTTTCTTGAGATAAAAGCAAACCTGGAAGGATAACTATTCCCCACATTTACACCTCTCAAAACCAAACCAGGTCCCAGTTGAGATCTCTGGGCTCATGGCAATGTTTGCAAAGCCTCAAAGGCACCAGCTGGAGTCCAGCGGTGGAGGCGCCCAGGCCCACTGCTTACTAGCTGTGCTGGAGGTGCTGTCCGTTTTCCAGTCACCGCGTCTTAGCTCTGTCCTTGGGGGGAAGACGCTTTTCCTGGGGCCACTCTCATAGACTCCAAACTCCACCTTCCCAGGTAGGTGCTGTGAGTGCCGAATTGGGACTGTGATCTCCAAGTCTGGAATGAGGAAAGAAGAACAAGCTGCAAGATAGCGGACTGTCATCTGCCACACTGCTCAGGTGCTTCCCCTCCAACTGCCTCCTGTACCTGAGTCTGGAGGGCGCCTGGAGGGGAGGGAGGAGCCCTGGATTGTTCTCTCACTTCAGCGTGGAAAAGCCCCAGAATCAAGTGTGGCTTGATTTGCCACACCTGGGAGTACAGGCTGGGAGAACATGAGAGGGATGGTGAATTTGAGAAAAGGGCAGAGACACACTTCCACATCCGGGAGTGGATGGCATGTGCAATTAGGAAGGCTTAGGCTCCTAGCCCTGCCACTTAGAAGCCTTGCAGCTGAGTAACTAGCTGGATTAGTCCCACTTGGGGAGAGGCTTGTACATACCATGGTGCTGTTCTGTGCACCAGGCTCATTCTAAGAGCTTCCATATTTTAGCTCATCGGATCCCCATAACACCCAAGAAATCAAGGGTATTACTATCATTCTTGACAGAAACTAAGGCACAAAGAAAAAAAGTCACATCCTCATCATACAGCTGAAAGTGGCAGAGCTGGGGTTTGAATCCTGGCTTGAGAGTCCAGGCTTTTCCCCACGCCGACAACTGATCACTCCCTTTAGTCCATACAGATGATGGGTGGAAGGTGGGCAGCCCATGCCAATGGCAGGGACCTAAGGAGCTCATGAAGAAGGCCCTTCAGTCCCAGGAAAGCACTGACTTGTGAAGTTGACTATTGGTGAAGATAGACTATTGCTTTGCCCAGTGAAGCTTTGGCCTGATCTATTCGCTGGCTAAGCCCTGTCAGTACTTTTCTCTTTCATTCTCCTTGGATGTCCACCCCTGGGTTCTCAGTACAGAAACAGCTGGTGCTGAGCAGAATGAAGTGTCTCTGTTCACCAATTTCCTCCCCAGCCAGGTGTGAATACAGATCAGCTCCTGCCTCAGGCTTCCCTTGCACTATGGCCTAGCCTCTGGGAGGCTGTGGAAGCAAGGACAGACAAAAGCTCTGGGACTATGTGTTTATCTCCACACAGCTTCCTCCTCTGCCTCTATTCTTCCAGGGGACTGTGCACGTGGCAGGAAATTCAGAGGGCTGGAGTAGAGGTGGCTCTGTTTGCCAAAGCCAGAGGCCTGCCAAGAAGGATGAATGAACTAGAACAATATGAAAGAGCAGTGCCAGGACAGGGTAGAACAAGCCACATGATAAACACTCTGTACACAGAACACTTAAAAGGGTGAATTTTTTTCCAGTCCTGGGGTTTGAACCCAGAGCCTCGTACTTGCTAGGCAGGCACTCTACCATTTGAGTTATGCCTCCAACCCTAAAAGGGTGGATTACTGATTTCTATAGGCCCAAGCCTTCCTCATTCTAGAGACTCTGGTTCCAGGTGTACTTACTATAGGGGGCTGTAGTTCAAACAGCTTTCAGCCCTTTGTGTACCACAGACTCTTTTCCACATTCCAGCTCTCTGGATTACACTGTGTAGAAGCACCTCCCAAGTTTAAAGTGCCCTGGACACAGCACAAATGGGGCCCTTCTCACACAGGGCAAGCCCTGGGGTCTCAGAGCCCACATGACACCCCTTCTTCTTTTCCCCTTTCAGCTTTGACCTACATTTAAAAAAAAATCACCTTTTTAAGGGAGGTTCTTATCCAATTAATTAACTTTAAGATGGCAGTTTTCTACCCTCAACCAGTTCTCTGAGGAAGATTCCTCAGAACACACAGCAAAAAGTTGGGGGGTGAGGGTGAAAAGTTCAAAAACTCAGGTAGAGCCCATCTAAATGTTTACAAAATCCCAATATGTTTAAATGAAGGTACAATGTCAGGAGTGGTTCTCATTATTATATTGATTAGTACTCTCCCAAAATGTGCTCATCTGTGTTATTACTCCCCTTTGAGCTCTCCATTCATAGATAAATAGGTATAGCCCCATGAGAAACAGAGGTACAGAGTGGTCCCAGATAGTAAAGTGATTCATTCAGTGACAAAGTGGGGATAAGAACCCGGCTTCCTGGGCCTCCACCTGTTCTTCTGCCTCACAGGACACACCCAGAACACAAATATTGATTGTCTTCTCTGTGGGGCCTGGGTATCCTCCAAGGCAGGGGTGCCCTGGCCCTTCACCAATTTCCTGTACCATCAACACCCTGCACCAGCCCACAGAGTCAAGTTCCTCCTGGGCCTAAAGACAAGCTGGTGAGTTCTCATTACCAGAAGTTTAGTTTTCAAGGCTCTTTGGTGTTCTAACCCATGTTAAAGAAAAATAATAGTTGTTTTTCCTTTCTGAGGCAAATGAAGTTTCCAAATTAAGAGGCAGGCCGTGTTTAGAGTGGGTTACAATCTTAGAAAAGGTCCTGAAGGCAGAAATGCCACTCATCTACCCTCATGTTCCTATAGAGTACTGTGATTGCTTTCCATGGTTTTCTCACGCTTTTTTGGATCTCAAGAAGCATAATTCTTTCCTATGGTGAGAAGATCAGCTCAATGCAGAAAACAGATTTTTTTTCTTCTTCTTCTTTTTTTTTTTTTTTTTGGCAGTACTAGAGTTTGAACTCAGGGCCTCATGCTTGCTAGGCAAGTACCCTACCAGTTGAGCCAATCTGCCAGCCCAGAAAACAGATTTTTAAAAGGGGCTACAATAGTCCCAGCTGAGTAAGGGGTCCCAACCCTTACTAATCCACTCCCTTTCCCCCCACCCCAGTTCCCACCCCACCCCACAAGCATACATATAGCAGCCTTGGGGCCTCCTGAGGAGCTCCAAGTGAAAACCCATGTAACAGGTCATTATAAGCTAGAACGTACATGCGTAATCAAGGCTTATGGAGTTAACTAGTAAGTCATCTCTACTGAACCATAATTGATGCCTTCTCTTTGCAGATGATCTGATGAGGTCCTTGGGCCTCAGTCTGAGGCTTTCTCTAGTAGCCAAATTTTGAGCGCCCCTCCCTTAGCAGTCCTCAACCAGTGACTGAATGGAGCTGGTGCATAAATGCCCAGCTGCCTTGCTCCTTGGACAGGATAACTCTGAGCAAGTGTTCTCCATCGAGTTCTTCCCTGTCTCTCTTCCTAGCCCACTACTGTATCCTCTGTGATCACCTTTCACACCAGCTCTTGACTCTCAAATCCTTGTCAGGGAAGGAAAAGTTCTAGAAATGGAAGGGTTGAATGTATTTCATGCCACTGAATTGTACACTTAAAAATTATTCAAGTGATAAATTTTATTATGTATATTTTATCACAATAAAATTAAAATGAAGTTTCTCATGGGGATGATGGGTAGAACATTCTCCCCATGTGGATTCAGTGTCTGTTATAACTTGGATCTGGAATGTCTACCCAAATGTCCATGTCCTCAGGACAGTGCTATTTTGGGAGATGGTAAAACTTTTAAGAGGTGGGGTCTAGTGGGAAGTTTTGGTTTGGGGGCATGCCCTTGAAGGAGGTAGTCAGACCACAGCCCTTTCCTCTTTCTCTGATTTCCTCCACCATGTACTCTCGCCGTGATGTGCTGTTGCATCACAGCTCAAAAGCACTGGGCCAACCAATTCCAGAACGAAGCCTCCGAAACTAGGAGCCAAAATAAACCGTTTTTCTTCATAAATTGACTGTCTCAGGTGATTGCTACAGTGATGGAAAGCTGGCTAACACAGAGTCCACTTATATAGAGTCTGACCTTTTAATAGTCATGACATTAATTAAAGCCCCTGATTTAAAAAAAAAAAAGTAAAAATACCTAACCCTCCAAATTCCTCAGAGGGTCTGCTTCTTGGAGAGTGAGACTCCTTCAGAAGCCTTTAGACATTGACCTTTCTGACTTAGACTGTAACTACTAGTGTATATAAATCACTTATTCAGAGCCTGATTAGTCTTGGGTAAATTTGTTATTTGTTTTATTTTTAAAAGTATAATAATATTTATTGATTGCTTACCATGAGCATTAGACAATGTTTGTTCGTTTGTTTGCAGTACTGGGGTTTGACTCAGGACCTACACCTGGAGCCACTCCACCAGTGCTCTTTTTGTGATGGGTTTTTCCAAGATAGGATCTTGTAACTATTTGCCTGGGCTGGCTTTGAACCACAATCCTCCTGATCTCTGCCTCCTGAGTACCTAGGATTATACAGGTGTGAGCCACTGGAGCCCAGCCTAGACAATGTTTGATAAAGGTATTATATATATTACTCATTAATTCCATTTTTTGTTTGTTTGTTTCTTTTTTGGGACAGGGTCTCCCTATGTAGCCCAGGCTGGCCTTGAACTCATGACCTTCCTGCTTCAGCCTCCTGAGTTCTGGGATTACAAGTGTGTAGCCATCCTCAACTTGAACTTTGTATAATGTTTCAAAACTTGTGATTCTAGGACTCCGCCCTGGATGGTAAGACCCAGTCCAGTCTCACTCTGGAAGCCTCTGCCCACGAGGGCATGTGGGAGTCTGTGTATAATTGCAGGAGCAGATAGTTTTTAGCATGCTCCCATGTGCCTGGCACTGTGCTAGACACCGTTTATACCTGGATTCCTCCTTGAAGCAACCCTCATTGGATGAGCACTTCCACTTCTGCCATTTTGCAGATAAGGACTGATGCTCAGGCAGAGAAGTATCTTGCCCGTGGTGCCTACCTAGCAGTGGCAGAAATTCATTCCCAACCCTGCTAGCCCCAGTGTCCATGCCTGTACTTCTCTGTATGAGTGTCTGTCTTGCTTCAATATCTCTGGTGAAACCAGGTGGAGCCCAGGGAAAGAAAGATGTGGTTACACCCAGAAGGTTCAGTTCTTGAGCTCAGGCCGCTGACCACACACACAAGACTCTAATGCTGCAACTCCTGGGCCTTCAGACACTGAAGACACTGGGGCACTGCCAAATCACAGGCCTCGTGGTGCTGCCTGTATTTAAAAGCTTGCAGTGTTTCATTTAACCAAGCCTTCTATCTTTGAGCTCATGTACTCTGTTTTAAAAAGCATCTCAGCCCTCTTACTACCTAGAGCCCTATATCTGACCCCAGGATGACTCCAGACCTGGAGCCAGACTTCCTGCTTTCTCTGCTTTCTCTTCCTCTTCACCTGGAGGGCAGACCCAGGCATGAGGAGTCGTAACATGGATTTAAAATCCAGTCACTCAGGCAGAGGTCTTCAGATGAGCTCTCTGATCTTCTGCCACGGCTTAACCCTTCTTTCTTACAGCAGTCAACATTAACATGCACTAGCTACTACCTTCTACAAAACACCGTGCTAGGCATCATGGGATACAGCTTAGCAGGGAAAACCAGACCTTCATGAATAAAAAGATCACTAACTCATAAGCTTACATATGGCAAAGTCAGCAACTCATAGGTCTCTGTACTTGGCTGGGTGCCTGGTACTCAATGAATGTTGTGGACTGAATGAATGGTGTCACCAGACATTTTACTGAAAGCAACCATTCTAACAAAGACTTCATGAGTCTGTCGGTATCCTATAGCGCATACTCCCTGGTATTCGGCAGAGCACAACAGAGACCTGTTCTTGCCCTCATGGAGTTTACTGTTGGAAGGAGGTGGGATGCTGGCCCAAGCTATGAGAAAAGAAACGTAAGGTAACTGGCCTGTGAGAAAAGGCGACAGGAAGTGAGTTTTGGAGGGCTCATCTTAGAAAATGGCAGAGAAGGCCTCTCTGAGGATGAAAAAAGAGCCAGCTGATGGAGATGTGGGGAAAGGCAGGAGAACAGCAAGTGCAAAGACCCTGTGGGAGAAATGCTCTTGCTTGTTAGACCAATAGAAAGGAGTCATTGGGGCAAGTGGAGGATGAGCTGAGGAGTCAGATCATGTGAGGTCTTGGAGTGGATCAGAAGCCCTGGAGCCCAGGGAGTTTTAATTTTTTTCAAAAAGATCACTGGATCCCATTTGGAGGATGAACTACAGAGGGCCAACAGTGGACATGGGGAGACAATTAAAAGGCAAGTGCCTTAGTCCCACCAGGAAATGATAGTGGTTTGCAGTTGTGGCACTGGAGAGTCAAAAATGACCAGGTTTAGAATGTGCTTGGGATGCAGAATCCCCAGGAATAAAGGAATGAAGTAATAGTAATCAGAGCAGTGATAGAGAAGTGCCAGGTTAATAGAGCCATGGTAGGTTCTCTAGATACTCAAATGAGGACAGATTATGCTGGCCTGCCATGGTCCAGGAAGGCTTCACAGAGAAGGGGCTCCCAGGTGGGGTCTTAAAGCCCATTTTATGAAGGAAGTATGAAGGAAGAAGCCTGTGGTGGGAAATGTCCCTGTTTAGAGACCCTGGTGTTACCAGCCTGACCCAGTTCATAAGAAGTCACCTGTTGATGGCAGCTGGATGCAGGCTATGGAAGTTGTACACAAACAGGGCTAGATTTTAGCTTATTTCTTTATGTAACGGGGCTCCATCCAGGATCTGAGGGCCTCAGCCTTTTCTTCCAGATCCTCTTGCTAGAAGGCTGGCCAGGGTAGAGCACCAAGTCCTGCCATGCCAGAAGCATGCAGTGCGGACAAACATCAAGTCCTTACTCAGGGGTAGTGGTGCCACATGGCTGACATCTAGGGGATGGGTTCAGTGGAGTAAAGGGAACCAGTCCACAGTGTACACAACTGGAGTTCATGGCCCTGCTGCTACACAGTGGGCCCTGGGCTTCTGAAGCAAGGTGTGGTGCAAACACTGGAGATAGAAGCTGCCTCATTCAAGTTAGAAACACACACTATATGGATGGGGCTTTCTCTTTACTCTGCTCACGTATGTCCTCCTAATTGCTAAGGGTAGAATCAGGCACCTGAGGAGAAAGTCCTCCTTGAGTCGGAGAGAGTTCTATCCATTCGTTTACTCATTTCTGGGTGTTCCCATGTGCCATGTACTATGGTGTTTATAGAATCAAGGAGTAAAAACCATTGTCTAGAAGGCCCCCACAGTCCAAAGGGAGACACAGATTATAAACAAGTGATGAGCAAGGAGTCTGCCCACAGCAGAAAGGAGAGTCAAGGGCAACAGCCACTTCCCCCACAATGCACCACCCCAGAAAGCCACATACCTGTCTGCTTTCCTGATTTTTGTTTCTCTCTCTGTCTTCGGGTGATGCTATCTCTTAGCCGTTTAAGATTTTCCTGGAAAAAATTGTTTATTTTTTAAGCATACATCACATTAAATAACATTTTCAAGATGCAAATGAGGCTCAGCATAGCAGGCCCTCAGAGAAACCCAAGTCCTCATTGAATTAGGTTTGAAAATAAGACATTTCTTCCACAATCGGGTGTATCCCCACCCTCGGGTTCCTCTCTCAGCCTATAACTCAATGATATTCTCCACTGTGTGCTAAGTAGCCAAGTCCATCTCTGACTGCTCACAAACACACTGTATCTATTCCTGCCTCTGACACTGTGTTCTCTCCTCAATCCCCTGACCTTGAGGGATGGTGATTCCTCTCCATGAGTCTGTTCCAGGCCTTGGTCAAAGCCACCTCTGAAGACTGCTCCAGCCTTTAGTGTTGTCCACACCAACCACTTGGCACTTGAGCTACAGTGCCTTGCATGTGTGTGTAGGTATGCATGTGCATGTACATATGTGCACCTTGCCTCCTCAGTTACACTGTGGGCTCTCCAAGGACAAGAGACCAGGCCTTGTACCTTTCTGTAATCCCGCCATCTAGTCCACTGTAGTCATTCAATTAATGTTGAATAGATATGTGAAGGACAAGATCTGTTTCTATTTTAATCAGTCTACAACAGCAGTGTCTGAGCATCCTAGGGATATTACACATTTTAGCATTCAACGCCCTGGGAAAATGTCCAGACAATTGAGCAGAGGGTTCATGTAAGGAAGTCCCAGGAAGCTAGACTGGAAGGGCTGATTGGTTTGCACCTTCAGGCTAAGGAAAAACTCTCCTCCAGAAAGCAGCTGGGAAATGTACAGTTATGGGGTGGACATGGTACTTGGACATGGAACAGGTGGAGGCAAGGAGACCTACCTGGAGATGAGATAGCAGGACAGATGCAGACAACAGAGATGACAATGGAATGTGGCTGGAGGAATGGAAAGATACAGGAGGGAAAAAACACCATAGAGCAAGACTGGATAAAAGGGGGCAGGGAGAAGAGCTGAAGAGATCCTGAATTCTGCCCTGGGGGTCTTTAGGAGACGGCAGTGCAATAAGCAGAAAGAAGGAGTCAAGAACGGGAAGTAGACCTGAGGGATGGTTTATTCCTGGACACATGGCAGCTCTAGGGTACCTTAGGAGGACATGCCCAGCTGGCCATTGGAATCCTAAGACTAGAGAAACAGACTCAAGAGTCACCTGCACAGAGAAAGAGCTGAAGGGAACTTGTGCACTGCCCATTTATGGAAGAAAGGAGTAAAGGAGACAGGGAAGCTGGGAGGGAAGGAAAACTGGTGCCTCAGGAGCAGCTTCCACACCACCAGCTCTGGATTGGGGAGGCTCAGGAGGCACCAAGAGGCTGATGGGGCACAGAATTATGTGTGCTCCCTTGGACTGGGATTTTCTGCCATAATGAAAATGAACCCCGGTTGTCTGCTGCACCCAGGAATTCTAGGCAAATTCATGGGAAAGGAAGAATCCTCTTAGATATAACTACAAAGAGACAACTGACACTTAGTAAGTATTTAAAACTGTGCACCAAGCACGCTAAGGGCTTTACATGAATGGCCTCTACCACCTGGTCCTCTCCCTTCACATTTCAGAGGTGGGAAATGGAGGCACAGCAAGGCCAGGTCATCCAGCTGCAAGTGGCAACACACACATCTGTCTGAACCTCAGTTTTCTACAAAATGGAAGCCATGATACTTCTCATGCATAGCAAGAGGAACAACAGAGATCAGAGCAATTCAGCCAACAGCACAGTGCCCCACCCCCAGGCTGATGTGAGAGCTGCTGTCAACCACTACTGCTTTCTGATTCAGATCCCCACTTCTCACCACCTAACCTGCCCCCAGAAAATGTGCCGGTTGCTGGTTCCTCACCTCCCCTTGGCCCCAGGAGCTGGGAATTCGGAGTTAGAATACATACCATGGAAAATGGGGAGAAAAAGCAGTAATTCCAGGGCTGACTCAGCCACTCTAAGTGGCCTTGGGCATGTCCCTTCATCCTGTGGGCCTTCCTTTTTACTATGTACACATAGAATTATATTCATTGTCTAATAATTATTTGAATTACATTAAAAACATGCAGTTATATATTCTTATAAAAACCATTAAAACCTACAGCTAAAGCAAGAGTCTCCTGTGACCCCCTCATTCTCTAATCTCAGGCCTTCCCAGAGGGAAACACTGGAATGGGTGTGTGGCAAACCCTTCCAGATATCCAAGTTCTCTTTGAAGGGTGATCTCTGTGAAATATCTGGCACTAACAGAAAAGAGAGACTCTAAAGAAAAAAACTGGCAAGCAGAAGTGGGGGGGCCAAATGCAGAGAGAAGCAGCAGAATTGGGGGTATAGCAAAGTCTTTGTTCCTGACCTCAGTCTCAAGGCATCCAGGAAAGTCATCCAGCTCTCAGCCAGGGGAATCATGGGGTTCCAGACAAGAGGACACAGATGCACACTCACTGACTTAGGACACCCAAAAATGTTCATAGGCACCGCCTTCAGAGCTCAGTCACAGCAACACAGAAGACAGAATGACCCCACTTTCCAGAGAAGAAGTGACATGCAACCAATTCCACAGTGACAGTGCTGGCTACCTGCTGGAAGCGAAAGGACTCGGATCGTTTCTTCTGGTTGAGCTGCCACTCTTTGAAGTGCAGCACGGCCTCGTCCACGTTGACAATGCCTAGCTTCACCTGCTCCTGCAGGGTAATGAGCTGCCGCTGGCCTGGCGTTTTCATCCCCGCAAATGGGTCATAGATGCTCGACTGGGGCCTGTCCCTCCATGGTCTCACGGGCGGCTCTGGAAAGAATGGCAGAACTCAGCTTGACAGCTCCCCACTGGGGAGCGCAGGCTCAAGGAGTAGGGGTAACACAGCTGGTCACAGGCTCCAGAGGACACATCCACAGAAATAATTACATGTGCAAGGAAGAAGAGGGAAATATGACACAGAATCAGGAGACAGGAAGGCTGCTGATCTTTCACAGCCTATCACACAGAAGTGGACAAGGCTGCAACACTTAAGGGAGGTGTGAGTCTGAAGAACCCGCCAAGGCTTGATTTGTGAGGTGCCTTTACATAAGCGTTTCCAGAGTTGACACTATGACATTTTGGGCTGGACAATGCTTTGATGTTCAGCAGCATCCTTGGCTTCTACTCATGAGGTGCCTTTCCCTGGTTATGACAAGCAAAAGTGTCCCCAGACATTGCCAAATGTCTTTGGAGGAGGGAGAGCAAATTTATTCCCATTTGAGAACCAATGCTTTAGACTTAAATCCACTTCCAGAAAATAATATACAGAAAAAGTCCAGCCAGGACGCCTCTTCCATCCCCACTCCCATCCCTGTCTATGCAATGTTTGTAGACCAATGGGCATGAAATGCCAGGGTAGACTGAAACACCTACAGAATTGTGACCCAGGTCCAAGTATAAATTAGGTGCTGGGTTCCAGCAGGTTAACCTTGGGTTGTTCTGTGCCAGCCTCTTTTCCATACTCCACGTACTATTCTCCATTTTGGGGAATCTAAAGTCAACCCTCCCTCCCCCGTGCAGACTATGATCCCAGTTCTTTGGGAAATTAGCTTCTTGCAGAGATGATAGAGCCACTGGGACATGTGAGGACAATGTGACATTTTACTGCTCAACTCATGTAGGGGTACTTGATCCAAATCTCACCAGCAGGACTCCATTTGGGCATTGTGATTCAGGACATGGCAAGAAGGAAAAAGAGGCATGGCCTTACTACTGAGTACTGAAAAGACTTAAAGAAGCTTATCCATCCTTCTGCCCAACCACTGGCCCCTCTGTCTATAAATACTCACACCCTTCTCTCAGGTTTGACCTTTACAAGGCTGTCTTTAACGGAATCAGGAGAAAGGATGGGGAAGAAAAGAAAATGCAAAAGTCAATCAGTTCTAATTCTTACTACCGTCATCCTTCGGGGATGCCTTCAAATGCTTAGATGGTGTCAAGGCTACTTTTCAAAATAATCTTCAATGGGATAATATTGAATAACTCTATTGAGCATGAGAAAATTAATCAAGAAAAAAAGGAGCAGTTAGCTCCTTGAACATCCTCAAAAAGTCTTTGGACAAAAATGGGATATCCACATTGTTATCCAGTGACCTTTTAAATCAAAGTTGAACCAAAGCATAGTTGAGCTGCTAAACATAGGGTAAAGAGATATATCATAGGTAAAGACTGGGTGATGGGCCACCCCTGGCATCAGCCTCAATGTTTAAATTGTACTTTTATGGACACTTTCTGGTATATAAGTGACCTCTACACAATCACTCTGTATAATAGTTTAGGGCACCCCAATCTTGTCCCCTCTCCCTTTACCATCAGTGAATTCTCAGACAATTCCACCCTAAAGTATCTCTTGGGTCTATTTTGCATGCCAAGGAGCTGTTATTACACTTGGAAATCCCTAAGGTATGAACACCCCTACACCCTGGAAGTTTAGTCCATAAAGAGGATGCTGAGGACAAGATCTGGCTTACCTCTTCTCATGCTCTCTGAAGAAATATAGAAATTCCCAGGCCGCTCTTGACTTCTTTCTGCAAAAACTGGGAGAGAAAGAATATTTTGAGTAAAAGCCAAGGTTTTTCTTTCTTAATATTGTATACATTTACAAAAATTTTTATCAAAACCTTGTGTAAAACTGGGCACCAGTGGCTTATGCCTGTAATCCTAGCTACTTGGGAGACTGAGATGGGGAGGATTGCAGTTCAAGGCCAGCCCAGGCAAATAGTTCACAAGACCCCATTTCAACCAATAGTTGGGCACAGTGGTGCATGCCTGTCATCCCAAGCTACTCAGGAGGCTGAGATTGGGAGGATCACCTCTCCAGGCCAGTCCAGGCAAAAAAAAGTCCATGAGATCCCATCTCAAAGAAAAAAGCTGGAGGTGGTGCCATGTGCCTGTCATTCCAGCAATGGCAGGAAGCACAAAATAGGAAGATCAAGGCCCAGGCTATGTGGATAAAAAACAAGACCCTATCTCCAAAATAACCAGAGCACAAAAGGCTAGAGGTGTGGCTCAACTGGTAGAGTACCAGCCTATTAAGCATGAGGCCCTGAGTTCTAATCCCAGTACTGCCTTCCCCCCAAAAAAATCTTGTGTAAAAAAAGTAATGAATGTAAACGTATGGCCACTGTATCTATAAATCATAACTCCAAGAGAGGGAGCAGAGATTGTCAAAGACAGGCCAAACACACAAGCTCTTAAACTTAGAAAGATGAAAGCAGGCAGAGGACAAGATTAGCAAAGAAAAGGATAAAGGGAGCAAGAGCAAGGATGTATACCCTGGAGTCCTGAAGCACCCATGGAAGACCTTGAAGCTTGAGATTAAAAGGAAGTACCTATCACATAACAGGTCAACTAGGGCTGCAAGACAGAACTCCAAGCAAACAGATAACATATGTGTACAGCTCCAGAGGGCCCAAGATGAAGTCACTCATGAGGGACAGGCCCATAAAAAGGACAGTGGGAAGTGACCAATACTCCCTTAGTGATAGGATGGCGTGGCCATTACAGCTCCCTGAACTTTTAATGAGACCAGCTGTATTTAAACCCTGGCTCTGCGGCTTATGAGCGCGTGATCTTGGCCTGACCTCTCCCTTCTTGTTTCTCACCTGTAGACTAAGGGCAATAATAGCATCTCCATCAGGTTGTCCTAAGGATTAAATGAGCTAACACCTGGAAAGTGCTTAGAATGATGCCTGGCTCACATAAGCACCCGATGTTAGCTTTCATTATTATTCACAGCTAAACTCTGAAAAGAAGTTAAAACCCAATTTTCCCCAATTTTTACTGGGGAGGTAGAGAGCTTAGCATAGTGGCTAAAAAACAGGGCTATGGAATCAGAGTCACTGGGTTCAAGTTCCGGCTCTTACGTGGTGGTTGAGTGGCCTTGGTTAAGTCTCCATTTCCCCACCTGTAAACTGGGGATTAATGGTCCTGCCCTAAAAGGTTGTTGTAAGGATTAAAGGACATTTTCCAGGTAGAGTACTCTTGGTAGATTTCAATAAATGTTAGCTATTAAATTAATAGTAACAACAAGAAGTGTTTCAGGAGATAAAAGGTCTTGTTTGCAACTGTGTGTGAACATCTCCAGGATAGCCAGCACTGAATCTCATTGTTCCTGATCTAGCTCCAGAATTTTCCCCAAGCTATGACCCTATCTCCTGGGGATGGATGGAGAACACCCAAGAAAGGACAATGGTTCAGAAATCCAAGGGATCCAGAAAATTTCTGTTAAGGAGCTCCAGAATCATTCCCTGCGCACTTGCCTTTAGAAATATATGGTTCATTGTCAGGTAGCTGGTGAGAGCCAGAAGCACTGGCCTCTGGCCTGGGCACAGGAACGGGGGGCCTGCTGGCCAGGTCCACAGAAAAGGTCTCATCGTCATCCACTGTATGATACACATCTTCTTCCCCATCAAGATGGTGCTGATCTCTCTCCAAACTGGCCATTCCCACACTTTTGCCTAGAAACACAGAGAAAGGTGACTGAGAGCCGAGAGCAAGCAAATTGGGAGAGCAGTCATGAGAGCAGAACAAGTGACTATTCTTATTGGTACAGTACTGGCCTCTGGCAAAGGGCTTCCCCTACAGCATCTGCAAAGCAACTGTGAGAACACCAACTTCATTTGCTACCCACCTGTGCAATTCAGGATGTGAGCTCCAGGCTTCATGGCTTCAATTTTATTACTAGTATTTTACTACTCATCCCATTAGAACTAAGGGAAAGAAGACAGTTGGAACCACCCCCTGGTGTCTGGCAGCAGTGTGAGGATGTGCTAGAGTTCTCACCACCAACGGCTCTAGCATCCTCCTTGTCCTCCTCAAAACGGCTACCCTAAATGAGTCCTGAGTACTTCTTCCATGCCAAGAACTGCTCTATTACTCACATGATTATCCCCTTTGATCATTTATCTTGTTTTGTAGATGAAGAAACTTGAGAATTAAAGATTTAAATAACTTGTCCAAAGCCCCTGAGAGCCAGGGTGGTGCCAGAAAAGCTGGCTCTGCACTGACTTAACTCCTATCATCTCCTGTGTCTTCTGCAACCTCTGCTTCCTCTCTGCTCTCCACAGACCCAAAACACTGAGGACAAAATTGCCTCCCACCCTCTGCCCACTATGACCTCTCAGCCCTCAAGTTTTCTCTGCAATGTTCTATTTCTTCTCCCTACCACCATTCAGTCAACAAATCCTTATTAAATGCCCATTTGAGATACAGGAATAAATAGAGCTGGGTTTTCTTTCTATAGAATTTGCAACCCAGTGAGTTATTGGGAATTTATGTTTTCATTATGTCTTTTCTGAGTTGTAGGAAGACTGTACTTGGCTTCCTGATGTTATGGGAGCAGAGGATTGAGCAGGCTGGTCCCAACCCATTAGAAAACTCTATTTCCTGAGGCTCTGCCTTCAAGATAAGTTTTCATTTATCTGCTCATCTTTCAGCAAGTTGTAAAAGGTGTGAGGAAACTCTGGGGTAGTGTGTCCAATGTTAACAATATGAAGTGTCCTGGGAAAGCTGCTGGCCACCCTGCAGGGTAAGGGTGACTTGCATAGCAACTGCCTTTCTCTCAGTGTTTCCAAACACACTGGCTTTGGTCTACTTCTTAATTCCACCAAACTCTTTCCTGTTTTGGGGTTCTTCTGCTTGGAAATGTCTTTCCTCCATATTGTGCCAGGCCAAACCAATGTCTCCTCTAGATCTCAGCCACCTCAGAGAAGGCTAACTGAGTAGCCAATCCAAATTGGTCCATCCTGTTATTTACCCTCACTGTGCCTTATTCCTTTGCCCTACCACCCTACCACAACATGCACTTATATGTGCATTACTGTAAGGGCTACTTCCTGCCTCTCTCCCTCCCTAGGCTGTCAGCTGCAGAACGGTAGGCACTACCTCTGGCCACTGTGCGGTCCTAGAGCCAAATATTGGGCCTTTCCTACAATAAGTATTCAGTAACATTCTTAGAATGAATCGATGAATGCATTCTGAGTACAATGTGCTCTCTCGGCCAAAGCATCAGGTTTGAGCCTCCCCAATAGTCTGCAAACGGTGCCTACCCTCCCTCCTGGCACCTTCCTGATCTGGGCTGAGCAAACCCTGGGGAACATCAGTCAAAATTTAAGTCTGCTACATTATCAGGGTAAGAAGAAGACTTTTCTTCTGCAAGGAGAAGCTTTACAGCTTCAAAAAGCAAGAGTGCCAGACTCAACAGCTTGAGAACAAATAGCGTTTATTCCCTTAGCAACAAGGACATTTGTTGGAAGCCCTCGGTAAGCAGAGCCCTTCTTTTTTTTTGGTACTGGGACTTGAACTGAGGGCCTACACCTTGAGCCACTCCACCAGTCCTTTTTTGTGATGGGTGTTTTCAAGACTGGGTCTGAACCATGATCCTACTGATTTCTGCCTCCTAAAAAGCTACAATTACAGGTGTGAGCCACCGGTGCCCTGCCGGAGAACCCCTTTCATTAGAGGACTGTACATCAGGAGTCTGTTGTGGCTCCCTCATTCTTTCAACAGCTACAATCACCCCCAGCGCTCCCTTGGCTCCTGCTGGACAAATAGGAAATTTGCAGGAAGGCTTGCCAATCTCACCCCAGCTGCCAGGCTCCCTGGGACCAACAAAAGCTAGGGATGCAAATGAGAAAAATTATAGGAAATGTGCTGCCCACTGTTTAAGGTTACCTCACAGGAATTCAATTCCGTGTTATTGGGTCTCTGACAGAATGAATTCTGAGCCTGTTTCTCAGCTTCTCCCACCATGATCAGATCATACCATTTAAAATAATTAATGAATGAATTAAAATTGATTATGATCCAGGTACTGTTCTGTGCCAGGAACTGCATTTTATTGAGAACAGAAAGTTAACCCCTACCCAGAACTCTTTATAACTCTCTAGTACTGACTAGCTAAGGGACATATGTAGGGGACAAGCCCTCACAACCCCAGGCCACCTGTCCCAGCCTCATCTCCATACTTTCCTCCCCACTCTTCATAGGCACTGTAGTTTCCAAATTAATTCTTTAGAGTTTCAGAATTCCAAAATATTCTTCCAGAATCTTATCAGATAGAAATGAAAGGCTGAGCAGAGGGATTGAGAACGGTTCCAGAGCTATCTGTGTTGTAGAGTAAGCCTCCATGTAACATTTTGTGTGAAAGTAGAGGTCCAGACCCCGTTCATATGCCCTGGTGGGAATGTAAGCTTGGAAGATCAAAGGAGAGCAATCTGATACTGTCAAAATCACAAATACACATTTCCTTAGACCCAGCAATTCTATTTCTAGTAACTTATAGTACACATTGTCTTAAGCGTGCAAAAAGACATAATATACAACAAAGGTACTTACTGCATCAAGGAAAAAAAAAGCTCAAGACAACCTAAATCATCTCAATAGGAGACTGATTAAATACAGAAGATAATGTTACATATATGGAAGATCAGGTGGCTGTTCAAAATTAATGTGTGTGCTAGCATAATACCACTTGGGAACAAAAAGAAAAGGAGATATACGTGTATAATATTAACATATCCCAAAATTTTCTGGAGCGTCTAGGGTACAAGAGAAAGTTTTTTCATTGCTTAACTTTTATGTATCACTTAATTTTTGCATATTACTTTTACAGCATGTATTACTTTGATAACAGTAAACAACATAGCAGCAGAAACGGGGTAACAGGGAATCAAAAGACGGATCCACTGTTAAAGACCAAAAAAAGTGCTGCTCTAGATCTGAGGTTCTCAAAGTCAGTATCTGGACCAGCAGCCTCAGCGTCACTGGGAACTTGTCAGGAAAATGAATCTTGGGCCCTGCCCAGACTTGATGAATCACACACTGTGGGGTGGGCCCAGAAATCTGTGTTTTAAAAAGTCCCCCAGATAGATCTGATGCACACTTAAGTTTAAGAACCAACTCCAAAGGAAAAATTCTAGAAGCACAGTTCTGGAGCTGACGTGTTGAACTCCTACCATGTGCCCTCCAATAGTGCATGACACGTTCCCATTGCATCATCACAGAATCTTAAGAACATTACCATGACCAACCTAAGCTTAGGGTAAGTGGAAAACCAGGATCAGACAACCCTGGTACCAGGTGCTGGTACAAGAATTGACCGAGTGATCAACCCATGACTGCCCAGAACACCCCTCTCAGGGAAACACTAGGTTTAGATTAAGAGTCAACAAACATTTTTTTAAAGGTTTAGATACTAAATATTTCAGGCTCTGCAGGCCAGTAGTCTGTCTCTACTACTCAACTCTGCCCTGGTAGCATAAGTAGCCATATACGATACTAAATGAATGGGCATGGTGTGTTCCAATAAAACTTTATTGACAAGATCAGGCAGTGGGCCAGACTGTGGTTTGTCTGCCACTGCTTTAGAGCTTTTCCTTCCTCTTTACTGCCCACTTGTCCCTCCTGTGTCCCATCCTCTCAGCAGTCTGCTTCCTACTGCTACTTGACTGACAGACCCACCACAAATTATAAATGATTGAAGAGCATTAAGGAATTAACCTTTGAAACCTCCAATAATAATAACATCAGCAACAATAATTATATATAAGCCTATATTAAGGGCTTGTTATATGCCTGGCCCCAGTGTGAGGCTTAATATACAATAACTCACTTAATCTTCACAATATTCATCTCATTTTACAACCACAGAAACTGAGATCCAGGAGCCTCAACTTCATAAAACATATATATATTCTCTTCCTTCTAGAAAGTCAAGTCTCCCAAGGGCACTGATCACAGGAGCCTCCATCCCCACCATCCAGAGCAGTGCTTTGCACATAGCAGGTACTCAGTAAATTTCTGTCAAATAAAAATAGATGTGCATTTAAAAAGAGGTCTCTCTGGAGGCAACTGGTTTACCCAAAGGAGTAGCTCCAGTCACAGGAACTTCCACCTATCTAGGCAGGTAAGCCACAGGCACACCCTCAGTCTTTTCTGCCTATCTATAATAGGCTGGTTCAGGAGAGGTCAGGGCAGGTGCAAGGGACGTAGAGTGGCTTTGTTCACATCCTATACCATGTGTGTGACAATTTGCTCCCCAAGCTGCATCAGGCAATGTCTTTCGCTTGTTTCTTTTTCCCTGTTTTTGCTTCCCTGCTCAACTTACCTTCTAAAAACTTGCGGATCATAGAGTCTTTAGTGGGCCGAGAGCAACCTTCTCCAGAGACTGGTTTACACGTACTGGCCTGAAGCATTTCGACATCTAGAAGAAAAGAATACTAGGAGTTGATACGCTGTTCTTCCCCACAGGCAAGGAGATCTCATAGATGGATTTATAAGGCATGGCAACTTTCATCAGAGACTCAGGTACTCTTCCATCTATCCATCCTTCCATCCACCATCTCCCCTATAAAGACACCCAGTAAATATGAAACAAACAGGAAAGCAACATTCACAACCCCCAGGCCCTTTCTTGAACCAAAAGCTCCAAAAAGTTTATTTGAACTTATTTAACATATATGCTTATTTGAACTTGAAAATGTAGGTTCAATTTTGAAATATACACACTACAGCATTGTTTATTATAGTAAAAAATGCATGCAGAAGCATCAGAGAGTAGATAAACTATGATTTGCTTAAATAATGGAACATTAGGCAGTAATTAAAAAGAATGCACTGGAGCCACTTCTACCAACAGTTATATCCAAAAAACATAAAAGAGTGAAAAAGTTACATACAAGTGATCATAATATGATGTTGTTTTTGTGCAGTTTGAAGACCTATGAAACCACACTACAAATTGTTCATGAATTCATAAATATGCAGTATGATAAAAATATGTAGGAATGCTAACTGTTATATTCCTGTTAGTGATTACTTCTGAAGAGGGAGGGAGAAGATTCCAGAGACGGTTAACAGTAGGCTGCACTGGGGATCATGACGTTGAATTTTAAAAATCTCAGACAAGAAAAGAAATAAATAAATAAGTATACACACACACATATTTTCAGGAATATATATATATATTCCTGAAGATTTTGATGAATCTGAAGAACCGGAGTCTTTAAAAATACATTTTAGATATTTCAGATGGTACCCAAAGGAAAAAAATAAAACTCTATATTTGAATTTGCTTGTATATATAAAAGAAACTCTGGAAGGAGAAATTAAGATCAATGGTTTCCTGGGAACTGAGAAGATGGAGACAAGGAATAAAGTAATTCCATTGGTCACCTTTTTATATTTTATACTTTTTAGCCTATTCAAGAAATAAAAGGGCTGGAGGCATGGCTTAAGTGGTAGAGCACCTGCCTAACAAGTATAAGGCCCTGATTTCAAACCCTGTGAAAGAAATGAAAGAAAGAAAGGAAGGAAGGAAGGAAGATAGGCAGGCAGGTAGGCATGGTGTGACCCTGTCTATGTTACCTTAGTATCCCAGAAACACACAAAACAAAAGCCAACCTCCTTATTTCTACCTTTTTGTAGTAGACACATTGCATTGAATATAATGTACCTTGGCATCCTCTAGCCCAAAGCCCTTTGATTCCAAATGGGGAACCAGTTAAGTGAATCATGACTGCTCTTGTCACCCCTAAATTCTACATCATAGGTAGTAGAGATTGGGGTGACTGTAAGGATTCTGAAGCATATTTAGAGTTATGTTAATCTTTTTTTTTTCTGATAAGAACTTATACTTAATTCATTCTTGAAAAATTCCAGACCAGGGAAATTCTAAGTAGAATGTGAGCTTTTCAGTTTAACTCAAGTAATTATGACTTTATAGAACACCTTCCTCATGGCATGAGGTAGTTGGGAAGGAAAACATGATCTAGAGGCACCCCGCTGGGAACCTGGTAGTCAATCAAATCCACAAATATCAGTCTGCTTCTTCCACTTCTTCCATTTTTCTGGTCGTATGACTACATATCAGAAGTCCTATGCCATCTAGTCTTTTAAGGCCCAACGGGGTAGGATACTGGCCAGAAATGCAGTACCAAGAAGCATTCCTTATCTGGTGCCAGGCCAGCAGGCCAGGTGCAAGGAGGTGAGACCCACAGAAGACAGTGCAGGAGCTACCCTAGGGAAAAGCCTTGTGTCTCACTGAAGCACCATTTCTCATCAAGTCGCATGCCAGAGTCATTGCCTTGAGAAAAACCCAGAGCATGGGCCCCTTTCAAGTATTTATAGCTTTTGTACAGCTCCTCCCAGGTCCAGATAGAATAGAACCAATCAGAGGTCATTTTTATCTTAAGTAATGTTGCCTAGAAACACAGTAGACATTTGGCTCTTATCAGGTTACCAGGGTAACAGAACTAGGAAGTCAATCAAAGGTCAAATTCTCATGCAGAAAGGAAATGATAGCTGTTATATTAATTATTTGTCCATAATTACCTTGGGTCAAGTTGTTTCAATTCTCTGAGCTTCCCTTTTCCCGTCTAGAAAATGGTGATGATAATACTATGTATCTCATCAGTTTCTTGTATTAAATAAGAAGCTTGCTATGAGTGTAGAATAGTGTCAAGCATATATGAAATGCTACTGTTACTATTATTGTTATTATTACTATTATTTTTATTAAATCCTATACCCAGGATAATGTCCTAAGCAGAAGAACAATTCAAAAAGGAAGACTCAGGGCTGGTGGAGTTGGCTCAAGTAGCAAGTGTGGGGCCCTAAGTTCAAACCCCAGTACCACCAAAGGTGGAAAAAAAGGTAAAAAAAAAAGACTCAATTTACACTTCAAAATTTTTTAGGGCTGGGGTGTTGCTTAGTGGTAGAGCACTCACCTAGCATATTCAAGGCCCTGGATTCTATCTCCAGCAACATAATTTTTTTCAACTGACACATAGTAATTATATGTGTTTATGAGATGAGTATAATAATTTAATACGTGCACACAGTGTGTAATGATCAAGCCAGATTGCTTAGCATATCCACTTCTTTAAACACTTAGCATTTCTGTGTGTTGGGAACCTTTGAACTGTAATCTTTTAGTTCCTCATAACATATATAATCAATTGTTGTAACTTGTAGCCACTCTATTGACTTTAAAACTAGAGTTTATTATTTCTATGCAACTGTATTTTGGTACCCATTAGCTAACCTTCCTCTATCACCTCTCCCCCCATCCTTCCTAGCCTCTAGTGACCACCATTCAATATTCTACTTCTGAGATCAACTTTTTAAGCTTGTACATACGAGTGAGAATGTGAGTGTCTGTGTTTTCATGCCTAGCTTATTTCACTTAGCGTTCTGCCCTTCAGTTCCTTCTATGCTGCCACAAATAACAGGAATGATTTCAAAACAGTGATTTCATTTCCTTTAGCTATATATCTAGACATGGGATGGATGGATCGATCATTGCTAGTTCCTTTTTTAGTTTTGTTTTTTTTTTTGAGGAAGCTCCATACTGTTTCCCATAATGGCTGTATTAACATTTGCCCACAAACAGTATATAAGAATTCCCCTTCCTCTGAAACCTTGCCAGCATTGATGTTTTGATCATACTTATTCTAACCTCATTGTGGTTTTGATTTGCATTTTCCTAAAGTTTAACAATGCTGAAATTTTTCATGCATTTGTTGAGCATTTACATGCCTTCTTTTGAGAAATGTTTATCCAGATCATATCATTTGCCCGTTTGCTAGTCAAACAATTTGGGGTTTTCGCAGTGACTTGTTCACATTGCTCACATATTTTAACCATTGTTCCTTTACTAGATGAGTATTTTCTCCCACTCTGCAGGTTGTCTCTTCACTCTGTTCTTCCCTTTGCTGTGCAGAAACTCGTTAGTGTGCTAGAACCCCATTTGTCTATTTTTGCTCTTGTTGCCTGCTACACTTTTTAAATGGTAAATTTATTTGTTTAAACTCAAGTCTTCTGCCTTTATAGTCATAAATACTTATGAGTTTATTCTAACACTTGAATTTTCAAATATGTTCTCAAATATCACATTTCATATTTCCTAATAAAGATTTATACCTAACCAATATTTTTATACTTGGATATAATGAAATCATCAGGGAATCTTTTTTGTACTGATGCTTGAACTCAGGGACTACACCTCGAGCCACTCCACCAGCCTTTATTCTGTGATGAGTTTTTTTTTGAGATAGGATCTTTCAAACTACTTTCCCTTGCTGGCTTTGAACCATGATCCTCCTGATCTCTGCCTCCTGAGTAGCTAGGATTACAGGTGTGAGCCACCGGCACCAGTTTCATCAGGCATCTTAAATTAACAAATGTCAACTTTATTTTACTTATTTATTTTTCCAGACAGGGTCTCGCTATGTTGCCCAGGCTAGCCTGGAACTCATTATTTAGCTCAGACTAAGCCTGGGAACCTCCTGCCTCAGCCTCCCAAGTGTTGGGATTACAGGCATGGACCTGGCACACAAATGTCAATTCTTTATAATTGGATTAATTATGGAAATCTGACTCACAATTAAAGCTTGCTAGGCATTTTCTTTATCATGGCTCCAGAACTCTTAAGTTTTCTTGCCTCCTTTGCCAAGCCTCTGTCAACCCAGAGGCTCTGTGTCCATTTGCCTGTGCCTTCCTAGGCACATCATGCTCTTTTTTATCAGGCCCAGCAGTGAACACCATGGGGCAATCCTAGTAGCTCTTTAGTCCTGCTGGCTCAATTGTGCAGGAAGGATTATAGGTAAAGACTGACCTTAGGGACAGACCCTAGAGGTGGAGGATATGAGAGGATATGGCTGGACAAACTCGATTGGGTGAGGGTACACAGAGGAGAGGAAGGGATACGCAGACACAGGAGGAGATAAAGGCACTGAAGAGCTGAAGCCAGCTGAATGGTCTGCATTCAGGGGACATAAGTCAGAGAAAGGCAGCAGCTGAAACCAGGCAAGCAACAGAGGCCCAGTATGCTGGCCACTGAGCAACCATGAAGGTTAGCATTGTGGCCAGAGGCGTGGACTTTGGTATCCTGGAAACCTAGCTTCATAAGCTGGCTCCAATTCTTGCTAGCTCTGTGTCCTTGGGCAAATCACTTGATATCACTAAGCTTCTCTCTTCCCATCTGCAAAGTAGGGATAAATGACGGGCCAATTGAGACAATACTTATAAAATGCTTAGCAGCAGTCCTAGACGTCAAGTAGTCAAGGTCATTATTCTTACTATGTTGAGGAACTTAGTTAGCAAATTTCGTTTCCTATGGCTGCTATGACAAATCACCACTTAAAACAACGCAAATGTGTTATCTTACAGTCCTGCAGTTCCAGTCTGAAGTGGGTTCTCACTGGTTCAAAATTAAGGTCTATCAGGGCACATTTCTTTCAGAAAGCTCCAGACAAGAATCTGTCTCTGTGCTCTTTCCAGCTTCCAGAGACCACCTGTGTTCCTCCTCTTCTGTCTTCAAAGCCCACAGGGTCAGGCAGAAAGCTTAGCTGAGCTGAGACCTCACCATGCCATCCCGCGTGTCTGTCTTCTGACCACTCTTCCACTTAAGAACGCTTAAGACTACAGGGGACTCACACAGAGAACCCGGATCTTCTCCTTTTTCTCAGGGTCAGCTACTTCACACCTTAATTCCACCTGCAACTTTAATTCCCCTTCGCCATGGAGCCTAGCATAGTCACACATTCAGAAGCATTATTCTGCTTTCCACAGACAGAACCACGTATCAGGCGCAGTCAGCTGCCATGAATCTCTTCCCTTGCTGAGCTGACACAGTGAGTGGGGGACAAGACTGAGGATGCACTCCAGGAAGTCCATCACGTTTATACACACGGGGCAGCCTGTCCAAAAGTCTCTGGATGTGTGCACTGCCTTAAGTTACCTAAAAATTATTTTGTTTCCTTTCACAGTATAAATGAAAGGATTCTCCCTATACTTAACTGAATATATCTTTGAAATAGACCACGAACAGCAGATACATGTGTGCGCCGCATGTCCCTATTCTGTACTCAGGGAAAAATATCATTAATCAGTCATCACATTCTTTCTGATCTCAATCCTTTTCAACACAGCACCCAGGCAATATTGAGTGGCAACTGGCACTGGCACATAAATTACTTTAAAAACACATTTGCCATTCATGTATTCAGCACTAATATGGAGGTAGCAGGTGTTACTTTTGTAATAACAAATAAAAGATACTTAGTTGTTTGGAGTCAGCAAGTGACGAGACCCTCTTATGGTCTTAATTTGACAACACTTCGTGTCTATATGACCCAGGATGACTGAGTAACACAGGAGTGACTGAATATATAGGAAATTCTGTAGGGAAGGGAGTCTGTTTCCAAATGAAGAAGGTTTCGTAAAGGAAGTAGAACACCACATCCCTGCATCCCAGGATGCTGACAGCTTGTATTTCACATTCCAAGCCCTTCACCTTCACCATGTGCCAGCTAAAAATGAACTGGAAGTGCCAACTTCTTTCATTTCAGCAGAAAAAAACAACAGCAACAAGGAGACTCTGGGTCATAGTCCCCTTCTGGAAGAAGCAGCTGCAGACTGACAGCAAACTTTGAGTCAATCAGCAAGGACCCATTCCTAGAATGCAAGTAGTTTGCAAGATGAGAGACTATACCAGAAGGCATTTAATTGAAGGATGAATCAAAGGCAATAACAAATGCCCAAAGAAATATCACTTCTGTGATCTTTCTCACGGAACATAAATCTAGACCACTTAGCTGTGGTGGACACTCATCCAGACTGTATGTTGTTAATTTAACATAAAACCAAGTCTGAACATACAATCCAATCCAATGTCCCCCCTACCAAAACACTATTCTTCTAGAAAGGCTCTCCAACTCTCAAGGATGCCAAAAGGACCTTTTTAAACTGCAGTAGTACCTTTTGTGGCAAATGATACTACTGTTACTACTTAAAAAAAAATAGAGCCTCTGAGCAAGAAGCAGTATGGCAAAACATCTGAAGATAACCTGAAACCTGGTCGGTTCCACTAGCACCTAGGTACAATGGAGTGGCTTGACAGGTAGTATCAATAAAAAACAAACCAAAAAAAAAACTCCCTTCTTTTCCGTACACTGATGGAAAAGTGACGATAAGGAGAGAAAGAAGGAGACAGATGGATGGTCAGACAGACAGACACACACCAGGAGAAAGGCAGTCTGAAATCAGAGGGGCTAAGGAGTGATGGCTGGCATTGGCAATGAAAAAGAAAGGGCTAAGAATGGAAAGGTTTGGAGAAGCAACAAGTCTGCTCTGTGGTTTTCTTACTCGGCAGGCACAAACACCCTCTGCCATGCAGGTCACAGTCTGTGGGACACATCTGTGGTCAGTGGGTACTTGTGACCTGTGGTGTTTCTGTTTCATATTAAGAGCTCCCAGTGGAATGTAAACTCTGGAAGGCAGGGATGGTGCCAGCTTGATCACTGACTGCTTGTCACCTGGCACCATGTGAACTGAACACACGAAGGGTTTGACAAATATTGAATGAATGAGTGAATAAATGAATGAATAAACTAGGGAAGTAACAAAGATCTGAACTCTTGCATATGGTGGGATTTGGGCTTTTTGAGGAGTCTGGGCATTGCTCAAGCAGAGAAAAGAAGGGCAGTTCAGGCAGAAGGATCAGCACAATATATGGAGACATGAAAGAAAAGGCAGCCTGGGGCAGCTGGAGGAGTTATAGTGCCCCTGAGATATACCTAAGGCAATGTCTCACAACCACCTGTCAGGAAAGCAAGGGCTCTGCACTGGAATGTCAGCAAACTTCCACACTTGGATGTTCACAGAGTCCAGAATTATATCTTATTTTCCAGAACCTCAAATTCAAGAACTAGTTGAGCACCTATTGTGCATAGCACCTATTGTCTGGGCAGTAGGGATGACACAAAGCTGTAAGACATGCTTTCTTCCAAAGCTAGGAGCTTAATAAGAAAAACATGTGAATAACCAGAGTTCAAGGTGGTATATGTGCAGTGCCCTGAGAACTGTGTAGGTCCAGAGAGGAGCGAAGCTGCTGCTACTAGTGGTGGGTATTTGATTTCATTAACTTTAAAACATCCAGTCAAGTGCTTTCACTAAGTGTCCATATCCCCAACACAGATCTGTACCTCTGGAGAAGTAAAAACACAAGGAAGCCAAGAAGTGGACTGAGTTATGGCCCTGCCTCTGTGGGAGCTGTCTCCCAGCTGGTATACCTCCAGTCTTGCACCCAGCACCACCAGAATCTTCCCAAAACGGACAGCCAGAGGTTGACAGAGTTCCCATAGTTGCAGGAACAGAGGCTCTTGAGGGAAAGTGTGCAGACAGGACAGACAGCATGTTCCAGAAGCAAACCATAGATTAGCAATTTTGCTTAGACTCAGATCTACAGAGCTGGGCTGAGGTCTTTTACAGTGCCTAACCCATACCCTCAGCCCTCAGGAACCTCACTCTCAGAGGGGGACTGTAATCAAAGAACTCAGGAAAGAAATCAGAAACTGCTGGAGATGATCGGTCACAAGATGCCAATTACCAAGGAGGTTGCAGAAGGAAGCCAGCCAGTTAGTTACGGCCAAGGCATCTCTCCACCTTGTGAAAACTTCAGCGGCCACAGAACCATGAGGGAGGGATGAGGAGTTCAAAGGAAAGTTCCATGTGAGGGTAACATGAAGCTGAAGAGTCCGCTGAGATTCATTAGAGAGATTTCTAGTACTGGAATACTACACGTCTCTCCTTTAAGACAAGCCTCTGAGATATGTAAGCAGAGCTACAATCCACCACTTTATTACCTTGGAAACAGACTGGACAAGGGTCTCCTTGCACTAGCTCCAGAGGCCTCCCGACCCAGAACTCAAAGGAAATGATTGGTCCCTGGGTGAAACTCTCAAACAAAATGAATGACCTAAGTCCAAGGACCACCAAGACCGTATCATTCTTGAAGGCAAAGATAGAAGCAAAAGAACTAAGCCAAAAAAAAAAAAAAAAGTTCATGAGACTCCATCTCCAAACTAACCAGAGCAAAATGGAATGGAGGTGTGGCTCAAACCGTAGAGTGCCTGCTTTGCAAGTGCAAAGCCCTGAGTTTAAACCCAAGTCTAATCAAAAAGAAAAGATTAGGAGATAGTGAGAACACCCACAGAGAGGTCCGCCTGGACTTTTATCCCGTGTTCGCATAAGTTTACCTAATAAAAACATTTATTTCTTACAGAGTCAAGTATGGACAGTGATAGTTTAAATCTGTGAAGTCTGGGTTAAAAAGTTCTCAAGAGAATTGGGAACCAAGTTGAAGGTCTGATAACAAAGACATGTAGTTACCACCTGGTGGCAGCATATCTAAACCAAAGCCTGAGTGTGAGGGAGCGTGTGTGTACCAGCATGCAAGTTCAGGGGAAGGTGCAATTGCAGCAGAATCCGATCTCAGGGTAAATAAAATCCCAGGGTGAAAACCCAGCACCTCCTCCATCTCCCCTGCCCACATTCAATACTGGTGTTTCCTCTATGACCTTCCCTATTAGTGGCTGTTAGGAATCCCCTTCGGTGAAGGGGACCCCATTACATCTCTTTCCCAAACTCAAGCCAGAAAGGTAGATTTGCTGCAGCAACAGTTAGAGGATGTCCAAGGTAGTGGCAGGGGATTGGCCTAAAGCCCTCTACTCCAGTATTCTGGTCCTGCAAGGGAGCGAGTGAATGAGCAAGTCAGTGAATGAACGCAGCCTAATTTCCTTAATATGTTGACTTGTGACTTCCAGGCAGACCCTCACAATGGTCACAACAGAGGGAGTCTGGAGAAGGATTGTGCTTGTCACAGCACATGACCGCAGACCTGACACTGTGTAACAGAATCGTCATCTCTCTGGAGTGAGGCAGGGGTAAGCAGGGACTTCCCCCTTATGAACCAGAATGAAGAAAGCCATTTCCCGGCAGAAGAGTGGAAGCAGAAATGGGCTGGACTACTTACAAAGGTCTTCCGTGGCTGCTGGGGCAAAGGTAGCCATGGACTCATACAGCTCCTCGTCGCAGCCGGGGTTGAGGGAGCACTTCATGAGCAGGTCTGTGGACAGGTGGGCCATGGACTCGTACACAGCGTCATCCTGCTCGCCCTGCATCAGCTCCTCTTTAATGTGACTCTTCAACATGTCCACAGTCTCCTGCAAGAGAAGACGGGCCCACGGCATGCAGATGGAACTGGCTAGCTGGGCGAGTCAGGCCCCAAGTGGGCATGTGACTGGGAGCTCCTGGGACCAGGCTTCATACCCTTTTTTCCTTTTCTTGCCTTATGTTTTTTGTTTTAATCCTCATATCTTCCCCCAACACTAATCAGAGATACTGTTACAGGTTCAGTGACCAGAAGATATACATACAAAAATTACTCCCTATGAGCAATTGTGACTCCCTATTAAGGGTCAGGCTCCGTGCTAACATGTGTCACACGTTATATCCTGCCATCCTTTCCTCACTGCTTGAGAAAGATATGCAACTCCCTTGTTTACAGCCAGGAAGAACAAAGCTCAGAAAAACCTCGTGTTTTGTTGTAGAGCTTGCATTCCCGGCTTTTGACCTTCCAGCTACATCTTACTGGTTCCTCAAAAGAGAACAAATGGCACAAGAGGCTGTGACTCTTTCTGACTAGCCATGCAGAAATGCAGCAGGCTTGACAGGGCTGCATTAAGGTGTTACCACACCTGTGCAGCCAGAGGTCCCCAAAGAACTCCTGCATGCCCTGTCCCTTCCAACAGGCTTCTCCAAGTGGCTGGTGGTTTCCAGGACTCCCCCTTCAGTTTCTACATGCCCAAGAAGAACCCTGAAGTCAGAAAGATTGCCCAGCTGTCATTCTGCCTCCGGGAAGTTGTGAAGCTGGAAAGCCAACTTCTCCAGAACCACTGCACAACTTTTCCTGGCAAGCAAGAAACCGTGGTGTGTCACAATCCTTACTTCAGCCTCAACCTACAAAAATCCTCATTTTCATCATCACCACCCAAGAGAGCTACTCTTTGGTTGACATTCTGTTTGTAAGTGGACCAGGTGACAGCAGGGTAGTGTTAGCGACTCCAGGTCTGGCATTTGGGAAAAAGAAAATAGGATAGTTCTTAGAGACCATAAGCAACAGGCAGAGACAACTTTTTGGTAGCAAGGCTGAAGACGCATTGGTGGAAGATGCCTATAGCTAGGAGCAAAGGCGATACAAGAACTGTGAGCCCAGTGAAGCTCAGTGCGCACTGGAAGTACATCCTTGAGCCCCCACTCCAGCCCCATTATAGCAGAGCAGGACGGCAAGCCCCAGTGCTAGCATCAAACTAAGTTCAAGTCCCATCTCCCTCTTCACCAGTGTGAGACTCTAGGCACAATCACTTTGCCTTTCTAAGTCCTTTTTCTCATTTATAAAGTATGGATCAGAATATGTCAACTTCAAAGGATTGTGGTGAGAATTAAAGGAGATAATGCATTTGCCAATCAAACAAATTCCATACTTATTACTATGAATACAATATGTCTATAAAAACTACTGCCATGTAGATGAAATGCTACATTTTGTATATTTGTAATTTCAAAGTAAAGCTGAATAAATACTCCAAGACCTATTACAAATGCCTTTTAGACAGATTTATGTCAGTTGAGGCCCACAATAAGGACTTATGCCATTTATATGGAATACTGACATACTCCTAAACATTGGGAAGCCCCCTCTATGTGGCATGGTGAGTCATTGCTTTGTAGATTTTCCAACATAGACAGAGAGTTAGTTTGGGGGAAGCAAAGTAGAGCGCAAGACTGGATTGTGCTTACTGCCCCTTTTGGGAATCACAGCCCCATATGAGAGGTTAAGCTATTTTAGGGTGCCCTTTGTGAGTCTACAAAGAAGAGGAAAATCAGAGAGGGGTGGAGTTAGGAAGAGCAGCTGTCTCCAAGACAACAGAGGCAATACCAATGTATGGAATAAATTGTAGGTATGGGGTGAGATCAGATTCAGAGAAGAATCCAGAAGCCAGAGATCAAGGAGGATTTGAGATCCCAAGACCAAATGAGAAGATAAGCTGGATGTATCTACCTGTCTTAAGGTCAGAACCAGGTGGAAGTTCAGAAAAAGAGATAGATTGTTAGCAGGTCTCAGGGTTGACACCCCTGATGCCTCCTCAGCAGCTGGACCTTATTGTGTTTCTGCTAAGGGAGGAACCAATCCTGACAGAGTTTACCTGGGCCCAAAGATGGATAGGGTAGCTGGAACATCCCACCTAAGACCCTTGGAGGTAGGTGAAAGGAAGGTGGAGAGGTGGGTGGGAAAGAGAGATCAGAGTCAACTTTCATCTGATTCACTCTATAAATGTCTTTGTCAATTCTTTCAGGGTGGACCTCAGTCCTTGGTGTACATTATTTATCCTTAAAACGACTCTATGAGTAGAACTATTATGATCTTCCTTCTACATATTGAGAAACTGAAAGCGATGATACGTGATTTGCCCAAAGTCACATAGAACCAAGTGTGGATAGGAATTTGGCACCAGGACCATGTGATTCCAGGACTAATCTCCAGCCCCCACACACTGCCCACTGCCAATAGAGGCACATGATGAAACCCACCCTGTATCTTGAATGAAAAGGCAGCCTTAGAACCACACAGTACATTTCCAATCACGGGATCTTATCGGGCTTTGACCTTACCACATACTCGTCGATGAACTGCCTCAGGTCCCTGAAACCATGCTTCTCAGCGATGGTGTTGGGGTAGTGGCCTTGCTTGTTGGCCACGCTGTATGCCTGGAGAGCTCCTGGGCAAGTGAGCAGCAAGGCAGTGAGGTTCTTCAGCCCATACTTTGCAGCAAAATGCAACAAGGTGGGCAGTTCTTCATCCCTCTGATCTGAAAGAGTGTCAAAGAGAAATTAATTGGCAGGTATGAATGGAGGCACAGGACACCCTTGTTCCCAGAGATGAAGCCGCCAAGCCCAACACAGCAGCCAGTAGTCATTCAATCATTACTTGTTGGTTGGTTGACCTAACATCTGACAGCTTCCTTTGAAGCACCACTGAAGATCACGTACTCACATGACAGAGGAAATATCATTTTAATTAATTAGCAGACCTAGTAGTTAATAGCCAACCTTCTTTCTCCAGAGGGATTGGAAAATGTATAGAGAAAATACTAATTCAACAGGTGCTGATTTCCGTAGTTCCCTGGTGATTGAATCCTGGACCTTGAGTATGCTAGGCAGTGCTCTGCCATCGTGCTTCATCCCCAGTCCCAAATGAGCTGGTTTCTAAAAACAGCCACACAATACAACAGCTCAGAGTGCTTTAAAATTATTTTTTTTCTTTATGGTACTGAGGATTGAACCCAGGGCCTCATGCATGCTAGGCAAACACTCAACCGCTGCACTACATCCCCAGCTCTAAGATTATTTTTTTGTGCTGATTAAGAGAAAGACTCTCATCCTCTTAGCTTGCATTCCTAATTTCATAATAACGGTGCCAAGAAAATAGACAGGGTGGTGTTGGAGAGTTAGGGGACAAATGCTTTTTTCCATAAAGGTTGATTTCTAGGCTCAAAGTTATATATTTTAATATGACAACCCCAGCTTCCTATTCACTAGGATATGAGAATTTGGATCAAGGGCATGAAATGCCTCCAGGGTCCCACATGACCAGGTCATGAAATACTCTCCCCTGAGCCCTAAGTTTAAGAACAGAGTAGCAACATCTACTGGAAGTGATGTAAGAACACCCCATGGTGGGGAAATGGGGAGAGGCAACAAGAATGAGAAGGCCCTCCAGGAGAAGGCCTTGAAGGTAATGAAGCCTCATTCCACGGTTTTCAGGCTATGGAAGGATGGAATGCAGGCAGAAGGTAACAGAGACTTGGGTCCCATTTGTGCAGTGTCACCATGGCACAAAGGAAGAATAGTGTTCACAAGGACACTCCAAGAGGCATCCTGCCCAGAGCACCAGGCACCATCTTCATGCAAGTGGTGTAACTCTCCCAGCTTCTACCACATCATATATGCACAAGGGCCTGCACCTCCCACATAGGACAAATATTTGTTTAGAGTCTACAGGAGCCAGCCACCTGAGAACAGTTTCACCCCTCACCTCAGCTGACAGCCTTGCAAAGAAGAAACACACAGATGATAAGTGCTAAGACAGAGGCCCCAACATGCTAGGGGAGCCCATAGCAGGCCACCACCTGCTGGAAGTTTGGAGAAATTTTTCCTAAGCTGCTGCAGAGAGGTGAAGGGAAGGTACCCAGGTGAATGACAACCAAGCAGAGACAAAGAAATCACATTCCCATGAGTAGAGTGGCAAGACACAGGTGATAGAAGTTCATACCTTCTGAAGAGCAAAGCAGAGTAGCCAAGAGCGAGAGCAGAAAAAGGTGAAGGCAGAAATGCACAGAGGCCCCTTGGGAAGGGCTTGTTAACAGGCTGACGAGTTGAACTCCATCCAGAAAGCAAGTGGGAACCACATGTTTTTAAAAGGGAATGAAGTGCAGCCATTGGTCACATAACATTTCAGTCCCCAACAGAAGTCCTGTGAATTGGAAGAGAGCGGAAAAACTCCCATCCACCTAGTAATGCTGTGGTTATTGTAACAGCACAGCAAACATGTACCTCACAGGCTGTCATATGCTGGTGTGAGCAGCCCGACTGCACTGCCAGTCGTGTAAACATACAGCACATGCAGTTATGTACAGTGCATGATACTTCATGGTAATAAGTGATTAAGTTCCTGGCTTATGTATTTACTAGACATATTTTTATTATTTTTTTTTGGTACTGGGATTTGAACTCAGGGCCTTTACCTTGAGCCACTCCACTAGTCCTATTTTTGGATGGGTTTTTTCGAGATAGGGTTGTGAGAACTATTTGTCTGGGCTATCTTTGAACTGCGATCCTCTTGATCTCTGCCTTCTGAGTAGTTAGGATTACAGGTGTGAGGCACTGGCCCCCGGCTCTATTATTATTTTAGCTATACTCCTACTTAGGAAAAAACAGTTTACTGTTAAACAGTCTGCTGTGTTACACCAGAAGCAGCCTCATCCATTGTGTTTACTGTGTCTCTTGATGGCGTCATACTCCCTTAGGCTTGATTTAATCTCCTGTCGTTTTGCTTATCTTGGCTCTACAGGCAATACTTATGTACCACATAGCATTTAGCAGGCTATACCATCCAGGTTTGTGTAAGCACACTCTGTGAGGCTCACGCAATGATAAATTGCCTAGCTATGCATTTCTCAGAAGGCATCCCCACCGTTAAGCAATGCATGGCTGTATTCAGATTTTAACTTGAGGAGAAATTCTGGCTACCGCATGAGGCATGAATCCTTCCTCCAAGGACAGGCTCTAGAGCAGGCATCTGCAGGAGGTCCATGCATGGTATGGCTGGATGCTGCACCAGCAGGCTGTAATGGGTCCATTGCTGGCTCCCTGAGGTTTGGCTGTTTACTTACTCGCCATCATATCTTCTTCTTCCAACTGGTTGATTCCAAAGAGGTGCAGTCCACTGGCAGGGATGTTGTTCTTCAGGGACTCTGTTAGCAGTTTATCCAGGGTCTCTGTGTTGTATGGAACAATTTTAAATGCCTAAATAAAAAAGGGAAGATGGTCAGAGTTTATATCTGGCTATCTCCTGCCCAGCACATTCAAGGCTGAAAAACCATCACTGAGACCCTCATACCCCAAAACCTCAAACCTCCTTCTAGCATCCTTACCTGACACATGAACTCCACAGGATTGGCAGCATTAGACAATAAATTCCCAATTTCTTCCATGTCAGTATAATAGCTGATAATGGTTTCACACACCACTAAGTCCCCGGAATATATCTTCAGACAAACATTTCCAGATGAAAGGTCTGAGCACAAGATAAGATACTTTTAAATACCCAGGAAGAACAAGGGTCCAGTATAAGTGTTTATGGATAAGATATGCTCCATCTGAATGGTGAATAAATAATTTGGGGGCTTTAAGAAAGTTCTTGGAGGTGAGCTGGAGGAGGGGAATGATGAAAGAAGAAGGTGAATAGGCCAGCACGTGACATGAGAAGTTCAGAGTCAGAGAAATTATCCTTACTGGGTCTGCAATTTAATTTTTGAAGGATTTTCATCTGTTTTGCTTACTAGGTTGGCTTAGCACTTCAATGGGGAGAAAGAAAATTTGGGTTTAAGGCACTTTCTACGAAGGGCAGTGGTCACCAAAAGAGTGTTTCTGTTGCTTTGGGCCAGTAGAATTGTTGACTTGCTCTGCAGCTGTCTACATGCTCTCCCTGGGGTAGGAGTCTATACCACCGGAAGGGGTTTTGAGAGGAAAAGAAAAAAATTAAAAATACACCAACCACAAAGATTCGATTCACAAAAGAGGAAATGTGACAAGTAGAGAACATGGAAAAAGAGTCAACCTCACGAGTAATCAAGGAAATGCAATTAAAACAATGGAATGCTTTAAAAAAAATCCCTATCAAATTAGCAAAGCTGAAGTGACAGCACCTAGTGGTGGTGGTGGCACAGCAATCTGCTGGAGAGCAGCAATATATCAGAAGGCTATCGAGCACTGCACTATCCTGTTACTGAGGGCTACTCACCAGGAGCCTTCACAGAAACTGTGTACTCATTCTCCAGCGTGGCTTCCACCCTGATGGAGGGAGAATTCTCAGGAGAAAACTCAGCCTCTGTCAACACCCTGTCATCCAACCTACATCTCACGATGACGTAGACAGTGGTTTCGGCCTGGAACAGAAGATGGGTCATGGTGCTTCTCCCTCCTGGATCCCTAGGGTTCTGGACCAGAACATCTCCCCAGCTCCCGAGTCCTGGCTCTCTCTAGTGAGGATGGTCCAGACCAGGTGGGCTCAGCAGGCAAAGAATAGTACTGGAATAATTTTGTCTATTGTATTTAATAATTTTTAAAACCTAGGGCTTCTGTGTTACTTGTCTTTTTATTTCATCTTATGGCATTTCTTTCATATCGTTTTGTTTTTATAAAATTATTACACCATCAGAGAATTGGATGATTTTTTTTTAAGTCCTTCCCCACCGAAGTATGAGAAGTGCTATTCTAGGCTAGTTTTGCTGCTCCAAGTGTGCCCAAGGGCCCAGCAGAATCACAGCCCCCAAGGCTTGTTAGAGATTCAGGCTGTCCAGTCCCTCCTGGGCCCACCGTCCCAAGGTCTGTATTTTAGCAAGATACCCAAGTGACCCCTCTACACCTTACAGAATTGGAGGCCCCAGCCTGAAGCCTCCTGCCCCTCACACTGTTCCTGGAAGGGCAAGAATCACTCATCGAGGGACTACTGTTCCCAAGGCATAGAGCACCTTGGATAGCTATTTTACCCAACTATAAAGATCTCACGCCAAACCTGCCAAACAGAATTACAGGTTGAGCATCCCTAATCCAAAAATCCTAAAGCTGAAATGCTCCAACAAGACACCACCAGTAGAAAATTCCATCCCTGATTCAAGGGATGGGTCAAAGTTCAAATGCAAGAGCACTAAAATATGGCATAAAATTACCTTCAGGCTATATGCATAATGAGGTATAATGAAACATTAGTGAATTTTGGTTTTGGACTTGGGTCCCTATCCCCAACATATTTCACTATGTCTGTGGAAATAATTCGAAGTCGAAATTTTCTTTAAAATTTCAAAATCTGAGACATTTTATGTTTCCTAGCATTTTAGATAAGGGATACTCAACTTATCTTGGTTTATTGTGCTGGTAAGCTGAGAAATAGTCTTTTCAGACTGAAAAGACTTTTCAGACTGAACTTTCAAAACACTTGAAAGGGGAGATTTCTGGCAGAGCTAGCCATCAAGCCTTCATTCTAGGATTCTGTTAAAACGTCCTCAACATAGCCCTTCGTAACAGGAGTTGCAGGAAGTCTGGATGGTACAACGGGAGGAAGTGAAGCTCCTGGAGGATGCTAAAGCTGAACACACATACTCTGCCTGTCATCACTCTCGCTGTGGACCTTGCCCTGTCTTATCTGTACCTTGGCACAGGGAAGTGAGGAGCCAGAGAGAGTGATGCCTCTCCTGTTCATATACTAAGACCCAGTCCAGCCATCCTCCTTGGGCCTAGAGAACTGGAGTAAGCAACAAGGAGAATCCTGGGTTAATGGGAAGCCAAGAGAGCAGAGGGAACTTGGCTGGAAAGTCATGGAGCAAGTGGAGGGATGCATGCTTTCTTTGTAAGCACTGTCACCCACAGGCACCCACCAGTACCATCAGAGGATCATGGGGAGGCTGGATGTAGTACAGAGAGGTGAAACTGAAATGCCCACACAGGCCTGGCCATAAAGACAGAGCATGAAAAGGGCTAAGTGTAAACTACACGGAGTAGTGGGGACCTGTAAACTGGAGGCTGTGTGTCCCATGGAAAGGGTGCTCAGCTCCAGCCAGCTTAAGCAACAGAGATTTTTATGCCTAATTTTAAAAACACTGTGAAGTTCAAACTAAACATGTCTATGAGTCAAATCGAGCTCAAAGAAGCAGTTGGAAACTCCTATGTGGGGAGCCCTCGCCCATTGTCTAGTGGCCTCAGCTGCATAGAAAGTCACTCACAAGAGTCAGTTCCTATGGCTTCCCTTTGCCAAGGCTCTCACACTCCTAAAGAGCCCACAGTAGCAAGCTTAGTGAAGAACTTAAATCCACGAAGAAAGCATTTTTGTTGCTCCAAACTATCATAAACACCACACATTTTTTATCAGGAGAGGAAAGAAAATTAAAAACTATCAATTCTATGTTAAGGTTCAAATGACTGTGACTTACTGGGTCATCACACTCAAGTCATCTGTTACTATATGCCCCCCTCTAAAAATATTAAGCATTTATCCAATCCTTTTAGCAAGTAATATTGGCCAATGAGTTTCAGTCATCAACTTTTGAGGCATTCCTGTGGGCCAGACCAGTGGCCAGTTGACAGAGAGACAAGCTCCCAGCATGACCCACTTCCTCCTCCAGGTGCTGGAGCAGCAGGAAAAGCTGCAGGCCTCTAACTCCAGGGTTGGTGTAAGTATCTAGTAATGTCCAAGCCTGCCGATCTCCTGCATGTTCTACATTCTCGGTCCATGAACTGGAAGTCTTAGATTGATGATATATTACACTCCTGGGCTCGTTTCCCTGACTCAAAGGAGCTAGGTGTCCAAAGCCCAGGTAATAGGAAACCCCAAGGGAAGGCTATGACTACATTGAGATGTAACATGAGAACCACACTCCCTTTACTGAAACAAAAGCATCCACTTGAAAAGCCCATGTTTTGACTTGGCTCTTTCAGGCCCCCAGGGTGCCTACCCCACAGCGAATGCGATCTGGCTGCACCACCATCAGGTTCCCAGGTGAAGTCTCCTGCGGCAGACTCAGCTGCTTGGAGTAGGAAAGGCCCTTCTCGTCCTCGGGCTCGGTGTCAGTGACTGAGTCACAGCCAGAATCTACAAAATAGAGGACAAGGCTGAATGGGAACAGAAGGAAGGAGAACTGGTGGGTGTGTTCCACCCACAGAGCCCCAAACATCCCCTCAGTGAGTGTCAAACAAATTCAAGCTGACAAGACTGACTGGGGAAGTCACAAAAGAGAACCCAAGGGGGAAAAAGTCAGCCACCATGTAGGCCACAGAGTAGTGTGGCAGCAAGAGAACAATGCAAAGGGAAAGGCCAAAACATTTGAGGCCAATAAGCCTATGCTCAACCAACAGGCTTCTGGAAGCTTCACTTCAGGTTTTCCTGTAGGGATAAAGGGTTGTGAAGAAAAGACAGGTCAAGAAGGACTGCTTACTTTGAAACATTAACTAAGAAGCACTTAAGAAAGCCAGAGTCATGTCTGGCCAATGTCCCTCCTCTGGCAGCAACAGGGAGAAACAATAGTTTTCAACAAGCCCGAGATCAGTTTCCACATCAGTATCACACCCAACATATGCACTGGAAAGAGTAGGGCACGCACAGATTCAGAGTGGTGAGAGAGGTGTGCAGACGTGCGGGGCATAGCACAGAAAATATGATGCCAAGAACATACCAGAGCTCTCCAGCAGGGGCTCTTACTCACCATCCACTGATTGACAGGTCTTCTTGTGAAGTTATGTGCAAGACTGTACTGTGCAAATGTGCGTGTACATGCACGTGCACCAATTTACAGATGGCAAATAAACACAAGAAAAGATCTACATATGTCATTAGGGAAATGCAAATTAAATGACAATGATATACTACTACCCATATACTAGAATGGTCAAAATCCAGAACACAACACGAAATGTCTTTGAGGGTGTGAAACACCCACAATTTTACTTCATTGCTGGTAGGAATACAAAATGGTAGGGTCACTTTGGAAGACAGTTGGGCAGTTTCTCACAGCACTAAATTCACTTTTCTCATTTAATCACACTCCTATGCATTTATCCAATGTAGCTGAAAATGTACGTCCATACAAAAACCTGTACAGAGACATTATAGCAGCTTTATTCTTAACTGCCAAAACTTGGAAGCAACCAAAATATTCTTTAAAATGCAGTTGGATAACTAAACTGTGGTATAACCAGACAATGCAATGAAGCACTGAATACAGTACTAAAAAAAAAAAAAATGGGCTAGCCAGCTACAAAGAGACATGGAGGAAACTTAACCACATACTACTAAGAGAAGAAGTACTAGAAGGCTACACACTATAGGATTCCAACTACATGACACTGTAAACCAGGCAAACCATGGAGCCAATATATAGATCAGTGTTAGCAGGGGTTGGGTGAGGGCAGTGAAGAAGCAGAACTCAGAGGATTTTTAGGGCAATGAATGTTCTCTCACTATTCTATGATGGTGGATAGTGTCATCATACCTTTATCCTGACCCATAGAATATGCAACACCAAGAGTGAATGAACCCTAATGTAAAAGATGGGCTTTGAGCGACAACGAGGGATCAATATATGTCAACTGCTGCAACTAACGTGCCATTCTGTGCTGGATGCTGGTAGCATGGGGGTGCTGTGTGTATGTGGGGGGCTAGAAGTATATGGGAAATCTATACCCTCCAACTTGATTTTCCTGTGAATCTAAAACTGCTCTAAAAACATATAGCCTTTAAAAAAGTAAATCAGTATGAAATAAAGGAAATGGTTGGGGAGAAGATGACTCAGCTGTTAGTGCTGGAAAGTATTAGTTGGGGGTGGGGTGTGTTGTGTGTGGCTGGGGTGCTGTTTAAATACTTCGTAATTCTCATAGCTCCAAAATGAAGTGTAGATGGATTCTAGATTGGAATGTAAAATAAAACTAAGACAATTTTTAAAAAAATTGAAAAGATGAAAACATGGGCAAACGTATTATTTTCGACTTGGGAAAAGATTTGCTAACAAAACAACTGAAGACATTACCATTTCAACAAGCAAGACTTGATGACATGAGTTTCAAACTTCAGTAAACAAACAAAGAGATGGAAACAAAACCAAATGCCCATCAACTGAAGAACACATAAACGAAATGTGGTACATCCTTTCAAAGAAATTATTTAGCAATAAAAAGAAACGAAGTACTGATACAGTACACAGTGTTAGTCACAAAAGACCACATAGTAAATAATTCCAAGTATGCGTATTCAGGATAGACAAGTCTATACGGGCAGAAAGTAGGTTAGTGGCCGCTTCATTCTGGGGAGTTTGGGGCTGAAGGTACTGTGGAATAACAACTAAAAGGTGTGGGATTTCTGTTAGCAGTGATGAAAATATTCTAAAGTCTATCATGGCGACAGTTGCACATATCTGTGAAGCTACTAAAATCCACTGAATTGTGCTCATGAAATGAGCGGATTGTATGCTACATGAATTATATCTCTATAAAGCTGTTATCCAAAAATCCAACTGCAAATAATAAAAAAAAAAAAATTTGAAGTGAACCTAACAAGGAGCTACTTTCTTTAATATATGAAGAGGTCATAGAAATCCCTTTTAAAATACCCAAAGCCCAATAAGCAGATGATTTCTCAAAGAAGAAATACAAATGACCTCCTCATCGAAAAATAAAATATCATTCATTCTCATGAGTCACCATGAAAATGCAAATAAAAATAACTCATTGCTATTTTATTTTTCCAAATTAAAAAACAGTTTCAGGTTTACTCAGTGTGCTGTTTAAAGGGTACTGCAGAATTGGCACCCAAGGAGTACAAGCTGTCTGGAAAGCCATGTATCCATACCCAGAGGAAGAGAAAGGCTTTAACATGCTCCCTCCTATTGCCACACAATTATACTTCCAGAAGTTTCTCTGAAGGAGAAAAATAAATATTCAAACCCTAGCTAAAGATAGCAAACAAAGATGTCTTTGTGTCAGTGAAAAACAACCTGTCTGAAAGAATACTAAAAACATTCAAGTGACACATGAAGACAAAAAGCAGGATACAAAATTATACATCTTATACTGAAGGAGTTCAATTATATTAAAATGTATTTTAAAGGTCAGAAGAAAATATGTGGCTGAAATCTGCATGACTTCTTTCCTCCCTCGCCTTCTCCCTTCCTCCTTCCTTTCTTCTTTCCTTTCACCCTATATGTCTGTTCATATTTTCCACAGCAAGAAAGCCTTACTTTGATCCTGGGGGCCAATGATGAGAAAAGCAGCCATGAATCTATCGGCTAATCATTTCACCAGCCAGCCCAGCTTGACATCAATGACACTGAGCCTCATCCTGGCCATTTGACAGCCCTTGCCCAGCACCAAGCTGGACCACATAAATACTTCCTTCCACTCCTGGTGTCAATTTAGATCGCTAACAGCAGCTCATTCGCTTCAGGAAGTCAGGCCATATGTCATTCACTCTGTAAAGTGATGCTGGTGGCACTGACTGACAAGCCACAGCAGCCCTCACAGTACACTACAGAGAAGCCAGGACATCTCAGCAGGGCCAGGGTCCAAGCACTTCAGCCAATTAAAAGTTCTCTTTGAAGGAAAAGCCAAATACCTGACAGTGGGATGAACCCAAACTTTCACTCTTAAACATGGAGATCCCTCTTCAATCCCTACCCTGACTCCCCATCCCTGAAGATAATACTGTTCTTGCTGCCTGAGACTCAAATATTAAATACCTGAGTGCAGCCACTCTGGAAACCCCAAGACTCTTCCCCAGAGAAAAACATTATTAAGATACCAGTAGTATCTTCACTGCTTTAAAATTTAATCATTTTCACTTTCATGAAGTCCACAAAACCTCCAGGGAAATTGTAAAAAGACTTTCTTTGTGTATCCACTTCCCCCAGGTCTGATCTATGGAGTATTTGCTCCATGGCAGCTACTTAAATTCAGTGACAGAGAATTTGCCTGCTCAAACATGGTATGTTTCGGGGGCTGATGGAGTGGCTTAAGTGGTAGAATGCCTGCCTAGCAAGCATGGGGCCCTGAGTTCGAACCCCAATACCACAAAAAAAAAAAGGTATATTTCATCTTTTGCACTTGCTGTCAGGCAGCTTGTTGACAAATGTAATTCTCAACCTCTTTCACACTTTTTTTTTTTTTTTTGGTGGTGGTGGTACTGGAGTTTGAACTCAGAGCCTTGTACTTGCTAAGGAGGCATTCTACCACTTGAGGCACTTCAGTTCTTTTTTTTTTCCACGTTAGTTATTTTTCAAATAGGATCTCACATTTTTGCCCAGGTTGGCCTGAACTAAAATCCTCCTATTTACACCTCCCACATAGCTGGGATGACAGGCATATACCACAACACCAGCTTATTGGTTGAGATGGACTCTCAATAACTTTTTGCCCAGGTTGGCCTTACACCATTGATCCTCCCACTCTCCATCCCTCAGTACCTGAGATTATAGATGAGAGCCACCACATCTGGCCACTTTTTTTCTATTTTTTTTGAGACAGCCTTTCTATGTAGTCCAGGCTGGCCTCAAACTCATGACCCTCTTGCCTCTGCCTCCCAAGTGTGGGATTACGGGCACATGCCACCATGTTCAGCTTAACTTTTGCACTTTTGTCCAGGTCCCTGCTCTTGCCTAGTTCACTTCATATTGTGATGAGTCTGGGGGCTGACACACACCCTGGGGATCATCAGCATGTGACTCAGTGTTTCTGACACCAGTGTCTGACAAAGGTCTCAGATACAGTCCTCACAGCAACTTGTACCTAGGCTCTTCATTTAGATGACAATGCCTTGAAAGCGGGATGTAAAGGTGTTTCAGATTGCCTAGGTTCTGCCATGAGAGTTTGGTGCCCACATCTGCACTTTTGCTTGTGTTTATGAGTGCTTTGTGACTAGATCATGCCACACTAAAGGCTGGAGGTTGATGAAGAAAGGCAAGCGAGCACGGGGCTGTGTAAATGAGACACTTGCACCTGGTGGGCCCAGATTTCCCTGTATCTTACTTTAAACAGAGCAACATGGTGGGAGAGACAAGTCCCCAAAGACTCAGCAAGACCACAGCCTCTGTATTATATTCCTAACAC